TAACAATGTGGCATACTTTAAACTACAGACTTTCACTGTACATAAATCCCCTGCAGGGAGCTTCTGGTACTGGTACTGTGTGCGTGCATGTATGTGTGTGTGTGTGTGTGTGTGTGTGTGTGTGTGTGTGTGTGTGTGTGTGTCGGTAGTAAAAGAAAGAAAATAAAAAATATCTTGTGTTTGAAGCTTTTATTTTAAATGTGTTTTAAAGTGAAGTGTAAATCTGTCCATCTTTACTCTGCTTGTTGCTCTAGCTTCAGTCATGTGTCTCTACTGCCCTCCAATGGACAAAATGTGGAACTACACTTGTGTTTTAAAAAACTTTTTTTTTTTTTTCCCACTCGTAGTTAGCTCATATATGTATTAAAAAATGAAGCATTAGTTATTTTGTCGGCAATCGTAGGTATTTAATTTTATTTAATTTAAAATGGGTTTATTTTTAGACTACAAATCGCTCGTTCATTGTCCCCCGCGACACGGAACTGAAGTAGGGAATTATTGGATGTTAAATGAAAAAGCATAGTTAGGCTGCCATCTAGTGGACATGATTAGTAACTGCAGTCAAACTATAATCAAGTTAGAGGAAGTTACATTTATCCGCTACTTCCGTTTCAAAGTAAAACTCTGTATACATTCTTTTAGCTATTAATCTTGAGTTCGACGCTTTACCAACATTATAAATATATGACCGTGTCTGACTCGATTGTTGGAATTTAATTTGGTTTTGGGAGACTCTAAAACCGTGGCGTTAAAAAAAATATTAGTAGATTTAAATTGACATGATCGTGATTTTTGGCACTGCTAGCTTAGCGGGATATTAAAGAAAAACAGACAAAAGCTTCGTCGGGTTAAACATTAGAGTACACTTATGTATGTGAGCTTTTAAACGATGACACTAGTTTTTTATTAGCGGATGAGTTGGTCACCATGAAAGCCTTTTATTTTTTTATTTTACCGGAAGTGTAAATCTGCCAGATTCTGTCCATCTTTACACTGCTTGTTGTGTCTATACTGCCCCCAGTGGACAAAATGTGGAACTACATTTGTGTTTTAAAAAAACATTTTATTTTTTTTTCCACTTTTGAGAACGTAGAAATAAATAAACTTAGAAATAAATAAATAAACTTAGAAATAAATAAATAAACTTAGAAATAAATAAACTTAGAAATAAATAAATAAACTTAGAAATAAATAAACGTAGAAATAAATAAATAAAAAAACTTAGAAATAAATAAACTTAGAAATAAATAAATGAACTTAGAAATAAATAACTTAGAAATAAATAAATAAACTTAGAAATAAATAAACATAAACATAAAAGCAAAGCTAGACACAATCAGGGTGACTCCTCCGTCCGGAACCGGAAAAACACGTTTAAATTAAAACTTTGAATTGACAAAATAACTAGAATATTTTATGTTTATGCCACTCACATAACTCTTAACATCGTTCATGATATAAGTGAAATATATATTTAAGTATTATTTAAACAAAATTATTCTGACTTGATAAATCCCAGGTGTAGTTCCTAACAATGACCACTAGAGGGCAGAAAAGGGAGCAATGGCGTTTAGATAACTCTTCTTCTGTCTTTATCATTTTATGTGATTTTACGTCTTTTAAAATACATTATACCTGCCACGTTGGAAATTAGGCAAGATGGTTGTTGTGTAAAAATATTTAAATAAATTAATAAATACCGGATTGTGACAACATGTCAACTGGTAAACTAGCCACAAAACGTTTCCGCTTTTTTTTTCGGCCACGGTTGTTTTCAGCGTCTAATTTCTAATAATCAAGTCAGAGACGGTTATATACTTAAAATAATCGTAAAGCGTCGAATTAAGTTTAATATGAATTAAAAAAAATAAATAATAATAAAGTATTCAGAAAGTTTTACTTAGAAAAGTCAAAACGGAAGTAGCAGGTAAATGTAACTTCCTCTAACTTGATTATAGTTTGACTGCAGTTACCAACCATGTCCACCAGATGGCAGCCTAACTATGCTTTTTCATCAAACACCGAATACTTTTCCAGTTCGGGCTCACGGGGGACAATGAACGAACAGTTTATAGTCTAAAAAGAAGCCAATTTTACTTTAAATAAAATTAAATACCCACGATTGTCGACAGAATAGTCAATGCTTCATTTTTCTATATTTATAAATGAGCTAACTACGCTCTCAAAAGTGAGAAAGAAAAAAAATTAAACCACATGCAGTTCCAAATGTTGTCCACTGGAGGGCAGTATGGACACATGACTGAAGCTAGAGCGGCTCTTACGGCAACAAGTAGTGTAAAGTTAGACAGAATCTGGCAGACTTACACTTCCGCTAAAAGACACTTAAAATAAAAGCTTCAAATGTTTTTTATAAAACTTTAAATTCTTTCTATTCTTTTAAAGACACAAAAGTTTTAAAGTTGAACTCTATTTCAAATCATTACATGCAAGTTTTCCCACTTTCAGTTTTAAAAAACGACACCAAAAGTTTGAAATAAATATCTTTTATTTGCCATAATTGTTTTAATTATGAACACAGAGCTGTTGCAATACTCCAGACTTTTGCCAAAAAAACAGCAATCATTCGACGGCACCGCTGCGTCTCTCAAGACCCAACCATGCATAAAATCTCCCATTTAAAAAAAAAGTAAAATAAAAAATATATATTAAAAAATTATGCGTACCACTGATATACAGATCTGATATAAACAGGCGTATTGGTCACAAACCAATTAGAATTATAAACATGGCTTCTTTTACAATACACAGAGACCAAACATGTGGGATATAAGTGGATTTTTTTTTTTTAGAAAAAGGTTACATTTTCTTTTATACATTTGTACATGATATTTTTTCATTTTATTTTTAACCTTATTTTAATGTTTTCAACCCCGACAGTCAGAATGCTCAAGGCATTAAGGGTGCAGTGTCCAAAGAGCACGAGTTGCAGTAAATGCACTTTTACAAACTTTTAACTCTCACTCACGCACACACACTCATGCGCACGCACGCACGCGCACACACGTTCACAACCAGGAGTGGCAGCAGTGGCTTCAGATACGAAAAAGAGAACTACAGGTGTATCTTGGCGTCTGCAGGTGACAAATACTGGTACCGGAGACCTGATCAGCGGTGGTTAACGAGGCCATCTGACGGTGAAAAAAACTGAAAGATTACATTCATGTATTGAGTCAATGCTGACACGCATTTTAACACACACACACACACACACACACACACACACACACACACACATTCACTCACACACTCACAGTTCACAATCACACTTCTGGTAAAATAAAAATGTGCAAAGAAAAGGTCGCTGAACGAAGCTGCACAGTCGACAATGGGGTCGAGAAAAACATCAGTGAATCATAGATAGTGCATAATGGTAGTGCGTATCAAGGGTTACCAGTGCTGGCGGCGTTTACAACTGAATCTCTATCTGTACCAGACAGTTTACCGTTCACCGCCTCATACTCAACATCCAATGATATGACACAAGGCTGATTCTTAAAAAAAAACTAAAAACACATTTTCTTTAGCTAATTTTTGGACATGTACCATTTAAAAAAAATGCATAAACTGAGTGACGAGAGTCACCGGGACAAAGAAGAAACGTTTCTACAACCTGTGGATCCATCGACCAATCACAGACACACAGATGGAAATGTACCAGAGCAGCAAACGTTAAAGAAGTGCTTTTACGGGAACCATCAGTTGAGATGAAGGTTCAATGAAGGCCGACTGAAGACCAAATGTTTTTCAAGAAGAAACACAAACCAGTAAGAGCAGAAGAATTATTCAAAACTAGAATTGAATGCTGCTTTTGAAAAAAAAATGTGCAATGATGATACTGTGGTGCGTCACTAACACCTGGTGGTTGCCGCGGGGAACTACAACAACAACAACGTTTTCATGAAATGAGAATATCCTCTTAAGTGCTATTTTTTTTAAATCAAGCTCACAATTCAACTTTTTTTTTTTTAGTTAAATGCAAATATTCCAACTGAGAACTCTCTCCATTTCTTTGATCACATGGTATGAAAATAACATTCTTAATTAGGCGTTACGGAGGAACACAACACATCTGTGATGGCTGCATTATGTACAGTGAACTTAATTATCCTCAAATATATCCAGTATTAAAACATCATTCCATCATAGCTTGACCCAACGCCGTTATCCAGGAGTAAACTAAGTGTGTGAGGCGGCGTCACTTGAGACTGAATTTAAAGAAGTTTGAATAAGTGCAGCCAAAGAGCACGGTGGGTGTAGTGACGGGGGTCTGAGACATCCACATCTTCAGAAACTACTAGAACAAAGAAAGCACCTGAAGTGACTGAAAGAGCCAGAAACATTATTCTGTAGCTGTTAACTTGTGTAGGTCAAATATTAATTATTGCATTTAAATGAAAAGAAATAAAAAATCGTCATCTGAAGAGCGACCAACTCATATTTCAGATTAACTGTGTACCGTTTAAGGGCTTAAAGTGGAGGCGTTTTCCACATCTTAAGTTCTGTAAATACATGTTAAGGTGTCCTGCAGCTGCGGCGTTTTACAACGGAGTGCTGAAAACATGTGGTGTTATGAAAGGATCAGAGTTACTGGTTGTAGAAACTTCATCCTGCCATCTTGTGTGTGCAGTGAGTTTGCGGCTTACAGTGCATAGTTATGGAGCCGGTGCAATGAGAAACATCTATGAATCAAAAAAAAACAAAAAACAGACGTTAAGGAAGCTAGGCCCAAGAAGAAACCACAACAAGATCCAAGCGGGACACGACACATGTTGAACGGAGCGTTTGTGTTTTGACTAAAGTGACGATTTAAGTCTTGATTTGGCAACAACAGCGACTACAGAGCTGTCTGTTGTAAATGAAAGCAGCTGTGAGAAACTGTAAACGTCTGAAGGAGTGCACGAGGCAAAAAAATAAAAGATAAGCTCAAACAAGACACAACAGGAGCGCTCCAATGTGGCACAGAGAAGCCTCGACATTACGTAACCATCTGGTGTGTCAGGCAGAACGTTTCAAACTTCTTAGAGCCAAAAGAAGACGAACAGCAAAGACTCACATTAGGGAAGCTGGAAAAAGAAACATTTTGGGTGCAATTGTGCAATTAAAAATAACTTGAATGAATGAATCTTCATCTTCACAGATGATGGAGATTGGGGGTTGGCTTGTGCATGATGACTTGCCTCGAGAGCTGGTAAAGGCAACTGCTTTTTTATCCAATAATTAATATGAAATCTTCTGCTCACCATTAATAATAACTACAATGTTTACAGAACGAACCTGCAAAAACAACAGCACGAGTACCAGGAATGTACCAATTCATGCCAACGATAACCAATAACCATAAAGTCATAACTCCTCCATCTCAGAGCTCAACCAGTCTGATCACTGAATACTTAGAAGGTGCATTGTAAGATAAAATCACCAGGACACTTCTGTCGCACAAGGAGGAATACAAATCCCTGTGTTAGTACCAGTTACCCAGTTCATCACCATCTACAGTGCACCATTAAACCAGCAGGACCAGTCTGAAGATATTTGGTTAGCAGCCAGAGCGAGCAGACAAACAAACCGCATGAGTTGAGGTGGGATCAGGATGCTTACAGGAGTTCCTGTTACTGAAAAAGGCAGAAACGGACGTTTCAGCTCGATTTGGGCTAACGGTAAAAGGCAGTTCAGCTGGAAGGCAAACAATGTAGAGAAACCTTGCAGCTAAGGTTAGCAGCCAGAGCGAGCAGACAAACAAACCGCATGAGTTGAGGTGGGATCAGGATGCTTACAGGAGTTCCTGTTACTGAAAAAGGCAGAAACGGACGTTTCAGCTCGATTTGGGCTAACGGTAAAAGGCAGTTCAGCTGGAAGGCAAACAATGTAGAGAAACCTTGCAGCTAAAAATAACAGATATCATCCATAACCTCAGATCGACTCCAACACTGCGATAAAGAAACAAACAAACAGAAAAGGCACACGCACGGCAAAGAGCAAAGATGTGCGAGGAAGAGGAGGAAAGGTAGTTTACAGAGAGTAAAGCAGAGAGACATTTTAAGAACAGAAACATGACGACGACAGGAGAGTGGAAACTGTTTTCAGGGAGTGTTCTCTGCATCTGGGGTTTTCAATTCATCTTTAGCAGCGGGCTCAGGTCATCACGGTCACCGTCGCTCTGGGTTTTGGCAGGAGACTACATTCTGGGGTCGGGTCAGCAAGATGAGGGGGGCGGGGCTACTCTAGAGTCAGGCATCACCTCCTGAAGGTCCACAACACCAACACGTTCCCACTCCAAATAGATTTCAAGAGAAAAACCGTACAAACATAAAAAAGGAGACGTTTTCAAAGAGTCATTTTCAGGAGGAAGTGCTCCACTCCTCCATGTTTGACAAATTAAGGTGCAACTTGCGGAGAAAAATAAAATAAAAATTCATGTTCTCTATGGCAGTCTCTTAAAAACAGAGACGGGAGGAGCAGGTATGCCCCCTACCCTCCCGCCAACAACCCCCAAGTTCTTCCAGCCAGGTCCTGTCAGTCCAATATGGGTTCAGCGCCGAGGTGGAGGGGCGGGCTCAGAGGCAGGGATGCCCCGTCAGGTAAGGCCATATCTGGCTGTACAGCAGGCAGGCAGAGCAGGGAGGGGGGGGGTTAATGTACAAAGATGTGCCTCAGTAGCTCATCAGCAGAAGGCCGCTGCTTGGTCTCTACAAAAATCCGTTTGAGGAAATCTCGGCAGTGGTCCGACACGTGAGCAGGCAGCACAGGGTTCGTGGGCTGGGTGGCAATCTTAAAGATGGCTGCCATGGCCTCAAACTCTGCCCAGGGGGGCCGCTGAGTCAGCATCTCCACCACGGTGCAGCCAACACTCCTGAAGGTAAAACAATAAATCAGGACACAGCAGCTCTGATACATATCTTTGAGCTGTCGTATTTAAACATGCTGTTATGAAGTCCAACTGATCAGGACAGCTTCGGTTACACCCTGATATCCAGGTAGATCAAATATCAAAGTCCACAACTCACCAGATGTCCGCCTTCCTACCATAGCCCTCTCCACTGATCACTTCTGGGCTCATCCAGTAGGGGGTGCCGGTCACAGACATGATCCCTGTTCCTGACAGGCAGATGGTCTGCAGCCGCCGACTGGCCCCGAAGTCGCCAAGCTTCACGTTACCAACCGAGTCACGAAGAATGTTGGCCCCTGAGCAAAGAGGAGAAAGTCATTCAGCTGCAACCGGTTCTCAACTTTCTGTTTATTCTGAGACGAAGGAGAAAAACAGATCAGCTAAACAGAATAAATCGTCCAACAAAATCACCTTTGATGTCTCTGTGGACAATCATGTTGCTGTGCAGGTAGGAAACCCCCTCCAGGATCTGCCGGGTGTAGCGGCGCGTCACGTTTTCCGTCAGTGCCCCGTATGACTTCAGCTGGTCTTTGATGGAGCCCTAATAATAAATAAAAATATTTAAAACAATTCTTTCTTTTCTAGTTTTTAGTGCATGTCATACCTGATTTTAAAATGAATCCTAATATAAGCCATAGTGTTTATATTGATTTGGTTTGAAGGCAGAGTACTCACTCCAGGCATGTACTCCATGAAGATAGAGAGTGTCCGCTCCATTGTGTCTCGCAGGCAGCCGTAGTACTGAACAATCCTCTCATTGCACAGATTCTTCAAGAGCTGGATCTCACACTCTAACGCGCTCACCTCCTAAAAGACAGAAAAAAACATGATGTTGATATATCTGCTCTGCTCTTATTTTCACCTTTTAATGAATAAATATGTACAGTATGTGATAATCAACATTCCTCTCTCACCTTGCTGGTCTCTGGACTCTCTGGGTCAAACTGGACCTGTTTGACCGCCAGTTCTCGTCCAGTATCGGCATCATAACAGAGAAAAACACGTCCAAAGGCGCCCTGACCCAGGAGCTTTCCGAGCCGCCAGTTGGTTGGGGCACGAGGAGCTGAAAAATAGAAGTTGAATCAGACTGCTGAGATGTTTTGGGAATTTTTTCCCAGCAAATAAAATCAAGGATGAACTCACAGCGGCTTGGCGGGCTGATGTCCATCACAGACAGGGTTGGAGGAGCAGCTGAGTTAGGATTGGGTTCAATGTCGCTTCCCCTCCGTGGCCTCCTGGCGGGCCCCGGGGCCTCCTCCAGGTCAGGGGTGAAGACACTGCTACCGCTGCTGGTGCTGGGCGACTGCTCGGTCGGGCTGAAGTTTACCGGCGAGCGGAAACCATGAACTTGTGTTCGCCGAGCCCGGGGGAAGGTCTTCCTCCCTGCCAAACACAGGAAGGGAATAAGACACAATATTCATAAAACATACCACAGTACTTCTTCTAACTTTATACCGTCTTTCTGTTTAGGGATCTTTAGAAAGTGTCTCACCGTCGCTGTAATCCTGGAGGCCAAAAGGAATGCCATATCGTCGAGGATATGTTCCTCCTTTTCCCGACTTCTCAAACACGGGGATATCGTACTCTAGAGCGGAGGAGAAGGACGATGAAGAAACACAGAATGGTAACGTGTGAAAAGTTATCAAGGCCTTTCCTTAAATGTTTTCAATCAAACATTTACCTGGAAAGTCCTGGTGGTTGTCTGGGTAGCTCTGCGCTCGAGGCATCCTGGACTTCGGGTAGTCGCTAGGGCAAAAGCAAGAAAAAAAAAAACTATGAAATAACACAAAGGTAATTTATCCATATGTGCTGAATAACTTTCCTCATGTTTGTCTTTTTCCTTCTTTGTGTGTCTAGTTTTGTTATTGGAAAACTGAGACACAATATCATCAAACTGAAGTAATGTGGAGAAATTAAAAAATGACTAAATGTGCTGATATCCAAACTAGAACATTTCAAGTAAATGCAAACAGCTTTCACACATCTTATATGTCAACTGTATTCATTTAAATGTGTCTTATCGAAATGTATTTTAAGCAATAAATAATAACCACAGAGACCTTTCTAGTATCTGAGTATTATGAAGTATAAGATATCCAGGTCCTGACCTGTCCAGTGGGCTGTCTAAAGAGGGACAACTTCCAGACGCTGAGTTTTCTGGACTGCTCATGGACAGCGGGTCGAGCATCTGAGGGGAAAAAAGATAACTCACATCATCATCAGAAACACGAGCATGTCCATTGTCAACAAAAAAAAACTTGTTTGCGCATCGGGAATGTATCCTGGAGGAGGAGAGCTGCGGTCCGTCGAATGAGAGCCTGAGGATGGTCACAGAGAAATATTTCAATGTATGATTAATGTTTATTTAATAAACTTTCAAAATCCTTTTTTTTGTCAAAATAATGTTACCTAATTAATCACTTGAATTTTTTCCTTTTAATAGAATATTTGAAATCGTGTTTTGCCCTTCTATCTTAGTCATTTCAGCAACAGTTTGATTATAAGACATTAGTCACCTATCAAACCCAGCATACTCTTTTTCTCAGCCAGCCTGAATCCGGTGTTGTCCAGCTCCTCGTGGGACGGCAAGAGGTCCATATTGGAGGACGTGTTCTGTAGAAACAAAGGGAAAACAGCTGCCTTAGGTTAACCTTTAAAGGTCAAACGGGAATTAAATTAGACAAATGAAAAAGCGACTGACCTGAGAGGAGGTCTGGAGCACCAGGAGGATCTTCAGGCTCTTCATGTGAACACTGCGATCCAGCAGCTCCACAGCCTTGTCAAGGTCATCCTGAGTGGTCAGTGGAATCACCAACTGCAACAAAGAAAATAAACTTTTATTTCAATATCAGACATTAAACAATAAGCTGGTCAGTGATGTCTTTTAGCCTCGTACCTCATTGTTGGTGTAATGAAGGTCCATCATCTGACCGAAAGCCACCTTTGCTTTCGCCCTCAGGTCGTCCAGCTTGACAGGTCGGGGGAACTGCAAAATCCTAAAGAGAAGAAGAGGAGGAGTCAGAGGTCATTAGGACACATCTACAGGTGTGCGCTGACTCCATTAAAGTGATACATGATGCTAAAGCCTCACCTCTTCTCCCCTTTGAACTCAAACTTCACTCTGACATCGTTCTATGGAACAGAAGGCAATATTTGTTTAAAGGCATCATACTTTAAAAAATACATAAAAAGGGTATAAGATTTATTTATTTCACTAAGAACTACAGAGAGAAGCACTGCAGTTTATTATTTCTTAAACCAAAACCTGTTTTCTAAATTAACCACCATTTATTTGCAAGATTTGATCACTTCAACTACTAACCGTGACAGATCTTCATTTAGTTCAAGTAACAGCAGTTTAACAATATGTAAATAATGAGGATATGGTAAATTCAAACTTTAAATTATGTCCTTATCAGGTCAGAATAGTAACTGATGGTTACCTGGTTCTTGGGCGAAGAGGCTTTGGGTTTTCCCAAGTCCGACAGGAACGTTGCAGGTCGGCTAGAGCGGTGTAGTTCGGCCAAGTCCTGCATGATTGAGTTCAGCGCCTCCTGCTCATCTGAGCCACAAAAAGATTTCAGTTTCATAAATGTTTTAGATTAAAAACAAGCATATTTTAAAAATGAATGAGTGACTAAAATAGCCTTTTTATTAGTCTGAATTAATATGCACTATTACAAATGTCATTACTTGCCTTAATAAGAAAACTTATCATATCAAAAGTCCTCATGCAATTTGAGACTGTTAAATACCTGCAGTATCAAACGCATTTAGTTGTCCTTCAAGATCCACTGAAGTAACATATTACAATGCAACTTACTTTGAAGTACAAAGAGCCATTGTTGAAGAAAGAAAGAAAACATGCTTTGGGTTTTAAGGTATGACAAAAGAGGAAGCTGGCTTTCTGTCAAATAGAAACACTATCTTAAAAACACAAACACACACATACCCATCATCATGGCACAGCGATTGACCCAGGAGGCCAGGAAAGAGGATTCTCCCATCAAAGGGATTCCTTTCTCCTGCAACAGAGAAAATGACAACATAAATCCTGACATGCAGTTGATCAGGACACGAGTTAGAGCCTGAAGCTACTGGCTGATCAGCAGATTTATAAACAGTGCCTTTTCTTCACAGGGTCGGGTAATTAATGCATAATATTTGCAATAATATTGTATACTTTAGTGTGTCACTTTTGAGTTTTTTTCTCATATGTTTCAAACATTGTGCCTATGCCACTAGAATAAATAAAACTGGGGACGCACCTTTTTTTATTTATTAGAGTAAATGTAATAACTGGTGGGGTTTTACAAAACTGTACTACTGGTGTTTCGTCTGCACAATCACGGCTGGTTGTTATGACAAAATATATTAATTGTAAGTAGTATTAAGTCTGAATGTTTCCATACCACAGAGGGGACATTGACTTTCTAACAGTCTGAAGACACTCAGTCTGGAAATGAAGTCTGGACAGGGAAGATGGCCTCTGCTGATTAGGAGCTGATTGAATATTGCTGATGAGAGTCTATAATAATCACTGATTTCATCACCACTTGAAGATGTACAATCTGACAGAACCATCACGTAATATATAGAATAGAATAGAATTATTTTATTGATCCCAAACTGGGAAATTGTGGCGTTACAGCAGCAGGTTATCCAAACACACAATATGAGTAAAAAAACTAAAAAAAACACAATGTTAGCAAATCTAAACATAATATAATATTAAATACAAGTAAATAAGTACTAAAAATATCAAAACTAAGAATGTGAATATATACAACCAGGATTTAACTAAGCATTACTAGTCTTAAATAGGAAGATTAAATATGAAAGATTAAATGTAAATGTGCAAAAACAGAGACATAAATGGTTGTAAATTAAATATGAAAGATTAAATGTAAATTAAATATGAAAGATTAAATGTAAATGTGCAAAAACAGAGTCATAAATGGTTGTAAATTAAATGTGAAAGATTAAATGTAAATGTGCAAAAACAGAGTCACAAATGGTTGTAAATTAAATATGAAAGATTAAATGTAAATGTGAAAGATTAAATGTAAATTAAATGTGAAAGATTAAATGTAAATGTGCAAAAAAGAGTCATAAATGGTTGTAAATTAAATGTGAAAGATTAAATATAAATGTGCAAAAACAGAGTCATAAATGGTTGTAAATTAAATATGAAAGATTAAATGTAAATGTGCAAAAACAGAGTCATAAATGGTTGTAAATTAAATATGAAAGATTAAATGTAAATGTGCAAAAAAAGAGTCGTAAATGGTAGTAAATTAAATGTGAAAGATTAAATGTAAATGTGCAAAAAAGAGTAATAAATGGTTGTAAATTAAATATGAAGATTAAATGTAAATGTGTAAAAACAGAGTAATAAATGGTTGTAAATTAAATATGGAAGATTAAATGTAAATGTGTAAAAACAGTCATAAATGGTTGTAAATTAAATATGAAAGCTTAAATGTAAATGTGCAAAAACAGAGTCGTAAATGGTTGTAAATTAAATATGACAATGATAATGGACTTTGATATTTAACATTCAGCATTTGGGATTATTCTTCAAAAAAACCTCCTATTTAAACCACAATATGAAGCTTGCTTACATCACCTGACCACAGCAAAGTTGATAAAAACAACAGTCACTATTGTGGCCTCCTGTAATATATAATTAGCTTTCAATTAACTGGCTAGCGTTAGCTTTGTAGCAACGCAGGCTTTACTTACAACTGTTGCAAGTCAATGTGGCATTAAGAGCGACGCAATAATGTCCTGAATGAATAACCCTGAGGTAATGATCAAAACGCACACTTAGCGACACATATTCCGATAGTTCCGTGTGTAGCTGTCAGGCTAAGGGAAGTTGTGTAGCTAAGCTAATGCTAAAGTTAACTAGCCTCACAGCTATGCAAAACCCCACCGCACAGTGCGACCATTAAAAAGCTCCGGGGAGTCGTAATGTTTACACCAACACGGCTATCTGTATCTTACCTGGTACTTGATTCAATCTATGTTCGATTCCTCACTCACAGGGCCGGTGACAGGAGCCCCGGGCCCTGCGGAGGTCGCTGGAGGAAGCAGAAGTTTGGTAGTCAGCTCCCAACTTCACTCGAGTCCTGCTGGGCCACGACGACGAGGCCCGACGACTGACTGTTTCAGCCCCCGTGGATCTTTTCAGGCAGCAAATAACAACAACGGACGCATCCGGCAGTGTAGCTCTGCGTCCGTGCGGTGATAAAAACACAAAATTATTCGCGAGCTTTCATTTTGTTGCACTCTACAGATTGGTTGACGGCGGCTTCGTTCGCTGTTTCCTCACTTTTGTTAAGCGACCGAGAAAAACTACAAACGGATACCGGAAGTGGAGGGATTTTCCTAACAAAATAAAATCATAACATCGCTAGCGTTGGGACTCCCCCTATAGTTTCACATCTCGTGGTTTTATAGTGACAGTTAGTAACCGGAAATGTCTTGTCTCTGTCCTGATTAACTTGACAGGTCTCGTCTTCCAAACCTCGTTGTCAGAATCCAACAAAAACACAAGCTGTGATGTCAGGGAAATATGTCGCTTCGTCTATTTAAATCACACCTGTCAAATACATATATTTTTGTGTCTTATATATAGAATTTAGCATTTTCAAAGAGATTAACAAATTTCAGCTTTTATTGTTACATTGAGAATTATTGTTGTTTTTTTTATTTTGATAACTCGAGCCCATTAAAGGCTAAATTAAATTCCACCACATCGCAATAATGAAAGTACGGATAGTCTAATTTATAAAGTGGGTAATTAATAAAGCATCAAACACCTATAATTTATTAAAAGTCCATGCGAGTTATTTATCATTTTGGAATTCATACACGCAATTTATTCTGTAAATGTGCATAATTCTAAAAAATATTTGTGGACATCGTTTCTATGAGAAGTGAACTGCACAAAAAACTACTTACTGTCAATCTGTTTTCGCTAGACGGGTTTTATTTTGAAAGAAGCTACTCAGCACGTCACTTCCGGTTGCTGGCGATTTCTCATAACATCCAGCTTGAGCAGCGACTGAAAGCTGAACGTTAGCTACGTCTTATTGTCACTTTATTTTAACTGCATACGCAGAGGAAAAACATGTCAGATACGGTAGGACGCTGACTATACAAATGCCGTTGTGTTTTAAGTTATCACGAAATTAAAAAAGGCAAAGAAGAGAATGTTTTTGTGGTTGCTGCCTCGTAGCTGGTGGTTTAAGATGCTAACTGTTAGCTCGTGTAGCTTCAGGCCAAAAACTCACTGATTATTTGTCTCTTTAGCTTCTCAGTTAACTTTGATTTTAGTTCATTTTCAGAGACCAGCTGCACAGTATGAATTGATACCAACACGTAGAAGTTGAAACATATATTCCTCAGTCAGTGTTTGCTAAATCAGCTGATTTGAGCCTTCAGGCCTACTCTACTTTAATATACATGGTGCGTTAAAATGCTTTCTGCTGCTGAAGTTTTCCTGTTTCTGTTGCTTTTAAGGAGACAAAACCATCCAGCCAAGACGGGGGGGATAAGAAGGATGGAGAGTACATCAAATTAAAAGTGATTGGTCAGGTACGTTTGAAAACAAGGACAATGGATCAGTGTCACTATAGCAGCATTAAACCTAAAATGTGGAATTGTCTGCTCACATCAGGCAGAACTCTTGTTAGGCTTTTTGGTTGTTTAGAGATGCCTTTTGAATGATGATGATCTATAACTATTCTGTATATACGAATGGTTTGATTGCCTTCTCATAATTGGTACATGTGCAGGAATCAATTCGTTGTTTAATATAGACAGAGCTTATAATGACCCTGTTATTACAAAAAAGGTTGTCTTGCATGTTGAGCTAAGATATTTACAATCTCAAAACAAAGGACGACAATAAAACATCTAGTTATTTGGAAATTTGGACACCCTTCTTTAGATATAGTGGTAAAAGACTTGCAAATTCTGTACTAAAGGGAATGATGGATTACAGCTCAGAAAACAGACGAAGGGATATTTTTGGGTCATAAAATTTTTATTTTGTATTTTTAAATGTATTCAACATTTTTATTATTATTATTATTATTTTTTTATTTGATGCGTTGTTTTCTAATCTTGCTTAAAAGACATTGCTTTTAATGTTAAACATTTTTCGATGTAAAAGAAAAAGAGGTGCTGCCTCACTTGTTAACTGTGGATATTATACACTGTTTCCTGCACAAGCTTGGATGCCGTGGCATTCTTTGTGCCATACTTTGCATACTTTGTGGTTACAGGCATAACTGTTTTGTCTATGAAGTATGGGGTGTGCCATGTGTCTGAGATATAGATGAGAAATTTAATTTGTGGCCAGTGTGTGTTGTTTGTTCTGTTGTACTGTTTGAATTGTCTGTATGTGTGTTTAAAAGTTAAAAGTACAATAAAAATATTTATGAAAAAAACAAACATCTAGTTATACAGTATTTATATCAGATGTAACTCGAATCAAGTTAAATTGTAACTTTCTGAAATTATATTCAAGGTCAATGTCATGTCCAGCTTCATCTTCAACATTTTTAATCATGTTTAAATGACAGCATTACTACATGATGTTTAGGAGATTATGTTTGCTATTGGGATGTTTACCTGTAACACCTGAGGAAAGATCTATGATGTAAACATGTGCACACATGTTATGCGTGTTTACATGTTCTTACAACTTGATCACACAAACATGTATAGTTTGTGTAAATGGTGTATGCATTCTGTAGAAATGTATTTCCTCTATGCCAGGGATGGGCAACTTTGGCCACAGCAAGGGCCACATTTGTTTCATTCTCACTGCCAGAGGGCCAAACTGTAGGATACAAAAACGATTAAAGTCAATTATGTCTCAAAATATACCAGTTATCAAATATTATTAAGGACATATTTCTGGTTTTGATGATTTCATGGCAGATTTTGTCATGTTTTCCAATTAATCGTTATGTAAAAAATGACCTGAGGGCCACTTTGAGGGTTGATGGGTGCCGTATGTGGCCCCCGGGCCACCAGTTGCCCACCCCTGCTCTTTGCACACCCAAAATATTATTTAATGAACTGTTTGAAATGCTTTTTGTGCCTGCAAACTTTAAAGCACTTTGAATTGCCTGGTGTCTGAAAGGTGCTTTATAAATAAACTTACCTTGCCTGAACAATATATTAGCCTCTATACAGTCTGAACTGAACAGCTGCCTGTAAATGATCTGGTTTTAAAGAAAGATATGACGATATAATTTGGCTGCACTCCATCATCCCTTTTTCCTTGTGCCCACAGGACAGCAGTGAAATCCACTTTAAGGTGAAAATGACGACACATCTGAAGAAGCTGAAGGAGTCTTACAGCCAGAGACAGGTAACAAGGAAATTACATCTGCCCCTCCTTGTCACTGATTGACAGAAGTTTTACTTTATGCCATAAATGAAGCTCTGAGTAAGGCCTCCTTAGTTAGGTTCCGGGATTAAAAATTTACTTTTGTCATAGTTGTGAAGTTACAACAGTACTTAAAGACATAATCGCTCATTGTCATATAAATGTTTTTCTTACAGGGTGTCCCAGCCAGCACGCTAAGGTTCCTGTTTGAGGGACAAAGAATCTCAGACAACCAAACTCCAAAAGAGGTAAACTTGTCTCTCTTGACTTGGCCTTCCCTTTGTCCTTTTCTATTGATCTCGAGCATAGTTATTTGTGTATTTCAAATGTTGCACCCTGTACATGGAAAATAACCTTTAAATGAAAATTTAAAGTTGTGAATGCGATTTAGAAAAATAGAATATAGTTAGAAGTAAAATCTTTTGTTTTGCCTTTGTCAGTAAAACATGCATCACTGTTGTTTGTTTATGTCAGCTGGGGATGGAGGACGAGGACGTCATCGAGGTTTATCAAGAACAGACCGGCGGACTTTGGAATGATTAAACCTCCTGCATTTCTAAATCTTTTTTTCTTATTTTATATTTTATTTTGTATGTATGTGCGTATTTTTGTTCGGTTTCAAACCATCTGGATCAAAACTGACTCTATCAGGGCTTCCATTGGAGAGGACAGGGAGATGAACAGACTGAGGTAAGGACAATGAAAAAGATGGCGGGTTTCTGAAGCGCAGGGATGCTCATGCTGTTAACCAGAGCAATAGATTTCAACATGAGTGTCACACCCAAATTTACATTGAATAATGTGTGTATTATGTTTGCTTTTTCTGTCTGTTTAATTGAATCAAAAACATGTCATGATGTTGGTCATGTCCAGATGTGATCTCTCCTGTTTGGCACAAAGTAGCTCTGTTCTTAATGGTTTCAGAATAGTGTAATCATGCACCTTTGAAGCAAAACTTACGGTGAATTTGTGGATATCTGAACTTGAAGTGCTTGAAAATGCTAAAGCTTTAAGAACAGATGATCATGAAGCAAATCTTGATTATTGGAGCCACTTGAGAACACTTGGAATCTGCAATTAAGAGCACACAAGTCCTTATGACCTTAGTGTTTGGGGAGGCTGGAGCAAAGCAGTATCAGCTGTGCAGATAATGTCAGAATATGATTTTTGTATGCGCTATTTGTTCATAATAGTCATGACAAAGGCAGACTTCTAGTTCCCTTGTGTAGGATATTGAAAAAGAAGTCTGCATGTTTTTAATTGGGTCAACAGAGGAGTTTAATTCACTGAGTCAGGGGTAGAGGACAGGTATTTGCACGCTAAGCAGGTCATTCCACATATCTTAACAGCGGGATTTCTGGGCTGTCTACATCAATGCGGCAGAACATGAATATGAGTTTGTCAACATTTGATTCTTAAGATTTGAATCATTTGCAAATAACAGTCTCTGTGTGCCATGTTTGAACAACTGCACCCTCATCAAATTGTAAAATTACGATCAGAGTTGACCTGATGTGGTAATATTTGAGAACACATTTTTTAAATGGTAAATGTGCTTTACTTGTATATGTTGTATTCAGTATTAGTGTGTTTGAATGATATGCCATATGTTTCTTCTTTGTCGTCTCTAATTGATATTCGAGGGAGTCATTCTGTAATGATATATCTAAATATATATACCCTTAATGCAAATATTTTGCTTGCTAACAGAGTGTTTAAACTTGGTGGAATATGTCCTTCTGCAGTTTGTTCAAGGGGAAATCTTGGAAATGGTCATCTATGAACAGTGACTTGTTACACGTTTGTGTCAGCGCTTGTTTTAGAAACTTTTCTTTTTCTTTTTGGAATGAACTCTTAGTCTGTGTACTGTAAGAAGTTCCTCAAAAGAACAGCCCCAAACTGTGTCATCTTTGTAATTAGAATGGGACCGTAAACAAGAAACATAGATGCTTGCATGATCAGATGCTTCACTCCTGAAGAATGGAATAACCAACTACAAATGTGGATGTGTGACAGCGTGGTTATTTCATTCCTCACAAACACTCAAAACGTCAGGTTAAATCTGCCGAGGACAATAGTTGAGCTGCACCTCTGGGACACTATTAGCTTTCTCTACTGCCATATATGACCCCCCCCACACACACACACACACACACACAAACGCACACACACACACACACACACACACACACTCTGAGAAAAGGATCCAAATAAATGATTTAATGATCCTTTCCTTAATCAAATTTAGTAGCACTTGAGTAATAATTGCTATTGTCTTTAAGTGTCACTTCCAGAGGTGTGTACAATAAAATAAACATTACAATTGTCCTTAAAGGTTAAACATTTTCTGAATTTGACTTTCTCAACCTGACTGTTATAATTTTTCCATCATGCGTCAGTGAACGGCAGGTGAACCCCCCCCACCCCCCAGGCAGGAAAAGGCTGTGATTTGAGCCACACCACTGATCTCAGTGAGGGGAAGGAACTGTTCACTATCAGAGGAACATTGATACAGATGGTTTGAAATTCTCGAGATGATCTTTTTGCTTTTTTTGAATAAAATATTTAAGAAAAGAAAAAGGAATTTGTTCATTTTATTGTGGATTTCCTCTCGTATCTTTAATTTAAGTCCCTTGGATAAAGTTGTGTGTCCACATCCAGCAGCTTGAGATTATAACTAGACAACAGTTGTTTTCCTACATAGTGAATGTTTTCTTTTATTTAAAAAAAAAAGATAAAACACAACATTTTAAAAAATGTAAATTATTGAAGTCAGAGGCACTACATGTTATTGTATAAACTTTCGAGACTTTGTAGAAACAGCTTCAGTTTCACTTTATCACACATAACTGTAAAGTCATGCAGCGTTATGCCAACAGTTGTTAAAAATAATTCATGTATATTTAAGATATATTAGTTAATTTAACATTCATGACAGTATATGTCGTGTGATGCAACCTGATGAAGAGGTGGCTCATAGTGAACATTTCCTGCTGCATCATACTTTATTTGCATGGATGTAAAAATGTTCTTTCATGTAGGGTGCACACTTTATTTGCACACTTTGAATATTGAATTAGCCATCCAAATACACTTATAGATGTAATTAATTTGCAAGAGTTTATATCTTAAAGTTATAATGGATGATATATCAACACGTCAGCTATTTGTATTTTTTTTTAAACTTAATACATAAACTTAAAAAAATAAATACCATTGATAATATTTTTTATAAATAGCATTTCTTTCTTTTTCAGTGCAATCTTAATTTTCTGAAGGAAAAGTGTACACCAGATGATTGTTCTCTGTTCTGTTTTTCTCATTCAAACACAAGTCAGGCTAATCACAAGTGTTCATGAGACTCAAACGCTGGGTTATCTTTACTTGTGACGTTTGTTAACACCACCGAGCTGTCAGTCCCAGATTTTGCGGGTGAAGAGCAGTCCAGGTTCACTTCTTTCCTCAAAGTCTGCTGGCTTGTATGCTGTGACCTCACAGGTAACCTGTAGGTACAGAAAACAATCCCAGAGACTATCAACAGGACGCTCCCCACTAACCCAACCCCGATGCCGTGCCCCACCTGTTGAGAATCAGGAGCTGGGGGCATTTTAAACTCAGGGGGAAACTTTATGGTCTGATTGGTAACCACTGAGTGTATATTCCACAGGAGAGGTATCAGTGCCATCACTGATGCCAAAAGACACAGCACACCAGAGATAAAGAACGCCAAACGAATCGGGGAGTTCTTCTCCATCCCAAAGTAGACATTTCTCAGGGAATAAACTCCACCAGCGTTTCCACAAATCCCCACGAACAGAGACAGGAGCATGAGGACCTGACCTGCCACGATCTCCGGGGGTGTGAAGGCCTCGGTCAGGCTGATGAACTGGCAGTGCATAACCCTAAAGCTGGGTGTCACCAGGGTGTGGCTGTTGAAGCAGGCCCTCCAGATGCCAACCCAGGCCACCCCAGAGTTGATGACCTCTATGTCAGACACATGCCAAACCCTCCACTGGATCAGTCCCATGGCCACAACCGTGAGGGTCCAGCCCATGCAGCTCAACCACAGGGCCAAGAGCTGGGCATGGGCCGTGTGAGCCAGGTATGTCATATCGGTGAAGTCATGAAAGAGCTTCAGGTTACCAAGGAAGTTCTGATCCCACCCAGACCGGTCATCATTCGGAGATCAGAGCCAGGTAGACGAGATCATTGATATCACTTCAGAATCAAAACTCATATCCAGCACGGTGGATCTCTGTGGCTGCTGCTCACTCACACTCTTTCTCTCTTGCAGGTAGTTTATTTGCCCATGCTCTCCTGTCACCTGGTTACATGGAAAACAAGCACCTGCACCTCCTTCCTCTGAGAGCACACACAGATACAGGTGTTCAGGTGAGAAAACAACATATTATTTAAATGTGACAGCATTATATATATATAAATAAAGACCAAACAGCAATCAATTCATTTCTTTTCTATTGTTATTTTTGTTGTTGAATGGTAAATCAGCATGTGCGTACATGTCTGATTTTATGTAACAGCTCAAAAGGTTTATTTAAAGTTCACATTAAGCAGCACTGAATCGCTTTTTTGCCTTTTAGCTTCGGTTAAACACACAAAGTAGAATTAACAGTTTTTATGAGCCTCGTAAGCGGAGGGAATCCAAAAACATACAAAATAGAAAGACAGAAATCTTACATCAGAATAAAATAAAATCTATTTGATTATTTCAACGGTGGTATCACTCTGCTGTTGAATATAAAGCCTGAACAAACAATGCTTCTGCTAAACCCTGAGTATTGACATGTATAAGATAATTGATGTTCAAAAGAGATCAACTATTGAACTGCTGAAAGTCAAACTTACTTCACGTACCCGAGTGCTTTCTTCAAATGCTGGTGGTTCAAGACGCAAGGCAACACTTCCTTATGTAGCCAGGAATAAGATACAGTTTCCTTTCAGGTTCTGATTAATGATTGACAGTTTATATGGCTCTGATGGAGACGCAGGATTTTTTATTACGGTTATTTGGTTTCTGTGAGGACGCAATGTCAACATCCAACTCACTGCTCTTACATCATATGATGTAGAAGACCTTCACTTTAATCAGGTTTTTTATTTGAGCTGACAAAATAATGAGGACAAATTTATATCTTATATACGCTCGTAAGACACCATTGGCCATTTTCTTCTTCAATAACTATTGTGTCTAGTAACAAGAACTTTGCTTCAGTTTGAGCACGGCAGCTTTCAAAACCTGAGATCTCCAGATCAACCTGGGATGTAAATCGGCATTGATTTAAAAATAAATAAATTAACAAAAGGAAAAGGCTTATGTTTAAAAAAGAAAAAGAAAAAATCCCAATCCTTTATCTAAAGAACCAATAGTCCAAAAAGTCAGGAAGATCCTTCACAAACTATGGCAGATATTATTCCAACTTTGTGGTCAAAAATCAAAGAAATACAAAAAACAAAAGCTTCAAAAACTGACAACCTCTCCTATGTGGCTTTGTGAAATAATTGACACGTCACATCTAACCTAACTGCACTCCCACGCTTCTGTTAACTGCTCTGACAATAACCTATCCCGCTTGTCTCTTACCGCTCCCACTCTTCCCAACCAAAGCAAACATTATAAACTGAAACTATTTGTGGTCTTTGAAAGGTCGCAATAAGGGATAGAAACTGTAAACAGAGGGAGGTCAGATCATTTTACACCTCAGGTAATGAAAGCAATAATTCAAGCCAAAAAAAAAAAAGTCCTGGATCCACGTGTGGTGGCATTTCTGTAGTTATTTAGATTATAATGTACAGATGTCATTAGGTTTAGTCACTGTTCTCTAATGTCAGTCAGACCTGACACAGTTCAGCTGTTATTAGAACACCAAGTACAGCCTCAGAGTGTCAACTGTTCTTCTTGATATCTGCAAGGATGTTTGGTAGACATGTTGTCTGCTCCAGTGTTATTGACATCACAGTTTAGTCTAGGTGGGTCAATGTGACACGACCCTGATAATGATGATGTCTTTTAGGATATATGCGATGCCTTTCGAGAAGTTCGGCAGATGTGATTGAGCAAGACACGAGTACAGAAGTGTGATGTTGAATCATGTCTTAGTAATTTCTTCAACACCATGTATAACAGTCCCTTTTTAAGCTCATTCCTGAAAGAAATCCCTCAGGCATAATAAATATATAACATTAGAAAACAAGCTGGTTAGTAAGACCCTTGGTTTCCTGACAGGATCTAATGTTTTTGGGTCAATACTTACAAATTTTGCATCACAAATCACAAAAAACGTACAAGCATTTGCGCCTCTTCAATTTGACTGAGTTGCTTGAAAAGATTCAAACAGCATCCTAATTTACCCTCATGAAGAAATTTTAAATTCATGAATCAATCGTTGAAGAAAAGGATAAAACATTCCTGCTGCGTTGGGAGTTCATCACTTGTTTAAATGTTATCACACATTATATAAAATACATAATCAAGACACCATCACTAGATCTTTTGCCTTGATCATTTTATTGCTTTGAAAATTGGTGAAAGTTTGCACTGCATACATAATGTGTGTAGGCCATTCACAAAACCCTGGGGCATTCCCACACCCGTCCACGTAGCTCACAGTGGTTGGGAGAATAGAGTAGGCACATCTTCAAATATATCTTTATATATGTAGAGTCCCAAACCAGAGAGTAAAGTGCAAACTTCTAGATAAACATCCACAGAAACACCTCAGTCTTTCACTCAGAGCAAGTGGAAAAGCTACATCAGCCAGGAGTCCATAAGTGGTGAGATTGTTTTTTAGATGGGGGCTCAAGCTAAAAGCACCGATTGATATTAAATCTGTGAGGTCACAGGCAACAAAACCATTAATATTTTCTTTTATAGCAAACGTAAGGAGCATCTTCTTTATTGCTGGAACCAGTCAGCATCGTCATTATGAGAAAAAAGTAAAGCTATCACGCTCACTTCTTATTCTAGCGTAGAGAGTTTCACTCCAAAAAGACATATTCATCATATGTAAACGTGACATCCCCTATAATACAAAGATACATAATAACATAGAGGAAGAGGAGGCTTGTTGTAAAGCAGGAAATAAAAAAGTTAATTTTAACCTCAAACAGATTTATAGCATTTTAGAAGCAAACTCTTCATTTCATAATAGACAAAAAAAGTACATCATGAGTCAAAATAAATTACAGGGGAAACATTTCCCCTTTCTCCATGGAAGTTTCCAAAAAAGGCTACAATAAATTACTAGATAACAGTTCTCTAAAACATGTGAGGAAAATTAATTACAAACCCAGCCAGGGAAGTGAGCGCTTCATGCAGCTTAAATACAACAAAAAGTCGGCGAGTCCGGAAACACTGTTCGATCGAGATAAATAAAGTTCTGCTTTTACATTATGGTTGAAACGCCATTTTGGTTTGAACTTTGTTTCACTTTCACATCTTCAACTGTATGGGCTACATAACAGGGCTCAGAGAAAAATACACAGATTTAAGTTTAATGCTTGTGACTGATTGGGACGAAATGCTGGTCACGAGCATTTTTCTTGTTTGATAATCCAAACACAGATAAAAATAAGCCATAAGTCAGATCAGTACATCTTAAATACTTTGAGCTTGATAGACGAATAAATGCAAAAAAAAGAAGCAAAGTGAGAAAATCTTTGAGATGACTTTCAGCTTCTTGGAGTTTCAGATTAAACAAACTACAAATTCTCAATTTTTTTTCCAATCCAGTTCCCGAGGCTCCTTAGTTTCTTCTTCATTAAATCAAAAACAGTCACATGGAATATGACGTATTAACTTTGAGAGCCAACAACAATTTCACTGGCATGATTAAGAGGGTCAAAGTAGTCTCAATTATGACACAATTTAACAATTACATTAATTTTAAAGTGCTACATGTAGCAACACAAGAAATAGATACCCTAACCTTCTTGTACCTCAGGACCAGTGGCTTTGTCAGGTGGAGAGTATCAGAACAGCGGCCTCTGCTCCAGCGGCAGACTGTCCACCAGGCACTTTAGCTGCTCCTCGCCCAGCTTGATCTTGTCCTCTAGTTTACGCTGTTCAATAATGAGGGCTGACTTCATTTTTACAAAGTGCCGGTAGTCGTCCAGGCTCTCTGTGTCCAGGTGGTCGTCCATGATACCGTAAACAAGCCGCTCCCGACGATCCAGGTTCTCCTTCAGCTCCTTAGCATCCTCGTGCTGCCGCATCAGCAGCTTACGCTTCTCTGTTAGGGTTCGCTTATGAAGGATAGATAAGGATATTAGTAACTATATATTTATATATTTTTTACTCTGCACCCCATGTGATCAGGCTGTTACCTTTTCCTCTGGCGGGGCTTCCTCCTCCAGGCTGTTAAGGGCGTTTTCAACCCGGGCAAGTCGCCCTGACAGAGACAGCAGCAGGCTCACCACCTTGTCCAGGTCACCAACGAACATGCGAAACTTGTCCAGCTGGTTGGGCTGACAGAGTCGCTGCACGGTCGCCTCCACCTCGCGGCCCAAAGCCTCGTTGTCCTCCACATCATCCTGCAGGCTCTGTCGCGCCTCCCGCAGCACCTCCAGCTTCCCCGCCAGGCTGGAGATTAGCTCTTGCTGGAGACCAATAAAAAGTACAAATGGAACGTTTTAATGTTAAAAAGATTATTTCCAGTTTCTGTTCTGTTCTGGGAAAATATTTCTACAGGCTTTTGTGTGACTTTTAACCTTTTTACTGGCCAGGTCGACGTCTAGCTCGTCTTCAGAGTCCTGCTCCTCCAACTGCTCCTGCATGTCCTTCATCTTGATGAGGAGCTCGGCTTTGGGAGCAGATGTGTTATAGTAGGATGAGCTAGGGACCAGGGAGGATGTTGCTGATACAGACAGGTCCTCCTCCTCTCTTCTGACACACACACACACACACACACACACAGGCAAAAGACAAAAGCAACTACAGCTGAGCAGGATGGATATTTGGGTTTTATACAACTTGCATTATGCAAAGTGACAGCTGACACACAGAAAAAATAAAGTGATACATCTAAAATCAATTAGCTTTTGCAACCAGTAGATGAAAATAAACTACACCTTCAAAAAGAGATGCAGTCTTTTGATTTTGGGTAGAGGAGATGATTGTAATGAGTCATTTATCCACCAGAGGGCAGACCGAGTGAAAAAATCACTATGCTAATTTCTGGGTTGTTGTTATATTTCTTACCTTTCCATGCTCCTGGGGGATAAGGTGGGCAGCCTGGAGCCTGCAGAGGCCCTTCTGCGCTGGTGGGCCCCCTCCCGGATCTGTTCCTCTGTGGGGAAGAGTCCTTCCATTAGGTCCATGGTGGTCATCCTGCCACTTTGATCCAAGATATCCACCAGGGATTTGTCTTTCCCCATGATGTCCCTGGCCAGCTCTTCTCTCTTGGCGTCTTCCTCTGATGGTCCAAACCCCTTGGAATTTGTCTCAGTGACTGACTCTTGGACTATTGTCCAGACCAGGTCCTGAGCAGTCTGCCGGTTGTAGACGCTAAATAGGGACGAGGCCGGGCGATCTACGATGCTGAGGGTAGGGATGTGAGGAAGCAGATCCAAAACACTGCATGTCTCACGGCTCTGAGGTAGGTAGGCTCTGCCCTCCCGCTCTGAGGTGCTCTCAGTGTGGACGATCCTAACGGGGACTTTTCTAACCGGACTGTTCACATCCATCTCAGCTGGAGGCTTCAAATCATTTTCTGACCTGGATAGGATACAGAGTCCAACATTAAGTATAAATCAAACAATATGACTGCAATGATGGCAAAGGTCACAGCTGCCATGTGGCTTAACAAAATAACGGTCCAAGTTTGACTCGCTCAGACTGCAGAGCAACAACAAACACGTTCAATGATACTCTTTACTGTCTTTTCAAACAACAGCGTTTGAGTTATTTAAAGTAAATTCTATTTAAAGTGTGTCTGAAGTCTGAATTGTAAACATTCAACATCTTGCCTTTCTAAACTTGGGTTTTCTCCATCTTGAACTTGTTTACCGTAAGTGATTATTTTAAGCCTTCTGCATAGAACAAGAGGAGAAAAGCTTACATAACGAGGGGCGCTGAGGAGACCTGAAGCACTCCGTCTAAGCTGCTTACCTGAACAGTGAGTCCTCTTGCACGAACAAGGCTGGCGGTTTGTCAGTGAGTCTCAGTGGTGCAAACTGAGGTGAGGGAGACCGCACTCCATCTGCTGAAAGAGACAAAGCCGGTGTCCAGGGGGAAGACTGGGATAAGGAGGAAGGTGGCTGCTCCTTCTCCTCCTCCTCCTTGTTTTCTTCCACGCTTCTTCTGCTCAAGTCTGCTGTGGATGTTCTGATTGTTTGAGGGGAGCAAGCCTGGGCGGGTCCGCTGGAGGAGTTCTGGGCAGTAGCATGTTGCTGGGTGTTGGAGCTGGAGATGGACAGAGGCTGCAGAGCTGTCGGGTCGGCCTGGGCGCCAGGGAGGAATTCTTGGGAGGAGGATGTGGTTTCTAGGCCTAAATGGGGCCTGGGCGGCGGCAGGAGGCTCTTGGTTTGTGGAAGCTGGGAGCCTGTGTTGGGGCTGAGGCTGCGAGGGCCTATAGAGTGTGTGGTGTGGGAGGGACTGGCAGTATCTGGTTTGGTCCTGTGGTCAGTGAGGCCTGGGACTTGGCCCTCGATCCTGGGGACTGGCGGTTCAGACTGTGGGCTGTGGTCAGGCTGGTATCGCAGCCTGCTCTCCGATGTTCCTCTACAGGTCAAAATAAATTACAAATTCATCAGCACCTGAGGGGGAAAGTCTAATTTAACCTCCAAACACTACATTGACTCATTTAGAGGACTTTCAAATATGTTCGGACATCTCTGAAAATATATTTGAACATATATTACAATTTCCTCAAACACTGGTAATCGTGGATACCGGGAAGAAATTTGGCATCACCTCAAACTCCATCAAAACAACGATGAGTCAGAAGAAGTTTTTTTTGGGTAGTGGAACCACATCTCTATTGAAAAACAAGTCTGTATCTCTGGTTAGCTACGTTTGTGTATATCTTAAGAGAGGCATTCAAAGTAGACGAAGAAGAAGTTGTTTACCTGGCCTAAGCACTGCTCTGTGTCTTCACCAACATTTGCCTGTTTGGTATATTTGAAACACTATATTACGTGCATTGCCTTGTTCACTTGAATGTTTAAAAGGATGTTCACACAGGATGACTGTGTAGTTCAGGAAACCTTAAACACAAGTGTGAAAATCAAGCACAGAGGTTGGATTACAACCAACTCCACCAACTAAAAAATATGCATAAAGTAACACTAGAAAGAAGAAACTTGGTCAGCTGTGATAACTCAGCGTTAGGATTGCTCATGTCTGAATGTCTTATTTCCTGAAAGGCTGTTGTTTTCCACTTTGCACACTGCGCAGCATGTCAACAAAGAAGCAAATGCAGATTAATGTCCTCATTTAATTTAGAAAGTGATCATTGACGCAACAAATTGGTGTCCGTTTTCTCCAGCAGCTAACTCTCCACCCCCTGTAAATCATCTGTAACTGGAAGACACCTTTTCTAAACCTGGGTGTTGTTCACTTTAAGAGTGCAGGAGACACTGTTCACGCAAACATGAGCTCAAACATATAGAGATACCTTTTGGGAGGACATCTAGTATTACAAAAGATAATATTATCCTTTTAGCTCAGGAAACCTGAAATGAGAAACTGAGACGTTTTCCCTCTCTGTCCTGAAATCTCACCACTCAAATACATTCCACATATACATGATACTTAACAACCATTTCTTTTTTGACAGATGCTCCTAAGAAACCTGCAGATCTGGGTGAGCAAGAAGTCATTCTGGTGGACACTTTGGAAAGAGTAGGTATCAAGTGTTTGACCTTTTGACAAAACAAACACTTTTCAATCCTTCTTCCTTTCAGGTAGTTGGGTATTTACACTGCTGAACCATTTGGTCCTCACCCTTTTTGTTCATTACACACTCCATTTACTAAAAAAAATCCTTTCAGTTTGTTGTTTGTTGAAGTTGTCTTTTATATGCACACAAGAAACTTAAACTTACCTGGTCGTATAGCTGCTCGGATGGCTCTGAGACTCTCTCCAAGATGAAGAATTATTCTGAAAAAAGGAACATGAAATGTCTCTACACTCGAAAAAACATGCCACCTTTTTGAAGGAAACTTTAATCTTACAATTACAACTATCATTACTGAGCAACTCACATAGAAATAGACTTACCAAGATCAGTTATGCTATGTATTTCTCACCTGTGCATAGAAGTCTGCAGATGGAGAGGATCGAGATCTCTCGTGGATGCACACAGCCTTCTCCTCAGCATCTGTATCTAAGATGTTCTCCGCTGAGTGGTACCTTCCTTGCGTCTTGACCTCTGATGACTTCTTCTGTTTACTCCACGTGGCCTGGTACTCAGCAAAGGTCCCGAGCCTCTGCTGATCTAGTAAGACCTGTGCCTGTCCGGGGCTGAGGAGCATGGGGTCTGAAGCTGGCTGAGCGTTCTCCGGTTCTTCAGAGGGAGATTTGTCTTTTTCTTTGCCTGTGTCTTCAAGGTCTCCATTCGAGTTTGTACCCTGACTGATCTTCAGCACAGGCCTGGAAAATTCCGGTTTGGCATCAAAGAACTTCCTTGGCTCTCCAAAAGACACCGTTTGATGTTCTCCCTCGACTCCCACTTTGTCTATCTTGTCAGGCTCCGAGAAGGAGTGCGTCCTCTTGGCCAGGGGAAAGCGCTTACGTCCTCTTATGCGCCCGTTTGTGGCTTTAACCGAAGGTGCCTCTGGCCAAAGAGGCTCGAGGTCTCGTCTCTGGAAGGAGGTAGCCTGGAGGACTCTGGCCTGTGCCTCTTTCAGGTGGTCTTTGTAGGTGTTGGAGAAAGAGACACTAGAAGTTGTAGAATTCTCTGTAGATCTCCACTCCTCTGTCTCCTCATCCTCTGCCTCACAGGTCAGGGTTGCGGCGCTGCAGCTCTTCTGCAGCTGAGCTCGCTTCTGCTGGATCTCATTGCGGAGAGTGGTAGCATAGCGGTCACTGCGTCGATTTGTTTTTCCATTGCTGGCGGCCATGTTGTCACTGGCCTCCTGGTTGGACATCACACCTGCCCCTGCTGCTAGTTGCCTTTCAGTCAAAGTCCTGCTCTCCTGGGCTAAGGAGTGGAGAAGAGGGGTTTTCTGTGGGGATATTCTTTGATCTTCTTGAGGCACCCATGGGTCTTGGTGCCTTGTAAAACTGACCTTATGATCATTGCTTTGATGCGTCTGGAGGTTTCTACTCACGTCATTAGAGTGTCCTTCAATTGTCTTTGCAGCATCCTCTGGGCTGCGGCTTTGAACAGATAATTCAGATGTTTGGTGGTCGAAATAAAGACCGTTTCCCAGATGGGAGGGGCAACTGCGCTCCTTATTTTCACTGAAAGGCATCTGGGACTGAGGTAGAGAATACTTTGCCTTAATATTTGTCTTTAAGGAACTTGGGATGCCTGGTTCATTGCTGTTTACCCAGTAGGGTTTCTCTGCGTCCCCTGCCCTGCCCTCTGCTTTTCCCCGCCTTGTCTGGAGCTCAGCCGTCTGAACCAAATGCTTGCTTGTCAGACTGTAGTTTCTTTTGTGCCCCCCATTCTCCAGGTTTTGCTTTGCGAAAGAACTTGCCATCGATGCTGTGGAATGCCGGACATGTTTACGACTGAAAGCATTTGTGGGCAAATCCTGCAGGCTGCGATAGTAGCTTCCTACACTCTGAATCTTGGTTGGAGGCGCTGTCCTGGTCTGCAGGTAGAGGGGGCTTTCATCACTATATTGCCTCTGGTGTGAAGGTAAGTTAGTGTAATGGGACTGTCTGATGTCATTGCTGGACAGGGAGAAGAGTTTGTTGGGATAAAGCTGGTTGTGGTTGTGATCAGCTGCTGTGTTAGGATGAAGGAAGTCTTTGGTCGGCAGGGGGTTGAAGCTACGTCTGGCCTCTAAAGTTTTCTCCTGGTGAGATCTGAAGCTATTCTGAGTGTTATTTTCAGTCAGTTTTTCAATTGACCTGCCGTGAGCCTTTGGACCACTTGGTCCTTCAGAGTAAGGGAACACTTTTGTTGCAGCAAAACTGTCACTGCGGAGGGGAGGAGGCGGCGGAGGAGGAGACTGAGACTTCTTATTCTCTGGTACCTGCCACACCGGGCCAATATTGGGTCTCCCTGCAATGGACACCCGAGAGGGATTCTGCTCCCCCTCCCAGCCTCCGTTACCCAGCGTCAGCTGAAGATACCTCAGCTGCTCAGCCTGCTGAGGCCCCTCACTCTGAAAGCCTTTAAAGAAAATGTTTTCAGTGCTGGTGCCCTTCCTACCAGACATGCCATGGTCATGAAAAGGAGGGCTGGAGCCACCAGAGAAACAGCTCAACCCAGAGTCTCTTTTTCCTCCTGGCTCAGCACTGCTGTTGTATTTATTTGGTGAGAGACGACCGGGTGGGTAGGGGTGAGAGGGGCGTTCCAGTTTCTCCATGTGGTTCACTGAGCTGATCTGGTTGGTTAGCTGCTGGTTGTCCTGGTCCTCTGGATCAGCCAAATCTTTTGGCCTGGCGTGAAATTAATAAAAAAGATAATTAAAGCTTCAATTTCACAAATAATTGTGATAAAAAATCTGGATAAATTAATGCTTGATTGTTGATTTAAAATTGCAGTTAGAAGTGAGGAATATCATTCACACTCAACACCATGAACTGATTGTACTAAATGATGAATACAACATATTTCTGCCATGTTTAACACCTTGCTTCATGTTTTGGCTGCCAGACTGGAGCTGTGGCGTCTTTCCTGGCTTGCTCTGACTCCTCTTCTGTCAGCTTGGAGGAGTGCCAGGACTGGGGCAGTGAGCCTGGATCATTCTTCCTGCAAAGCAGCGATGCAACAAACACATTCAACAATCACAGGAAGTATTGAACATTTTAGCTTTTATATTTCATTTTCTAAACTCTTTTATGAGCCGACAGTTTAAAGCTGTGTCATGTGTTTTGGCATTCCCGTTTTTTCCCTGCTGGAGTTTTTAGAGCTTACTCAGGGTTGAGGTGTTCTTAAATCCTTAACATATTTCCTCTTGAGCACAAAAACTCCATGTTTGTCTAGGAAATTAAATCTCTAAATCGAAAGCAGCTGATTGCAGAGAAGAGTCAAGCCAAAAAATATTTATTTGGCTTTTGTGTGAATGTATTAATCAAATATGACTTTTAAATCATTGCATGTTTTAGTGTCATAACATAACCAAAGCTTCAGTTCCCTGAATATTCACGTCCTGAATCGTATTATTTTCTACTAATATAAACCACTTTCAGACTCAGAAAGATAAAGGAATAACATAACTCTTGTGCGTACCCTTTGAAGCGGTTTTTCCTGATGTGCATGTTGAAAAAGAAAATTAATTAAACATTCATTCAGCTCAGCATATTCAATTTGAGAACAAATATCAACGTGTCATGTAAGCATAAAAAAATCCACTGATAGCACACGAGGAGGCTGAACATCTGGGACGGAGAGAAGTGGTAACATGCAAATTATGATAATAGGATATCACAAAATTGACAACCAGCAACATGCTATGGGGAACACACAGCACACAATACTACAAGGAGCACAGAGCACATAACCAAAGCTCACTTAGGTTCACCAGAAACTACCAGTAGACACCACGGGACATGGCTAGCTGATGGTACCTCATAGAGCTTCGCAAAATCTTGGTGAGAAAGCTCCTCGCTACGTGAACCTCGGTTTCTGACGGCATTGTGCGTGGTGATACAACATCAACCATTTTAGCTCTGATGGGTCGTGAGTAAAGAAGGAAGGAAAGGAAAAGAAGGAAGAGGACATGTTGGTGTTAAACGTTAGAGAGATGAAAAGACAGAAAAACACATTATCAAAACTGTTTCTTCTTTCTTACAGAAATCTAGAGAGTTTAAACCCCAGCGTCTGATTCCTTTTCACTATTCTAATGCATGTTACTCTGCAGCCTGTGAGCACTCTTGTATTGTCAAAGGCTTTCACAACAGGAGACGGAGACAGATCTGTCACAGCCATATGGCCCAGAGGGAGCTTAGCTGCTTAGCTTTAAGAAAAAATTAGATGAGTGTGAGACAGATCCACAAGTTGCCCCCCGACCACCAAGACCTCCCTCTCCTCTCCTCCACATGTCTTAAAGTTTAGCTTAAAGTTTGAGATGAAGTTACGCTGGAAAAAAAAGCAATTAAGAGTACAAAATAAAAGCCTATTCAACATGTTTGATAAAATCTTTTAAAAATTTTTGGAGAATGCTATTTTCCAAAAAAACAAGCGTCTAGAAGGGAGATTGATTTCACAGTTCTGAGTTCAACGTACATGTGCAATTTAACCATATGCATTTTTGCCGTGGTATTGAAGGTATCTGTCATATTTAATCTTTACTAAAATCATATCATGGTTTAAAAATCTGGCATTGTCATGTAAAGAGAAATTTCTCAGCAGAATGGGACTTCAGTTTTCCTGATTGAAACTTTTTACCGTGTCCCGCCAAGATGGGGACACTGCATTCTTTCTGCAAAGGAATGCAGGGAAGGATACCCTCGTTTCAAGGAGGACATCTATGTCTGCCCTCATCAAGGAGTCAGAGAATCACAGAGTATCTGCAGTGGATGACGATCACATAACTTCACCTGGTCAAGATTTCTTACTTATGAGAGAAAATACTTATTCAACATTTCTTCTGGAACACTGGCTGCATCCACATATGTTAAATTGTAATTTACTCTGTAGACATAATTTGTGTGATCTGCTGACTTTCCGTGCTGTCATGAAAACAGGTTTACAAAACGTACTACGGCTGGAAATCTTTGGGGCGTCTCTCGGTTCGATTCAATTTAGATTTTTCTCTCAAACTATTACTCAAAGCAGTGCTCTTCTTTTGCATAATCCAAACAAAGAACATGTTGAAAGTTTTGTTTACATCCATATTCAAATCCATTAATGCCAAACTGTTACTTTCACTTAAAATCCTTCCCTCCCTCTGCTCAGTGTGACACATGCTGAGAGTCGTGTTGCCTCCAAACAAACTCCAGCACAATGAAAATGCAAATGTCACTTTTTCTAAAGCGCTGAGGGTCTATTGTCAGGGGATACAGCTGGTCTGTCAAAGATATTCCAATGGGGAGGGGACGCCACCGCTACCTCCCAGGATATACGAGCCATCAGAAGACAATTAAACGTGAACTCAAAACACTGCTCAACTAGTGCACCTGTCATCGAGAGGATGTGATAAAGTTTGACAAGTTTGAAGGACTAAGAAGTGCAATATGATTTATTTTAATGGGAATGAAGCAACAACAAGACAACAAGAAATTCTAACTCACCTTCTCCCTCAAATGCTTTGTTTTACTCAACACATTATCCGGCTCCACTTCACCTCTCCACAGCTGAGTCTTTCAAAAACACTTCAGGGCAGAAACAAAAGACACGCTCGGACATCACCACTCCCAACAGTGGAAGGAGAAAAGTGCTGTGAGGAATCCGCTCACTCCATGACCTCCCAGTATGAACTCACACAAACACACTCCACCTTGTGCTGCGGAGGAGATTTCCTTCGGGATTATAAAGGGGGATTTCAGACGAGGGGGAGGAGCTATTGTCCTGCTCAGCGTCCTTGCTGTAATCTTGTGTTTGGGCTGTAAGTGGCTAGACCTGCAGGAGAGTACGATCATCCAACACAGCTCACATCACAGAGAGGTTAAAGATACTAATCAAAAAAAACTTCTTCAAAATGAAACCGCTTCTGAATTGAGTGTTGAGACCTTTAAATTAAACGATCGTTTTTTTGTCTGTAGTGTGTTTACCAGTTCTTAGTTCAGCCTGTTTGCGTGCAAGTGGGAAAGTCAGAGGATCAGGAGCGACAATTGGATTCATTGTCCTGGCATCGTGAATTATCCGTGCTTAATTTTACGGTAATCAATGTGATACCTGCTGAGATATTTCAATCTGCACCAAATGTTGGACTGACTAACTGACCAACCACAGTTCATGATCATGTTAGTAGAGCTCATTTGTAAACACTCAATTCAATTCACACAACTTTCTTAATCCCTCTTGGGGCATTTGGTGTGGAGCAGCCCGTACACATGACAAAAAAAACACAAAGACAAGTTGACGCGCAAACAAGAGATTACAAAAGGAGTTAAAACATAAATAAGGCTGAAAGGAGACACTAATAGACTGATTAGAGGTCGGCCAGACTGAATACAAAATAAAAACATGAGATGGATCAGTCAAATTAAAGAATAAAAGATCTGTGAGGCTAAAAAGATAAAATCATTAACCTAAGGAGTATTCAGTAATCTGATCACTGACGGTTCATAAGTGTACATGTTAGTGAAGAAACAAGCTTTTCCTGTCATGCCATCTCCCATTTATAGAAATCCCACATGATGTTGACTTCTATAAAAACAACTAAAATATTCTGTTATTGTTCAGAATTTAGCAGCTAATTGAAGAAGGTACGGTAAAGGTTCGGCTGACTGAATTAAGATTAACGGAAATTCTTGATTTATTTTTGAGGTTAAACATTTAACAATTACATTTATTTGAAGAATAAATAATCTTGCATTTATTAGGAGGTCTAGCTTTACTGCAATACACAAGTGTTTGTCATTTTTTGTTACTTTATTCTGTAATTTCGCATTTGATTATGACTTGCAATATTTTTATCTTGTTATTTTATCTATGCTTCTAAACTGGAGAGGACAATATCAAAAAGATTATTTTCTTTAAAGATGATTTGGTAAACTAAAAAAAATCTGGATTTTAACATAATTTAAAGTGGAAGCCGAAGCACCTTCTTCAACCTAATATAACCCTGTTTCAACCGAAATAAACAGATATATGAATATTATTATAAACTTGGCTCTAGCTCTCTTGTTATAGGAAACCATGATACCATCACTGGTTTCAGACTTGTATTTGCTGAAATCATGCCAATTTGATATCTGATACCACTGCCACACATTCCATCACAACTATTTATTTCACTACTTTTTCTGTTGAAGATCTGCTTCAGCGTCCTTGTCGGGAAACATAGCACAGACAGGAATGTTTGGCCAGGGCCAACGTCTGTTTTGAGAGATACCAGCCAATGTCAGGCTGAGGAGGGAGGAGGGAGGAGGGAGGCAGATACTGGGAGATAACTCCTCCACAGAAAAACTCCTCCACTGGGGAGGAGAAGCTGCAGACTCTTAAGACTTTAAAATACAAATCATGTGTGTTTGAAAGGAAGTAACTGTTCATGTTATCCAGAGCCTGTGAGTGAAGGTGTTATTTATCACCGTATCAAATCCTTATCTGTTCATCTAAAATCACTCAGGATGTAAATCCAATTTTGTTCAGCCAGTTAGGAAGCGAGTGATGCAGATGAATAAGCAGAACTGATTTTTTATATAAAAAATTAAAGATACTACATTAGGTATTTACATAAGTCAAACCTCCATGAAGACTGATCCTCACAACAAGCTGTAATAAACCTTTATCACCCAATCACTCCCTCGCCTTTTCATCCTCCTATCAGACAGCTCAGTGTTGACAAATCTTGCCCGTTCACCCGCAGCCGCCTGTGGGGCCGTTTTTGCCCCATGCAAGCTCTAAACAGGACGACACAAAGGAAAGTGCCAGCATCATCACAGCTGGGCTTATCAGTGTGTCACTGCATGCCTGGCAACAAAACAATTAAATGAGGGGACAATAAAACGTCCAAGAGAGGAAATGGAAAGAACCTGAAGATGACCAACAGCTGGAAAATCTGGCTTTTAAATATTGATCCCTTCATAATGAAGTCTGTAAAAACCAAGGCTAAACCTGACAACAATCACGATTATTAATAATTCTTTGAATAATGCACAATTTTTAAAAGCCTGCAGCTGTCTGGGTACCAATAAAAGTGTCCACACAGGCGGATGAAGTTCATAATTAGCTTTTTTTTGCTTGCACATTTGTTGATCAACTAATTAAATAATTAGCTTTTTCCATTTCAGCTCAGGTTAAAAACTTTAGGTAAACATTTGCTTACTCATTGCTCATCCACTCATCTTGGTTCACAGTGTGAAAAAAAGCAAATGGCTAAATTGCTGACAGCATACAGCTAAAAGAGAACTTTCTTCCTTTCTAATGAAATGATGCATGAAAAAATCTGGCACGCACATCCCAGAAGACAAAGTCATTTAAAAAAAATGTCATCTAGATTAGGCCAAAGCTTGAAATTAACCCTAACCCAAAACAGTCTAAAAACACATCAAATCCGCAGCCAAGGCGAGTTGATTTTTTTGCCTGTGTCAGAGAGACAACAGTATGTAGCTGTGAATTAACAACCATAATTTGCCTTGTAAATTCTCCCTGAGCATCTCAACTGAAGCTGAGGAAACAGTTAGATGTATGCAAAGATTCAGTTTCACTTTTCATCAAGTAACCTGAACTAACATTGTCATTCATCTTTATTCAGATAAATCCTCTGAGATTGAAGAAATTTTAAAAAATCCCCTTTCCCCTCCAAGAATTTAGTCCGATTTTAAGATTTACAGGTGATCTCGTTAGGAAAATGGCCTTGTGAGTCATCTAGACAAAGTAGACCTGTCATTATCTCAAACCCCACTGCTTCCCGATGTAATCCCATTTGTCAAAAATCTGAATAATTGAATCAGGGGACATGAAGTAAAAGCAACAGAGGAAAACAGAGAGAGACGTGAAAGTATAAGAAAAGAGAAAATACCTGCCAGTGAAAGTCTGCTCTTTAGTCTCTAAAATCCAAACATGTCCAGAGAGAGAAAGTAAAGCACACAGAGGGTCCACTCTGTGCTTGTTGGAGAAACCAAAGCCCCTGAAAACAATAGGCTCTGCTGATATGGCCTATCCCAGTAAGCAGTGTCAACTCACCTAGGCAACATGGACTGTACCATGCTCCTAAAAAAACAGGGGAGGACAAGTGGACTGTGGCAGCTCTGGGGATGACTCCAAAAACTCTCACAGCAACGTTTTACATCTCTCCTCTTACTACGAGCTGTTTGCTCTCCTAACCTGTTCACAGCGACAGTTTCTTAAAAAATCAAATAAAACAGCTACTTGAAAGAGTTTAAATACCCGCCTTTCCCTCCTGTTGATTCGACCCACTCTGCAAAGCTGAGCACACGACTGTGGCTTTGCAAGTAGTAATTGGATTCAGGCTTTAAGACTCTGTTGCCATTTGCTGGTGAGCATATAAATCTGACAGGACGGGACAGCAGTTGCACATGTAGTAAAAAGGTTTAAGCAGCAACTACAGAGGTTATTCTCGGAGAGAGTCCCAAAATAAATCAATAATTAACTTACTTTAATATGAACTTTAAATGTTCTAGCTGAAGTTTTGATAACACATTGGGTTGTTAAAAGTTCTTCTTTTGATCTGTGGCTTAAGCAATGTTCACTATTAACATTTTAAAAACATTAATATGACTGATGAGATTGAAAATATTAGCTATAATCTTATATCAGCTTATGATATTTCTTCCCTGAGGTTACAAACATTTTGCAAGTCGAGCCAACATGTATGAAACATAAAACTACAAGGCGAGCAGAAAAATAAAGGAAGTTTTGTAAATTAGGTAACTGATAAGGAGGAAAGATCCCCGCAAACTTTAATATTAAATTTATCAATTTGAGAGACGACCGACTCCTCCACTGATCCACAGCCGCCACAGTTGTGAGACTTTTTTTTTCAGATGAATTTTTGGCCCTTTTATGCCTTTATTGGAGAGACAGGACAGTGGATATAGTTAGAAAACTGGGAAGGAGAGAGTAGAGAATGACATGCAGGAAAGCCTCAAAACCTACCATTTACTGTTTCAGACATATATGCAATAGCCACAAGCCTCCACAGGGGGGCGCTAAAGCAATCAGGGTCTAGTTATCTGCCTCCTGATAAGCAGATGATGTTGAATATTAAAATGTTTAAAAACTTTAAATATTATATATAATAAAGTTTTTATAGAGTTGTAGAAAGGAGTCCACTCTTTCTGTATCTAATCAAACCGGTTCATAGAAGTTTTTTACCTTTAGATAGTGCCATGACCTGAAGGATGAACTGGGCTACAGACCCTTCCTGTCTGATCTAAAGTAAAGTGGAGCTGGTTTGAGGCTTGAAAATGTTTGGCAGGTCAGTTTCATACCAGCTGACAGAGGGGACTCCTTTCCGTCTCATTTAGGGCGTCATTATCTGCGCTCTGAACTAACTGTGTTGGCTGCAGCTCCACCGCTTCCACAATACCCTCTTTTGTTTTACACTCTGGGGCAAACAAGCAGCCAGAGGCCCTTATGTGAGGCTATCAGGCGGGGTCTGTCTCAGCCGACCCTCCTAAACAAGAGAACTTAATCTACAATAAACAAGCATGATCTGATAATCAGATTTTTGAGGACACTGTTTGTCCTTACTGAACAATAACTGTGATACGGTCTTCATATGCCGCTCACAAAAATGTGTTATTAACTTCATCTTTGGTCAGAAGACTTAAGAAAGTGAAACTATAATTAATAAGTGAGGCGTCATTTTGCATTATTGGAAAATTAGTCTAAAATGTAAAAACAAAAGTTGTATCATTACTACCTAAACTTAACAGATATGCTGTTCTGGTACCTTCGGACCACCAGGGTCAGGGTCTTATGAGAGCTCTTCACCAGGCAGATGGCCTCCTGTCGGGAGCCGCTGAGGGGAACTGCATTCACACTCACCATCCTATCACCGGCCCGGAGACAGACTGACGCGGCCACGCTGCCCTCCTCCACCTGAACACATCACAGACATAAAAATCTTTAAATTCATGTTAAAGTTGAAGATTGAAAAGTAATTTTACAGTTTACATACCTGTAAGCTCCTGTAACATAAATACTTGTGGTGAGATACTTTTATCATGTTAGCAAGCTTACAATCAGAATGTGCCTCTGCAAAAAAATGTTTACATAACAGCTGTTAAAAATGTATGTTACGATGAAGCAGAGCATATTTTTTGCTATCAGCAGCAACATGGGCGAATGTCCTCTGGGTATTTAAATTGTTGTTGTTCATCTTGAAGTTTTGCTTCAGAGCCTCAGGATGTGCTGGCACTGCTTCAGACTTTCAGACTCATTTGTTTCACATTTCTTTGTCGTGTGAAGATAAAAATATTTAAGACACAAGAAAACAAAAACCACAAAGATTGAAAAAGTCAAATTTGGTGAAGAGCAACAACAATTTCTATCAGGTGAATGTTGTACTTTGGATCCTGTTTCACCCTCATCCTCCTGGAGCACCTGTGGAGGCCGGCAACCTGAGTGCTCTGATTAAAAATTAAATCCTGCACTGCCTGTAACCTGACAAAGCAGTCAGGTGAACTGCTCCGAGTGAGCTGCAACTCAAAGCAGCATTAAAAAAGAAGGAAAAGTTTCCTGGAATCTGCTGTTTATGTTTTTAATATTTTGTAATGTTGTACTTTGGATCCTGTTTCACCCTCATCCTCCTGGAGCACCTGTGGAGGCCGGCAACCTGAGTGCTCTGATTAAAAATTAAATCCTGCACTGCCTGTAACCTGACAAAGCAGTCAGGTGAACTGCTCCGAGTGAGCTGCAACTCAAAGCAGCATTAAAAAAGAAGGAAAAGTTTCCTGGAATCTGCTGTTTATGTTTTTAATATTTTGTATTTTATACTGAATTAAGAGTAAAATCCTTCTATCATCCTCGGGAGCTCAGCAGGTACAGACAAACTTTAACGCTGTTGTGGTTATAGGCGCCATTACAACGATCTACTGTGTCTGGGTTTATCTTTCAAACATATTTACACCTGATCAAAATAAAAATCTGAATTCATAGACTCTTTAAACACAAGGCTTTTTAGTTTTGACTTTTGCATTTTTGACCCTCCTAGCATGGAGAGCTATAATTAGAGTACAACATTTTACTCTACAGTGTAATATCTCACACATCTGTGATGTTAAAAAAGGCGACGACATGTTTTGGCACAACTTTCCATGACGCTGTTAAAGGTCAATGTGCAAGACTTTGATGAAAGACCTTGAATTCTGCACCATAGCTCTAATTGATATGAACCCTTCACACCGAGTCAACCGAAGATTTGGGTCATTAATTCTTTGTTGTACTAAAATGCTTTCCTCTGCCTGTGCTGCAACATCTGTTTGCATATTTGAGTTTATGGCTATCCATTCTCTGGTTCCTGTTTGAATAATTTGAGGATTTTGTTTCTTTTCTTGTGCTAAAAGATGCTTTGCATGCTTTTACCTAAGATTCCCATATATGCAAAAAGATGTCCTCACCTTTGTGATGACCAGAGGTTCTCTGTGTTCTGTGCCTCCCCTCAAAGTAAAACCCCAGGGTGCTTTGCCTCGGAGCAGCACCTCCACCAGCTCTTCACCCTCCTCATCCTCTTCTTTCCTCTGCTGCCCCGGGCCTCTCCACATGTCCACCTCTTTCCACCACTTCATTCTTCCTGCTGAAACTCTCAGATGGTCTCTGTAGTCCACCGCGTCCATGATGCTTCAGGTTCACTCTGCATCAACATCATAGGTCACTGTGAAAGAAAATGAATTTATTTATTCATTCAACACATGAAAAAGCTGCAGAAACTTTTTGTCCTTAATGATTCATTGAAGGTTATTTGTTGTTTTTCCAACTATTCACTTCTGATTCACAGATTATTGTTTTCATTCTCGTTGTGCAAAAACACTTTTTGTAGGTTGAGTTAATGATGATTTAGTGGGTTATCATAAACGCTTGAGTAACTAACACACAACTCCAATGAGGACCTTTCATTCTCAAATGGATAGAAACAGGTGGTGAAACTTTTTTTACTTACCTGGAAAGGTTTAACTCTGCACAAATGGTGTCAACAAACCTCGTCACAGGCGGACAACAAGACAGAGGAAAAGTGGAGGATGTCGTTTCTCGGTTTGTATCTCCAGCATGTGATATCTCTCCCGGGTCTTCAGTCTTTATTTACTCTGGATTTCAGACTTAAGCCGTTCCTTCTGCTGAACAGACCTTTAAATGAGGGCAGCTTCCTCTAAAGCCCCCATTTCAACACCTCCCTGACACCACAGTCTGTTATCCACTGCTCCATCGTTTGACAGATTCCCTGAGCATCTATGATGTCATTGCGACCCCTAGTGGTGACGTACTGCGTCATCGAGCAGTATGTTGCCTTCAGGTGACCAAGGTCCAGTCCACTTCCGGTCAAATGGCAGCTGGGTTACTTTAATTCAAAACTTGATTGAATCTTTGTCTCAACAGGACAGGTACGTTTTTACATTTCTAAACTTCCCTAAGGTTCGTACTTAAGTTTGAGCTGCATGTTCTTTAGAAATGCCATTATGTGTTAGTAGTTACTAAACTGGTCAATTCAACTCCACTTCTGGTCAAAGGAGCCTTCTAAAAAAATGTAGTTTTGTTTTTTTGTGTCTGTGAAGATGACAGTTTTCTGCTCAGGTATTTCCTGTATCTTACTTCATCAGTCAACCCTGACCTTCTCTGCTCCCCACACCTGACCCTGACCTTCTCTGCTCCCCACACCTGACCCTGACCTTCTCTGCTCCCCACACCTGACCCTGACCTTCTCTGCTCCCCACACCTGACCCTGCAGCTTCCTGCACACCTGTCCCTCGTTAACCTTATTAAGCCCCAGTGTCTATATGAGCCTGTCACTTTCACACTGCCTGATGCAATGTCTTCAGTGACTTAACTTCAACAGTAGCTGTGTGTGTGTCTGTTAAACTTTTCTTTATCTGTAACCCTCTGACACAAAGCATGTAAATACAAAACACACACACACACACACACACACACACACACTTCTCATAAATTTATTGCTCCAAATTTACAAAAACCTTCCTCCAAAATCAAATACAATCATGAATTGTGCTTTACCTCGTGGTAAGTACAAAAACAGGTTTTTTTTGGCTGATGTTCATTAAGCAGCCAACACCTGGAAACGGAAATATTTTAAGGTGACTACGCCTTTTACTGTACCCACCCCCATACACCTGTACTTATAAATGATGAAGAATTTCCTGTTCACTCACACAGCCGTGGACTAATCCAGCTCATGTAAGTATACTATTATCATCTCTTAAATAATGAATGTTTGCATGAGGCTTATGGATTCAATTTGTCAAAGGAAGTTAAATATTTTTAGGTGTTTCTTTTGGATTGGACATTTTGCCTCCAGAGGCAGTGAGATATTCATATTTGTTGAATATGTTTAACTGAATTTGGACAACTGTGAAGAAGAAATAAGAACAACCAAAAATTGCAAATCCTTGTTAAATTTGAATTCAGAAGTCTTTCTTTAATCACTTACAGAGGAAAGAATCAAACAAATATCAACCACTGTTCTAGTTTAATTGGAAACTAAAATGATTTAGAGGATCATAAATCCTCTAAATGCTTAAAACAAGCAAAGAAGGTGACGTACAGATATAAAGGTTTAATGTGTGAAGACGATACCTGTCCAACAGGTTCAACTGAAATATAATTGAATACCTCCCTGTTTTCTTTTATTTAGTGAACTATCAACAAAGAGTTGTCAGCAGACATAGAAATCAGCAGACATGTTCCCAAGCAATCCAGGTAAGAGACAAACTTTATCGTAGGTCCGTCTGTTCCTTCATGGGCACAACGTGTGTCTGTAAGAGTTAAAGTTCTTTCTGATTCGTGCTCCAACAGGCAAGCACCCCTCTGGTTTTAACATTTCGGACCTGGAGGATCTTGCGGGTCAGGACGGGGGCTGCAAGCCTGAAGGTGGGCATGGAAGAGATGATCGCCACGGAGATGATCGCCACGGAGATGATCACCGCAGAGATGATCGGCACGGAGATGATCGCCACGGAGATGATCGCCACGGAGATGATCGCCGCAGAGATGATAAGAAGGACAGATATGGGGAATCCAGCCCTGACCGCCATGGAGGGGATGACAAAGACCGCCAAAGGAGATGCAGCCCTGACCGTGATCGTGGCAAGGACAGACATAGTCCTGACCGCCATGGAGGGGATGACAAAGACCGCCAAAGGAGATGCAGCCCTGACCGTGATCGTGGCAAGGACAGACATAGTCCTGACCGCCATGGAGGGGATGACAAAGACCGCCAAAGGAGATGCAGCCCTGACCGTGATCGTGGCAAAGACCGACGCAGTCCTGACCGCCATGGAGACCATAGCCCTCGTCGTCATGGAAGCCCTGGTCGTGGTGGTAGTAGTGGGAGCGGCTCTGGCAGTAGCAGCGAGGATGATGGTCATGGTGGTCGTCGTAAGAAGCATGGACGAAAACATGGCAACAAGCATGGGCATGGACATAAAGGTCGTGGTCGTGGTCATGGAAAGGACACTGGTAGAAAGATAAATACAGATTTTTCTCTTTCAGCTTTTTACTCTTAGTGACGGTGAAATTCTGGATTCTTGTGAACTCATCAGGAGCGACACTTGAATCTGCTGACAGGTTGAATGTGATCAAACCACGCTCACACATGTCTGACATTTTTACTCTTTGGAGGGGGGCGGGGCTTTTATGCAAATCTGACACTTTTGAGAAGCTTAAATATGATTTGACTTTTAAATGTGTTTTTACTGTTTTGTCTTCCAGGCAACAAACACACTGGATACCATACTTGCCCTTCATTCATTCACAGATTCAGTTTATGATCGCAAATTACCTTGTACTCAGAAATGTTCAGTTGTAAGTGTAGTACCTGTATTTTCTTTTCCCAGTGGAGCGATGAACAATATTTTTCATTGTGAAGGAGGCTGACATACTGCTTGCTTCTTCTACATGTCAAGCTACCCGAGAACATGAACTAGACTATTCTCAAATAAAATACTCTAAACACAGAACCTGAGAATACTGTCTTCTTTCAGGATCTGTGTCCTTTTTGCCCTGAGTGAAGCCTGACAGGCAGCCTGACCTCAAACAACCAAACTCAAACCAGCATTTGATTTGATGTTTTTTAAATGTGTTCAAAGCTTCTTTGTTTGAAAGCAAAAAAAAAGTCCTAAACAGCCTCTGGGTGGAGCTGCAGTGTCAGTTAAGGTTACAGGTGTGGTAGTCTCTGCATCATGCATTTCAGGTGGCATGAGTCACCTGAAGATTCACTGTCCTGATAACAAAAGCAAAACAGGAGATAATTAGATGTTCTGAAATATTGACTCAACCTGACACAATTGCGCCTTTGTAACATCCAACAGAGATTTATGAATAAAAAGCTTACTGCAAAGCTTTCTGAATCATACTGTTAATTATCTTTAAAATGTACTTCCTGGTTTGAACTATTGATTATATTTATTTATTTAATCTACAGGTATGATTCTCTTTGTGTAACTGAATATGTCTTCTCCAAAGCTGCTCAAACAGAAATGACAGCCTGAGAAGGGAAACATCAACTTAACCCTGACTTACCTCAGTTTATGTTTTCATGTACACAGAGACTGTGAAAGCTGAAGGAACATGTCGAATGACAAGGTCGTCCTGTTCAACAGGTGTCTGACACATGTTATTTTCTCATATATATATTCTCTCTCTCTCTCAGTGTTGTAACTTCTGAGGCTCTGTGCGCTCCAACCCCCTGTTTAAATCATTTGTATGCATGCGGTGGATTTTCAGCATTTTTTACACATGAACAAAATCTTGTCTTGTGTGTAGACTCAATTCATTAACCAGATTTGGTTGACAGATTATCATGAAGTAACTACTCATAACTTCAAGGATGAGTGGTTATATGACCTCGAACCAGTCCCATAGGTTAACCAAAAACACAACCTAGATGATTAACTTCGGTTTATATCACATATTCACTCTCCATGTCAATAAAAGGCAAGTCTTTGTAATGAATCTCCATCTCCCAGCAGAGCTGCAGAGCCTGAGCGATGATATCTTCTGACATCCGCTGGGCATAATCCAGGATCGGTTTGTTGACTGGAGGAAAATCAGATGCAGACCCAACAGCTGGACTGACCAAACATTCTGTTTCTTTCGCCTCCTTCAGAAATGCTTTTGTCTCAACTCCTCCATTTTTGTCAACGATGCTCTCCTTCTGTTTATCCGAACAGGCTGGAAACCAGCATCTCGATTCTTTGTCTCCCATTCCAACAAGACATCGACTTTCAACAGGATGAGCACCTCATGGTCATTTTCATGGCTGCAGATAAATCATAACAAAAGAAAAACAAAGAGGGTGTTTTTCCTCCAATAAGGATACAGGGATATGGTCTGCCACATGCAGGCCTCTGTTTAACCAATAACAGTAAATTCATGGAGACCTTAAAGCCTGAGCCACTGTCACAAACAAGGGAACTTAACTCTTCCTTTAGCCTTAAAGAAAATGAAAAAATTTGAGGTTTCTACGACCTTCACAGCAGCTGATAAACAAGCAGCTGAACCAGTTTCCTCCTGGTTCCTGGTTGGTGGGAGGAGCAGACCACTCTCTACCACCCAAAACACCAATACAGTGAATTTCTTCAGCGTCCCTACTTTCTCCATTACATCTTAAGAAATTATGAATTAGATAAGTTATTCAGCAAGGTGTTCAAAAATCCTGCTGTATGTCTATAATTTTTAAGTTTTAATAAGAGAAACCCTAAATTACATTTCTTTATACCCATTTAAATAATCCCCAATAACTTTCTTTAATTTCAACCTTTACGAGACAAACCTCGATCTACTATTTGAAACAACATAAATCAGATTCAAGGTACAATTTAACCTGATTCTCTAAAAAAGAATTGAATAGAGAAACAATCAAATATGTCATAAATAAAAACTATGACCCATGAATCTGAAAAGTCAAACTTTTCTAAAAAGGAAAACCTCTAAAACCTAAAACGCTTCTTGACTCGGAGTGCCTCAGTGAGAGTTTGAATCAGTCTACAGTAAGTCATGACTTCCGATAAAAAAGAATTGAATAGAGAAACAATCAAATATGTCATAAATAAAAACTATGACCCATGAATCTGAAAAGTCAAACTTTTCTAAAAAGGAAAACCTCTAAAACCTAAAACGCTTCTTGACTCGGAGTGCCTCAGTGAGAGTTTGAATCAGTCTACAGTAAGTCATGACTTCCGATTTCAATTTTTTTTATTAATCAGTCGTTTATTCTTTTGTTTCTTAAAGTCTCGTAATAAACATTAATAATAACAATGTCATTTTTAATTGGACTTTAATTCATCTGCTACCTCTTTAAATCTTTCATCTGATTAAAAAAAAAGATCCTTCCAGCAGCCAATCATAAAGTTCCGAGTTTTTCGGGGGACATACTTTTATTAGCCAGCGTCACTGCCCTGACTTCTTCTTCCAGGATGCTCCTCTTATTGAGCCTGGCCGTCTTCTTCTCTGCGGGCTTTTCCATGGAGATGAACCAGACCTCCAGGCTGCTGGTGGAGAGCGGAGAGCAGTGCTCGGCCTGCGACTTCCGGGAACACAGCAGGCAAATGAGGCTTCACAACATCAAGTCCCAGATCCTCAGCATCCTGCGGCTCGAACAGGCTCCAAACATAAGCCGGGACATGATCCGTCAGCTGCTGCCCAAAGCGCCTCCTCTGACGCAGCTCCTGGACCAGTACAACCCGCGGGTGGAGGACGAAGAACACGCCACGACGGAGACCATCATCACCATTGCCACTACTCGTAACAAAGCCAATTAACTCAATAACCTTTAAGTGCTCTTTTATACCTTTTTTTTGCTCCTTTCCCTTCGCGCGTAAAAATATGATCCATGCGTAAATCCTATGCGTAAAGTTAGTTTGCAAATAGCCATTTGGAAAACAGTTGACGATTGAACTACATGGACCTAAATGTCTTTTTATTTTCCGCTTAGAGAATATTATTTTTAATGTTGAAAATTTGAATGAAAAATTGGTGTTGGCCAATTTAAGGTTGTTTTTTTTAAGGCGACTGTGTTTGTAATGCCAGACAATAGATTTAAGATTTATATTCTATTATGGCTCTTGGTCACATAGTTTTTCTGCACATTTTTCTGCTTTTTTGTACAGTGGATTTGAAATAACTCTCAACAAAAGAGTTGGACAGACCAATGGATTTAAAAAAAACAATTGCTCACTCTGTTTTTATGAAGCAAGATGTTTAACCATTTTGTTTTTTCTAGCTAATCCGATCACCCAGGACGAGATGTCCTCCTGCTGCCTCTTCAGCCTCAGTCCAAAGATCCAACCCAAAAACATCCTGCGCGCTCAGCTGTGGGTTCACCTGCGGCCGGCCGACATGGTTACCACTGTCTTCCTGCAGATCTCACGTCTAAAACCAGGAAAGGAAGGGAACAGCACCCGAGTGAGAGTCCGATCCCTGAAGATAGACACTGATGCTGGTGCAGGCTCCTGGCAGAGCATTGACATCAAGTCCCTTCTGCAGGCGTGGCTGCGTCAACCAGCGACCAACTATGGCATTGAGATCAATGCCTACGACTCCAAAGGAGAAGATCATGCTGTCACCTCAGTGAAGCCTGGAGAGGAAGGCCTGGTGAGTAGAGGGGGCATCCCAGTGTTATTTGACTTTCATGTATTGAACCAGGGCCTGTTCTTCAGTTCTGACTTATCTTTTCTAAGATACCGTGATGTTATTCTACTAAAAATATTCTATTAATAATTGATTCTTGAAACACAAAAATGCGATCAGTTAATCTAGGAAGAAGTTGATTGGCTGGGACTGGATTATTGCACCAAAACGCTACCGGGCCAACTATTGCTCAGGAGAGTGTGAATTCATGCACCTGCAGCAGTACCCACATGCTCACCTGGTGAACAAGGCCAACCCGCGGGGCACTGCAGGGCCCTGCTGCACACCCACCAAAATGTCGCCCATCAATATGCTGTATTTTAACCACAAAGAGCAGATAATCTATGGAAAGCTCCCATCCATGGTGGTCGACCACTGTGGCTGTTCTTGAGGAGACCCTGGTGTCTGCAGGACATAGGCTAAATTTAGAAGCTTTGTTTTCTGTGAAAGGGATGCAAAATATTTTGTCTCAAGTCTAAACTAAGACCCAGTAGCATCCCATTTAGAGAGGGGCACAAGGATACTGCCAAGGACAGGACTCTGAAGTTGTTTCTTAATTCACAAGTTTGGCTTACGGCTGATTTTAAAACATAAAATATGATAAAAACAACAGAAACTGATGTCCTACTTTTAGCTCTGCATGTATGTGCTTAACATAGCTCCTCCATGCATCATGCCTTCTTTGGAGCATTATATTTATGTGCATCCTGAGACATTACAAACCATACTTCATGTCCACAAAGTGCAGTTAAGGCAATGAACATGGGGGAATTATTACAGAAAACCAAGGAAGTTCACAGCTTTGAGGCAGCTGTCTCATGTCCTTCATGAAGTTGTTTTTTCCTCGTGTCGCAGTGTTAACGTGTGCTGATGCTGTCCAAATCTGACGCACTCGATGACATCTATGAATGCATATGTGTTAAAACATAAGAAACATTATAGGAGCACATATTCTAAAGTGCACAGATAGATTGTCTCCTGTTGTCTTGTGTACTCCTGTCTTATGAAAACTTGTCCTGACTTGAACCTTGACCAGAACAATCCCTGCAGGGCGTCTTCCATGTGTGCCTTTTTTTTAAAAACATGAACCTAACGACTCTGAGCTGTCAGATTGTCCTTCCCTCGTCCCAAAGCTTGTTTTCAAACTCCTCGCTGTGATCTGTGCTAATATGCATCACAGTGATTTGAGTGATAGAAAATACCTTCAGTAAGTGCAGGAGCATTAAGCATGCAAAGTCAGTTTGTCAACTAGAAACTAACTATGTGGTTGCTGCTCTGCCTTTCCTTGCAGAATAAGAAATTTAATAGAGTAACTTGTCTGAGCAAGCTCCGAGTTAATGAAGTATTACTGAAAGTGAAAGGCTGAGAGAAAATCCTACGACAAATTTTAAAAGTACCTCTGAGATTTTTTTTTTTTTTGATGAAGTCGTCCACAACTTCAGAACTTAATGTTTGAATGCAAGTGCAGTATTGTAAAAGATTTTCAAAGCTTGGTGCTTTATAGCTTCAATGCACAACGCATTGGAAGTATAACAAACAACTTGACACAAGAGTTTTCCGGTTCCACATGACTGCAAAATTACATCAACTGGAATCATTTCAAAGCAGGTTTAGTTGTAATAAAGTGAGTTGGGGACAAAGGGCTTGTGATCTTGAATCAAAACTTTTTGTGCAGTTGAGAAAGTTTATTACTTTTTTCTGTGTCCTTTACTTGAATCTTTTATGTTTGGGAAATGTTGCCTTTTCTTCCAGATAGAACTGTAGTGATGGAAAGTCAGGAGAAAAAGAGGGAATGTTGTTCAGCAAAGGGGCTGGCAATGAATCAAAAACGAGCCTGGTGTTTTAGTCTAGCCAAATTGTAAAGCATGAGTCTAACCTGATAAGTTACCATCGACTCCTCTGGTTAGCTTTTCCAAAGCTGCCACAGAGGATCTTTATCTCAGTGGACAGATTGATTTTCCTGCATTAGTCAGAATGAGGCTGCATCCAGTCGACATTTTAAGAACTGCAGCTAAATGACTTTCTCTACTTTTAAGTTAAATTGTTTTGAAAATGATGTTGGTAGTAAAAACTCTTTGCTGTGTAGGAGTTAAAATATACTGGTTTGCATGTCTTTACACTCAAACCAGTGCTCTCATCCAAACTTCAACTCATACCTGCTTCCATGGAGCGGCAGGTATGGATAACATCTGAACCTTCTTTGTTTATGAAGTTGTTTCAGAATTATCATCACTGACTGGCTGGTAAAATCGTGCATAAACTGCAAGGACAGTTTTTCTTTTCATGATCAGCTGATCCTGATATGAGGGCAGGAACTGTGATCACAGAGGGAGGCTTGATCTTGATTTGAAGCTGAGTGCAGATGTCCTGAGTGTTGATGTGCTTCACAGGAGTCCTGACCCAAACGTTTTTTTCTTCTGCTGTTGGAACAGGACGTCCACAAGCGACAGTTTCATGTTTGTGATTCTGCAAAGGGAACAAAATGTCCAACATGTTAAATGGTTCACATTGCTTTTCTGCTTTTAAAGGTTTAAACCTTTAAGCAGTTGTATCACATTTTTATTGTTTTGGTAGATTTGCTTTGCAAAAAGCAGAATAAATCCACTTTTTTATTTTATTTTAGATGTTATAAAACAAGCACATAACATGTAACGATGGGTGTTTTTGACAGATTATTTTTCAAAATGTTACTCCAGGACAACTAAGGGCAAAGAGGAGGCTGTTTAAAGAATACTGTTTTGATGGATATTTGTTGTAGAGACTGAAGTGGAAAGTTTGTTTTTGATTGTCAGAGTTTTAGAAATTGCTCTCTGTACTGAAATTTTCTTTTTGCGTCTTTGTGTGTTTGAAGCACTGCAAGTTTAAAAGAGTTCACCTGTATTATAAAACTTAAGTAACATTATGGAGAATCAAACACATAATGCAAGTGTTGTTCACTGTATTGCAAAAATATTTCAAACTGTGTCTGCAGTTGATCTTCTAAGAAAATGTTACAGAAAAAGGGACTAAATTCAGTGATTTTGTATCAAAAATGTGTCAGCATGGATGTAAATTAAGTGCTGAGAATGCATAGACAATTTTAAATCTCAAGTTTGTTCAATAGATTTTTTTTATTATTATTCCTAGTTATCAGTGCAGTGTGAGATGTACTTCACACAGGAGGCCACAAGGTGGCATCAATGTGCAATGTTTCCAAAGTGGTGCGATATGAAAAAGACCTCGACTGATAACAATGACTTTAGATATTTGCATCTGTTCAAAAACATGTGTACTCCATTGACAGTATATGTTTCATACAGTCTATGGTTAACTCCTGGTTTATTGTGCACTTTGTGTTTGTATGTGAATAATCAAATGTACTATAAATGTCTAAATTTGGAAAAGTTCTCGTATCTCTAAATAACTTGTATTACTAGTGTATATGCTTAAAAGTTTTTTTGGACACATTTGTAAATGTAAATAGTACATTTTAATGCGTTGTCTGTACTCTTTATTAATTAAAAGTTATATTTCTTTTTCTGTTGAAAATGTTTTCTTATTTTCTCTACCACATTGAAGAAGAGGAAGTCAGCCCAGTTGTTTTGACGTTTTGGAGAATAAAGCAAGGACTACTTGTGCTGCAGATAAGTGGCACATAATCCTAAGAAGTCTCAGTTACTGATTTTAAAATGGTAATATTTAATGTTAATGTTTTGTATAAAAAATATTGTAAAAGCATTTCAAAGTTGTGGGTTTAAGTTTGCCCTTTTTTTTTAAACATCATATCTTATTTAATTGCTTAAAGTTTGGAAATTAAAGTAGAATATATAAATATTTACAACAGTTGTTCGCAAACACAACAAAAAAATTACCTTATTTTTTCTATTATTTTACACAACAGAATTGCCTCCTTACATTAGATTAGGTTTTAGTTTCAGAGTTGCAGGGGTTTGTGATACTTTCTGTTTCTCTGAAAACACGTGGTCACTGTCGGCTCTTCTGCTTATCGGCTATCCTCCCTCATAACCATGGCAACATGTTGCTTTCTAACCTTTGTCAGGTATGCATTGATGATAGTTTGAAACCCTTTGAGTCAATTAGCACATAAGAACAAGTGTTTATTCCTTTATCTTGCACATTTACTGAGTATTTTCATCTAAAACACACGGGTTGTTAACGCTATCAGGGGGCGCTTGCTAACTGACAGAATAGCCACTGTCCGTCGTTCTCATTGGCTGTTGAAAGGGAAAGGGCGGGCTCACGTTGCTGCTCCTAAGCGATGATTGGCTGACGCTGTTTCCGCACAGTTAAAGTACAGTACACAACACCAAAAAGAAAGCTGAGGAGCTGCTTGGTAAAGAAGCTGTACGGTTTCCTTTTTAAGAAATAAAAATACTTTTTCTTTCAGATATTTTCACGTTTCCTCTGACCTAAAGGTAGGTTTATTCACATATTATCTCCCGCTATGACAATATTCTGCCTAAGTCTGCTGTTCGTTGTCGTAATAGGATGCCATGTCACTGACCTAGAAAAATGACTTAAAAGTTGATAATTTCAAACGATAAGGAGTTAAAGATACGTATTTATAGTCTGTTTGCGTCATAAGTTTTCACTTGTTTGATAGCTATCTCGACTAGTAATTATTAAACCAAAATAGTGTTTTATGCCATCCGTTACTGCCCACCCATTGGAAGTCCAAAAATGAGTTATTACCTGCACACCTGTATCTAATGTACTAAATATTACAGCAGGTGAATCACATGTAGACCACACTCACCAATTCAAATTATGATGTTCTGTAGTGTTAGTTACAGTGATATAGAGGAATTCTGTTTAAAAAAGATTTCTGGATGGTATTTTGTTTACATAAAGAGATTGCTCAGGTAAATTCAGGTGAGATTTGTGCTGCAGTGACTGTTGCCAGGGGCAGTGAGGAAAACGAAACTTATCATGACTCCTTCTGTGTTCAACTATGCAATCTTATAAATCAGGAATAATAATCATAAATAATGTTAGTTGATATATTTTCGACATTTTCTTTGTTTTGCAGAAGAAGCATGTTTTAATTTAATTCAGTTTAATGTGTATAGCACATGTACAATTGTAAACTCAATGTGTTTTACAGAAGATAAAAACAAATGAACACAATGCATTATAAAACAAAGAACAAATAGATTCAGAATCATAAATACAATCCAAAACATATTTATAAAAGGACCCTGAACCACGCACGCACACACAAACACGCACACAAACACACTTATACTTATTCCTATCAGAGCACACACACATGACCATGCACCAGCCATCCTTAGACACACACACACACACACACACACACACACACACACACACACACACACACACACACACACACAACACACACACACACAAACACACACACAAACACACCTATACCTATTCCTATCAGAGCACACACACATGACCATGCACCAGCCATACTTAGACACACACACACACACACACACACACACACACACACACACACAACACACCTATGCCTGTTCCTATCACTAGTTGAAGTTAAGCCATATTATTCTCTGCAGGTTCTCAAATGCAAGGGTCAATTAACATCTGTCTTTTGCATGATGCTTTTTTTTTAAGTAATACTTTTTTCCATTTTTGTAGAGAACAAAAGTAATTTCACATTTTTAAAATCTAAAATACAAGAATCTTCTGGTGAGAGTGAATGCATCTTCCCCCCTTATTTGTTTTTACATTTGTTTTTATGTGATTTTACCACATCCTCCCAGATAAAACCTCCACTTTAGTTTTCTCTGAGCCGCACAGCGTCAAGAGGGACTGTTCCCAGACTAATTATTCAGTCAACACTTGTGATCTCCGGTCTCTTGCTTTGCAGTCAAGCAGCTGGGTTGTTGAACTTAAAGAAAAATGAATCCAGCCTTTCACTTTGTCGAGTTGCTCGTTCTAATAAGATGTCTTTAACCTCAAGAGTTCATTCAACCTGACCCCCCTGAGAAAGAAGGGCGGGAAACAGATATGATTACCAAATTGTTGCATTATTTATTTATTTTAAGATCACAAAGTGATAAGCAGAAACTTAATGTATTGCTTTGGGAAGGCTGCGAGGTTGCAGAGACGAAGAAGGAATGGATTTCCGAAACAAAATAGAGAAGGAAAACTTAATGTAATGGGGAATTGCAACATCACTTCTCTAAAATTGATCATGTTGAGAAATATCTTAAATAGCAACAATAACATGACTACAGATCATAATTTCAGACATTGCATAAACCCTAAATATTTACTTTATTTTAGTATTCACACATTTTTATTTTTCCTCTCAGTTCTTCTTTTTATTCAACCTTTTTTAAAAAAGGAATGTACCTAAACAAACCTTTAAATCAGAGCTCTTAACACTGAATGAATCTGCTTTTGTTCACCAGAAGATGGCACAGTGGAACCAGCTTCAGATGCTGGACTGCAAGTACCTGGAGCAGGTGGACCAGCTTTATGATGACTCGTTCCCCATGGACATCAGGCAGTACCTGAGCAAGTGGATCGAGAGCATCGACTGGTGAGAGGGGTTTTTTTTTTGTAAAGAAGAACAAAAGTTTTTACTTTACAAGAATAGAGATCAGAGCCTCATTTGTCTTGTACTCCGTGCCTCTTCAGGGACACAGTGGCGATGCAGGATTCCTTAGCCACAGTTCGGTTCCACGACCTCCTGGCTCAGCTCGACGACCAACATAGCCGCTTCGCCCTGGAAAACAACTTCCTGCTGCAACACAACATCCGCAAGATTAAGAGGAATTTACAGGTTAGAACATTTATAATACCCCCTGTCATGTAATGATCACATTTTTTAATATTATGGGAAAGTCTAAATGTTGAGTGATTGTGTGTTTAGGATCGGTTCCAGGAAGATCCCGTCCATATGGCCATGATCATCTCCAGAAACCTGAAGGAGGAGCAGAAGATTCTGGATGGTGCAAAGAGTGCCGAGGTAAAAACCTGCAGCTCAGTGCAACATACATAAAGAATACCATCTGCTTATTATCAGTGTTCTTTATCGGTGAGTAAAATATTCAAAGCACATAATTAAATGTTAAAATCTTTCCTCACAGCATGCATAATAACACTGATACTCGACAAACTAATTATCTCTAAGTATACAGATGTTCCAACTACAGCTTGATGACAGTGTAGTACAGCTGTGAAATAACGTGCCCCCTCTCGTCTACAGCCAGAAGGTGAGGGCACGGTGTCGGCCATGGTGGTGGAGAAACAGAAGCTGGACAACAAAGTGAAGGAGATGAAAGACAGAGTTCAGGTATGATGCACCAGAGGATCAGATATTACAACAGTAATAGCTTTTAAGTTGTAGCCTGACTTCATCACAGTGCTAGAACCATTTTCTTCTTGAATCTTCCTCTGCTAGGTGGCGGATCAGAACATTAAAAATCTCGAAGATCTGCAGGATGATTACGACTTTAAATTCAACACACTCAAAAACAGAGGTGGGATAAAGTTAAAGTCTGTTAAAATAAGTTTCATTATATATCTATAGATTTATTTGTTTACCACAACTGCAGGAGTTACCAAGCCTTTATTTTAGGCGTCAATCTTTTTTTCTGAATCTCTAAGTAACGGCTTTCTACATGTCAACGAAGACCAACTTTGTTTGTTGTCCTTTTAAGAAAATCAACTGAAACTTGTTTTTAATTTTTGCAGAGAATGAAATGAACGGCATGACACACAAGGAGCTCGAAAAGGAGAAAATTATGGTTTCTAGAATGTGTCTTGAACTGAAGACCAAGCGACAGGTGAGCAGCCTGAGACATGGTGAAAACATCTGATAAAAGTAGGAAAATGTAATTTGTTAGAGCCGCAAAAAATATAGAAAAATCTTGAATATCTTCTTCCTCTTTTTTCTGCTGCTTTTCCTTCTTATGTGTTCTTCAGGACATGGTGACCCAGCTGATGGATCTGCTGAACGTCACTCAGGCATTGGTTTCAGACCTGATCTCTGAGGAGCTGCCCGAGTGGAAGCAGCGACAGCAGATCGCCTGCATCGGGGGGCCGCCCAACGCCTGTGTGGACCAGCTGCAGAACTGGTTAGAGTTCATGTTAACCATGAAAATAAGCAAATCATTACAGTAGTTACCTGCATTTTGTTTCATCTTTGCCCTCCTCCATCTCTTGATTTGCCCATTTTTGTTCTTCATCACTCCTGCTCACCCTCCTTTTCTTGTTCTTTGTCTTAATTTGTCTCCTTGTCCTCATCTTCATCTTTCATCTCCTTTCCTCTCTTTTTCTTTATTTTCTTCCTCACCTACTCTCAACCATCATCCTCTTTTTTACATCTCATCACCCCTTAATCCTCCATCTTCCATCTTTTCACCTCTCCTCCTCCATCTCCTTATCTCCTTTCTTCTTCCTCTCTAATTCTCTCTTTTCACTTCTCTTACTCACCTTCCTCCTTTCCCCCCTTGCCTCCTCTCCTCTTTCTCTTCCCTCTCCTCCTCTTCTTGTAGGTTCACAGCAGTAGCTGAGAGTCTGCAGCAGGTCCGTCAGCACCTCAAGAAACTCCAGGAGCTGGAGCAGAAGTTCACCTACGACAATGACCCCATCACACAGAAAAAAACTTTCCTGGAGTCCCGAGCTCTGGATCTCCTCAAGAACCTCCTGTCCAAGTAAGAAACGTCTCTCACACAGGTTTATGATGGCTTTATTATTTATTATCTATCAGAAAATAAATCTTATAAGATTGTCACAATGTTTTTGTGTTTATTAATTAAAGCAAAAATCATTCTTTTTCCCTCTTCCTCCTGCTCCCTTTCCTCTCTGTATCCCCCTCCTTTCATCTGTGTGTGTGTTTGTTTGTGTGTGTGTGTGTGTGTGTGTGTGTGTGTGTGTGTGTGTGTGTGTGTGTGTGTGTGTGTGTGTGTGTGTGTGTGTGTGTTTTAGCTCCCTGGTTGTAGAGCGACAGCCGTGCATGCCCACCCACCCACAGAGACCCATGGTGTTAAAAACAGGCGTCCAGTTCACTGTGAAACTCAGGTAAGAAGCAGAAAAGCAAATATTTCAGAATTTAGATTTATTTTTTTCACAAAAAAATAAAAATTGTTGATTTGACCTTCTTACCTTCCCAACACAAATAGGTTTTTTTTTTTTTTTTTTTAATGAAAAATCACCCAAATTACATCTTTAGAAATATAAGAGCAGAAAAGCATCAAAAAGAGAAATTCTTGTTGTTCTTGTTTTCCTCTCTTTTCAGGTTCCTGGTGAAGCTGCAGGAGTTTAACTACCAGCTTAAAGTCAAGGCGATGTTTGACAAGTAAGCTGTGGTCACACGTTGTTTTCATTTTAGTGGAAAAGGTCACACCTGTGTGTTTGAACAGGTTTTAAAATCTAAACATAATTCTTCTATTTTGGTCCTCAGAGATGTTACAGAAAAGAAAGGGTAAGTCTAAAACTTATATGTCTTTTTAAAATATCACTTGCATGGAAATGAGGAAATCTTAAGCATCGTGCATATTTATTGGCTGATTGTTGTTTTTTCCTGATGTCAGGTTTCGAAAGTTCAACATTTTGGGAACAAATACCAAAGTTATGAACATGGAGGAGTCGAACGGCAGCCTGGCAGCAGAGTTCAGACATTTAGTAAGACAGCTTCATTAGAAGATACATTTCATTTGTTTTTATTGGAGTTTCGCTCTTTTCTTTACTCAGTAAAATAAGGGAGATAATTGTTGTTGTTGATTCTTCAGAACAGAAGGGAATGAGAACCTGAGGACAAAAACTAATTCAGCACTATTGGGGGAAAAGGTTTTTAGTCCACGGTACTATGACCTTGAAATTAAAACCTTTGTGTATGACCGTTTCTGTAATGTCTTCTTTTTTTCACACAGCAACTAAAAGAGCAGAAAGTTGCCGGCAACCGAACAAACGAGGTGAGAGCATCAGCGATGACATCATTTTGAGAAAACAGCATCTGCATTCTGTAATCAACGGGATCGAGATCATAACATTTTTGCAACCGAGCAAATTTAAGCGGCTGTGAGACGCTGGAGAGTTGTTATTTAAAGTAAAAAATAAAGAGTCTAAATTGTATCCTACAAAGTGTTTAAAGTTTTGCACAGGCTCCTCGTGTTCTGTAGATTTATATGAGCTGAGTGTGTTTGTGATTGTGTGTGTGTCTATGTGTGTTTTGTTCAGGGTCCTCTGGTTGTCACCGAGGAGCTTCACTCGCTCAGCTTCGAGTCGGAGCTGCAGCTCAACCAGTCAGGACTCAACATCAAACTGGAGGTGAAACTCACACAATCCCAAAGATTAAACAGACGAGTTTGCTGGATTTTATGAGTTTGTTTATGATTATTTCCTGATGTTTGTTGCTGTTTTTGTTGTTGTAGGCCATGTCCCTGCCTGTTGTTGTCATCTCTAACGTCTGTCAGCTGCCAGCGGCTGGGCCTCCATCCTCTGGTACAACATGCTGACCTCCGAGCCCAGGGTACACAACCAGGACTCTCATTGATGATTACAGATGTTTACTTATCACAAATATCAAAGATACAATTAGGTGATATCTTAATGATTTAAACAAGTTTCACAGCTGCCACCTTAAATTCATAAACAGACCATTAATACAGTCTAAATGTTGACACGTGTATAGCTGTTTTACGGTTTGCATTTTTAGTATATTTTGATGCCTGTGCTTTTTATATGAAGTAAGGTTTTGAATAAAGGTCTTCTATTCGTAACAGAGTATCTTTAACTGTAGTTTTAAACCAGATGGTTTGACTTTTTGTGTTTCCATCTCTTCTTCTTTCCTCTCCTCTCCCTCAGAATCTGAAGTTCTTCCTCAGCCCTCCGCAGGCCAAGTGGTGTCAGCTGTCCGAGGTCCTCAGCTGGCAGTTCTCCTCCGTCACCAAGCGAGGCCTGAACCAGGAGCAGCTCAACATGCTGGCTGACAAACTGCTCGGTAGAAATAGTTTTCTTTAACAGATAAACACCTGCAGGACTTTCAAACAGGCCTTTAACTTTTTTTTTTTTATCTTCAGGAGCCAAAGCCAAGAGGAACCCAGAGGGACAAATCCCCTGGACCAAGTTCTGCAAGGTGAGCCCCATTCAGCGGAGATTTAAGATCGTCACATCTGTGATACTTTTCGATACCACAAGTTAAAAATGAATAAAATCTGTAATTTCAATATGATTGAAAGTTTGGAAAAGTACTAAAGCTGTCCAAAAACTTAAGATCTTCAGTCATAATTGAACCAAAAGCTGCAATAAGAGAAACATGTACAGGTTAGCAGATACTGATAAAGTGTTTTTGGTGCATCATAAAGTTAAAACTACATCTTCTCTGTGAACTAAATGTATTTGTCTGTAAGCAGAGTGCGAACGAGAAAGCGTATTCCTTCTGGTTGTGGATCGAAGGAATCCTGGATGTGATTAAAAGACACCTGCTTTCCCTTTGGAATGACGGGTGAGTGCTGCCGTCTGTCTTCAGTGTGAAGATTGCACTTTTCTGAGATGTGCGGAGTGGATGTTAGAGTCATTTTCTGTGTGTGTGTGTGTGTGTGTGTGTGTGTGTGTGTGTGTGTGTGTGTGTGTGTGCAGCTCCATCATGGGCTTCATCAGTAAGGAGAGGAGAAGGCTCTGCTCAGTGATAAGTGTCCCGGGACCTTCCTGCTCAGGTTCAGTGAGAGCAGCAGAGAGGGAGCCATCACCTTTACCTGGATCGAATACGACCTCTGCAGTGAGTGAAGGACTGATGCTGTTCATGTCTTATGTAAAGGAAGAATGTGAGACTCTTTGATCCAGTAGATATCGCCCTCTAGCACCAGCATTAAACCAAAACAAACAACAGTATGCCCAGATAGGTCGTGCTGTGCTACCCCCAAACCTTCCGCTCAGTATCTGACATTTTCTGATATTTCAATTGAAGAACAGTTTCCTACTCCCTCTCTCTGCAGACAAGCCGCTCTTTCACTCTGTGGAGCCGTACACGAAGAAGGAGCTGTCAGCCGTCTCTCTGCCCGACATCATCCGTACCTACAAAGTGATGGCTGCCGAGAACATCCCCGAGAACCCGCTCCGCTTCCTCTACCCCAACATCCCAAAAGACAAGGCCTTCGGGAAATACTACCCCAAACCCACAGAGAGTAAGTGTTCTGGTTCACAGTAAAACCATATGATCTGTTTATAAAATGTGATGCTTTCTTAAATTTAAAAAACTGTGTATTAAGTATTAATGCTTCTTTTAAGAGTGTTTATTAAACTAACAATCTGCAGGTGCCATAAAAACATTCAACCTTTTATACAAAGGAGCTGATGAGAGGTTTTTTATTACCTGTAATTTCAGCAAAGTATCTTATTGCAAACTGCACGTGTTTATTTAATGCTTATTGGGACTAAATGCTGTTAAAGTTGAATCTGTGTTTATTTGACTTTTAGCTCAGGAGCCCATGGATGTGGAGAACAATCCAGATAAGAGCGGCTACATGAAGACAGAGCTCATTTCTGTCTCTGAAGTGTGAGCAGAGAACGTCACTTTTTTAAACACATGTCAAATATTTTATTGTAATGCATTGAGCAGATTTAATGTGGATTTGCTTTCTGTTCAGACATCCGTCCAGACTGCAGGACAACATGTTGCCCATGTCTCCTGATGACTACAGGGCGTTGTCACAGTTAGTCGGCCCAGAGACATTGATGCTGTGGTGAGTATTTTGATAAGCTGCTGAACCAGCTTCTGTGAGCACCTCTTTAAAAACTGCTGTTTACAGTCTGCACAGGGTTTTTTTTTACAGGTGAAGATTTCTGTTAATTCATCATCTGTAAAGAAACAACACCTCAGATGAATGTAGACGAGTAAACTGCATGATATGTCCATCTGAGATGAACCAGTAGATGTGTAGAAATGTAAACCCAGCTTTACTCTGTCTGTGTTTATCTGTTATTTTGTCCTTGTTGTTGATCTTAAGTCAGTTGCTTTAAGTATTGTGTCGCAAACCAGTAACCAAAGCTTAAATTTGGAGATGTTTTTATGGGTTTGGCCAGTAATGGGAGCTAAGTTTTGTTGTGTGTTTTCTCTTCTCTTGCTCTGCTCAGACCAGCAATCTTCTTGGATTTGAAGAGCTTGATGTTCAGGTAGAGGCAGCCTCAGTTTGTTGCTCTGCACTGAATAGTTTATCAGCTTAAGTGTAATTTTCTTTGTGTTGTTGCATGCATGACATCTAACATACACAAAGGTGTGAATTTAAGTCATTTTCACATCTGCACTCCTGAAAATATCTAGATCATTTCAGGAGGACTGCTCCAGAGATTCTCCTGATCTGGTTGTTCACATATCCACCTCACAGCTGGGGACTACAACTGTCAGACAGGAGGGGGGGGCGGCGAGGGGTCTCCTGAGGTATACGACGCTATAATGAGAATATTTGTCTTTAAATCAATGCTACGTGTGGTTGAACAGAATCACAATGTGAACTAAAGAGTGGAGAAGAACAAACTGGAGAACAGGAAACATGCAGCAGCAGGCTCATTAGAGCACGGAGATGGTAGAGGTGGCGTGCAGACAGTCTGTGGTCGAGCAGCAGTCACAGGATATAAACGTCACTCCCCCTCCCATTGGCCCGAGGTGAATATTCCAGATAATATTGTGCTGCGTTCTCACATCAGCTCACTCTGACTAACTGCTGAAAAGAATACTACAGTAGGGTTCTGTCAGGAGAAACTCCGGGTGAAGTCCAAACGAAAACATTTGGCCGTTTGCATTCACACATACAGCTCCTCCTGCAAATATCAAGAGTTTTCAGGAGTTTTCTGCAGGTGTGAAACCCCTTTAGTCTGTCTTCTAAAGGGGTTTGTCTCAGACAGAATAACCTGTCCTCTGATTGTAAACAACACTCTCTTTTCTTTTTTTTTCTTCTGAAGAAAGCAAATCAATTCTGCTCTGCTTTTCTTCTTTTTCAGATGAGTGCAGACTTGGAGTGAGACCAAAACTGTCAACTGAGAAGGTTCTTCATTTCATCCAAGTCTTCTTTCTGTTCTCTCTTTCAGTGTCTTTGTTTCATCAGTGGTTGAACTCTGATGATCATTTTATCTGCTCTTAGAGGTGTGGTAAAGACCCTCACTACTTTTAAGTTAGATACAGGTCAGTGCAGTAACCAGTCACCTTCTAGACACATTTGAGTGATTACATTCACTCTACTTGGAAGTCAAAGAATTTAGATTTTTGCCTGATAATTACGAGGCCAAAAAGTAGAAAAGGCTTAAAAAGACATTCAAAACAAAAACCCTTGATGCTAAAGAGTACGATATTTATCAGGTCCTGACGGCTTTATGATTTTTTTTGTTAATTATTCGAGTAGAAATAAATATAATACATCTGGTCTGAATATGGTTTAAATCCGGTTGAAACATTATTTTGTAAATATTTTTAATAAATGTGAACTATATCTACTCTGTTAGACAGTGAAATTGAAGAATGTGAATCTGTATGCCTTTTTTGTGACACAGGTATTATAAAAATATCCTCATTCATAGGACACTGTATTAAAAGTATGAATTTATGTGTTTGAAAAACAAAACACCTTTAAGTTGTGTGTTGAGGTTTCCTGTAGCCCTCTGTCTGAGCTTTTTTTTAATCTAAAGAACTGTATGTTTAGCTTTGCTTTTCAAAAGTGATCTAACACTGCGGGCCGAAGCAATAAAACTAAAAAAGCCACTACGTTTGTTTTTGTGCTGCCGATTACCTGAATGACAATCAACCAGTCCATAAATATTGATGACCCCTACATCTATTTCACCTAAATCTATCATAGGTGACATGTCCCCCTACCTCACCACACCGGAGAGGTCCAAGTGTATCTCAAAATACATTGTTGAAAAATATATTGCCTAATATGTCATGGGAACACAATCTGCTTTCTTCCTCAGGAGTGAAACGCTCCAACGTACACAAGAATATGCAATCAATGAAGTTACACTTCAGATTCTTTGAGAGACTAACATGCACGTGTGATTAACAGACAATGGATTTTAATTAACATAAGCAGTAAACAGTTGCTTTTTATAATTAAGCAAATATGTTATCTGTGATTAAGTCAAGTCACATTTATTTATAAAGAAATAAAACAAAGAAAGCAGTTTGAGTTTGTTGTATCTAGAACAAGAAAAGTGAAAAACAACTTCCGAATGCAGTAATTCACAGAGTGACCACAGGAGGGCGCAACTTCACCTTTAAACTCCATCTTTACACATTAGTATCTCAAACTAACTAATTTATCTGCTTCTTGGACACTTTGGAGAACGACAGGGAGAGGAAGAGAGAAACTGGAGGTAAACATCATGAACACTGACTTTATCTGTGGGTTAATGTTAATGTTACCATGGTGACCCGAGTTTGACTTTCTCTTGTTGCTAGGTTACCAAGAGTTAAAAGAAACAAACATAAAAAAAAGTAAATTACATTAATAAATATTTTTTATGAATAAAACATTTGATTTTTGACTTAGTCTTGTTTATGTGTCCTATTATTTATAACTTTTTAATTTCTTCGATAGAAACTTTCTGCGTCACTTCCGGTTGAAGCTTCCGGTAATCACGCCCAGGTGTGTTCAGGTGTTCTCAGGTGTGTATATCATTGTCTCGAGCAGGTAAGCGGTGCGGACCGCGTGCAGCGTGGCAGCATGTTGGAAGAAGAAGGAGCCGGGGAAGGAAACATGAAGTCTAGATACTCAGTGAGTCTTTAAAAGTCCAGTTTGTGTGAAAAGACACAAAATAGAAATACCTGCGTCTTTATGCTAATGCTAACACCTGGGCTAATGCTCATGCTGACGTCATTACAAATGTTTGTTAAGAGGAAACATCGTCAGAGTAAGATGATGATAACGTTTATCAATATTATGAAGGTAACTTTTAAACTTGTTTTCTCTTAAACTAATTATTTAACTCCACAACACCGGCTAAAAGTAAACTCTAAAAACAAAACTTATAATTTAAACTAATATTAGTTTGAAGAGTTTAAATAAAACAATAACCTGAATTTAAATTCATTGACTGATATGTAAATTAGTTAATCCGAGGTAAAAAGATTTTCTCAACATTACTGTTCACAGAGCTCAGAAATTAAATGTTTATCTTGTTTAAGTAATATGAATAGACTTCATTTATTTAATTTAAAAAGTAAAAGCTTTCTGTGTTTAATTCAAAGTCTAATTAATTTATTATTTAAGTGCAGTAACCAACTAACCACCAGAGGGCGCCCTCTCTATATAAAGTGATTTATAAACGATAAAATTTATTTATTTTCAAACTATAACTTCAATTAGAGTTTGTGTTCTTGTGACAGTTAATGTAAGGTAAAGATGTTTCTTAAGACCTTATACTCAATGTTTCTGTTTTATATTCTACATTTAAACTTTGAATTTAAGTTTTCTTCGGTCTCATCCAAAACCCTTAAAGTGAAGTTAAACACAGATCATTTACAGTGAATGATAAAATCCAGGTTTATTCCAATCATCACGATGTTGTATAATCACAAACATTTTCTGTGTTTTATTAACTTGATGAACTAAAATTAGTTTTTCTTCTCCAACAGGAACTCTGTTGACATCTTCCAGGAGGATCCCCCGTCGGTGACCGTCTTCCTGCTCAGGTTGGAGACTCAAAGCTTTCTTAATGTTGTTTTGTTATGTTTTAGGTCTTATAGATGTTTAGACTCAGTTATTTTAATCATTTGACTTCATCCCTTTTGTAGTGGAGGAACATCAGGTGTTTAATGAAATACTACATTTTATAATCCTTATTTCATTAAACACCTGATGTTCCTCCACTCCAAAAAGGATCAAATGATTAAAATAACTGAGTCTAAACATCTGAGACCTGGAACATAATAAAACATTGAGAAAGCTTTGAGTCTCCTACCCAATGGGGATGCCTGTGACACCTTATTGTGTTGTGCTGATGTCATGTCTCGAATATTGTAATAAAACTACTGCTTTATCCATTCAGCATCAGTGACTTCTGTGCTCTGGTTATCTGCCAGCTGTGTTTTATTCTTCCTGAGGAAAGTTGTTTCTTGTAGTCTTTTTTCTAATGTAAGCAACTACAAAACATCTATTAGGAATTAAAGATGCTGACAACACAAATGAGACAAATTAAGACTTGAACATTTTATTATCAAAGTGTCTTCAGAGAGAACTGCAAATGAAAATTAAACAAAACTATAGCTGAAAGATAAAAAAACAAGGGCTAACAGGTAAACTTTAATCCGAAGAAACTCCTTCCAGTTGCAGCACAGATCCTACTCTTCAGAGCGAGGAAACACCTGGAAGATCAGAAACAAGAAACAAAGACATCAGGGTTTAAAGTTCACTTCAGGTTGCATCCATGAGTAATTTACAAAATGTACAAAACGTGAACAGTACAATGGGCCATTATGATACATAACTAATTTTTAATCATTTAATTAAGTCAAAAGAATCTACATCAAAGCGAGAGTTAACATTAACAAAGTTTGTAGCATGATGTAAATTTTGCCCTACAAATAAAATCAAGAATATGACTGTGACTCAAACAGTTAAAATAAACAAGAGCCAAGAAAAATACTCACCAAATGTTGAATGAAGCAGGTGAGGCAGCGTGGTGTAGCAGACATGCTAACAGCTCGTCATCTTGTTTTGGTCAGGCTGCCCCTAAAAGTGTTAAAAAAAGACACATCACAATTAGTTTAAACTTCAAAATGTTTGTTATTGTAAAGTGTCTGGAGATAACTTTTCTAATGATTTGGAGACAAGTGAATAAAAATGGACTGATTTATGAAAGTTAACATTCAGTTTGTTATCATGTCACATTGGGACTGTTTTTTTGGAAAGTAACTACTGCTGTGTCCATTCTGCATCACATAGACTTCAGTACCTGGGGGGGAGAGAGAGAACATCTGTGATCAGGTTCAGCTGCACTGCATTAGTCCTTAATGTCGTTGGTTATCTGCCAGCTGTGTTTTAATTAGTTAGAGTAGTTTACATGTTTATTGTTAGCCGATAAATCTGTCACCCAAAAGGAGAAGTCAATCAAATCCTTTTGAGGACCAAGACCTTGAACCTCATCATACAGAGCACTGATAATAACTTTAATTATCTGTGGTTTTTAACATCCTCTCTCTCTCTGTGTGTGTAGAGCTGCTGGTTGAGTGTGTGAAGAACAAAGACTTAAAGGTGAATGACAGTTTCATCTCTCACTACAGACCTTTGCACCTCATTTCTACATACTCACATGTGTCTTTGAATTGAATCATCAGCTGCAGGAGCCGCACCTGAAGGGAGCCCCACCTGGAGGGAGCCCCACCTGGAGGGAGCCGCACCTGGAGGGAGCCCCACCTGAAGGGAGCCCCACCTGAAGGGAGCCGCACTCGACTCGTCCGGCTGCAGTTGACGTCATCACGCTGCCAGTGCAGGAAGCAAAGAGCTGGTCCTCTACATCCTCCACAGGTGTGTGTACAGTCCTCCACGTGTTTGGTGCAGGTAGGTTAACAGTCAGACAAACTCCATTCAACGATGAGTGAGTCAGGATGTTAGTGACTCTTTGGATTTATTCACCAGATTGAAGAAGAAGTGAAAACTACAAGACACAAGAACATTTAAATAAAGCTTAGTTGTTGCTGATGCTAAGCTACATGCTAATGCTAAGCCACATGGCATGCTACATCAGATGCAATACATAACAAATTATAACAAGGCTAATGCTAAGCTACATGCTAACCTTAACTTCAATACAGTGAAGGAACTTACATTTCTGTTGCTGCCTGCTGTGTGCAGCCTTGAAGATCAAAGAAGGAACCCTCAACTTCCTGCTTCCTTTATAGGCAGGGCACTTCCTGTTTGATCAGTCACTTCCTGTAGCAGTACCTTTACCTGTACCTTTAAGAGTATACCAAATAACCATGTGTAGCTCATTAGAAGAATCCTTAGTTGTTGTTTTTTTTTTATCATTAATGAATGTTTGTGGGTTCTTTTCATCATAGGTATGTTTGTAGTTTTTTTCAACATAGGAATATGTAGTTTTCTTTCTTTCTGTATTCTAGTGTTTGAATAAATGGGAAACTTTCAATGACAGGCTTGAAAAACAATAAGTCAGTTCAATCAATCTTTATTTTGTAGAGCGCCAACTCAAAACAAATGTTATCTCAAGACACTTTACAAACAGCAGGTAAGAGAGAGTCTTGTCTGGGTTAAAGGCAGGGTTGATCATTTTCTAAAAGTAGCATTCCCTCAGTGCTCCGTCTGCACCCACCCCAGAAGTGGACCTCAGCTCATTGCTTGCATTGTCAGGACCAAAAGACAATTTCAACCAGAATCTTAAAAAGTTGATCTGGAGAAAATCACCAACCCTGCCTTTAAGTAGTTTTTAGTCGTTACAGAAAAACTGCAGTAAGTACAGATTCTATTTGTGCTTCAAAACATCTAACATAGAACTGAAACCATGAGGTTTTTAAAATGCTAAACACTTTATTTAAATGTTAACAGAGTGTAGATGATTCCTGTATCTGTGCTCTGATCTCTGTTCAGTCTGTATGTGATGATATATGTGCCATCATAAACACAAGACACCAAAAGAAGCAGCAGGGGGGTTGATGTCTGTTCCTCGGGTGATGTTGTGTGTCTCTCTCTCTCTCTCTCTCTCTCTCTCTCTCTCTCTTCTGTTGACCAGGGGGGAGACGGTCCTTCACCGAGCTGCGTCCCTGTGTCAAAGAACTATCTGTCATTATCTGGTCGAAGCAGGAGCCTCGCTCATGAAGACAGACCTACAGGTACAGTTCAGACGCTAACCTGCGGGCTTTAAAATGGATATCTGTGTCTGTGTGTGTTCGCCTCAAACAGGCATCTTCTCTCATTTTGTTCACATTTCCATGGAGGTTTGGAGCCTCACTGGCTGGACTCAGCAATGACCTCGATACAGAGAGAGGAGAGGCAGACAGATAGTTTCTTTCTTGGTGTTCACATATCATGTAAACAGTGTCTCTAGTGACGTCACTGATGATCCATATTTAACTTTGAACCATATTATCCTCATATATGATTGACCATATGTTTATATGATAAATAAAATCTGATGTCATGGTGGGAACAATGGACCATTATATTAAGTACATTATCTTATATTACATTATATTAAGTAAGTTAATTATATTAAGGAAGTTAGTAAGTTTCATCCAACACACAAATCAAAGAAAACAGACAATACAACTTTAAACTAAATCTATAACTAAACAAAACTACAGCTGAAAGATAAAAACAACAAACATTAAAGACTAAGAAGACAAACTACGACTGAAAGAAAACTGCACAACAGCTAACAGGTAAACTAAGACAACAAGCTCTTCATCCAGCCTTCTGTGTTTAATTTACTCCAAGAAACAGCAGTCTGATTCATTTATTATTTAAGTGCAGTAACCAACAACTAACCACCAGAGGGCGCCCTCTCCATATAAAGTGATTTATAAACGATAACATACATTTATTTTCAACCTATAACTTTTAATTACAGTCTTACATCATTGTTTGGTAAATTATTTATATTAAAGCTGCATTTTTACCTTAAACCTTTTCTTCTTAGGTTTAATTTTACTTTTCAAACTTACTTTTTAATCAATTTAATTAGTTTATTGTCGATTGGTTTTCTTAATGAAAATATCACAAACCTTTTTATTGATTTAATTGAAATGATCAATTTAATTAAAACTGCTTTTTTGATTATGATTAAAATATTTGATATGAGTACATCTTACAGCTCATTGAGCTAATTTAGATTAAACATAAATTAAAAGGAAACATTTACAAGTTAAAAAGGTTGTTTTAAAATTATAACTCTCATAACTCTTCTTCACCTACCTTATGTTCTCCATTAACAATTAATAATATCAGTCTGTGATCACAGAACATCACAGACTTTTAGTTTAGGAGCACTCAAACGTGTGCATCTAATTTACAGCTAGGATTGAACAATACGTGAAAAGTAAATGAGCCATTATGATACATTACTCATTTTAAATTAACTGTTTTTTTCAACTGAAAATACTTCTTACCTTTGTGAAAGAAAAGTCAAATTGTTGCCACGAGCGGAGCAAATACAAGGAGGACATCAGCAACCTGTACAAACAGCTGGATGACAAGAATAGACTAAAGTCAAAGACAAGACACAACATTAGAAGCACAGTTTGAAGACAACCTGCTTAAAGATTCAAACTACATACAAATACTTTCATTTTCTCAATTATTATTACTTAATGTCATTTTCTTGTAATAATTCACAGGATGATGAGATCAACCAACACAGTCAGCTGGCTGACAAACTGAAGGAGCAGATCAAGAAGAGGTTTGTCTCTCAGCCGATGAAATACTAAAGAAATATCAAGTATTTTCATTTAAACATGGATTTCATAAGGATGATCATTTTTGCATGAACTCACTCTGACCCCACGTCCCTCCCAGGAGAACCAGCTGAAGGAGGAGGTGAAGGAGGTGCTGCAGGCGCTGGAGGAGCTCGCCGTCAACTACGACCAGAAGAGCCAAGAGGTGGAGGAGAGAGATCAGACCAACCTGCAGCACAAGACGGTACAGATATGTTTCAGGAGAAAGTGTTCAAAGTCTGCATCTCGAGGTCCTCAACCTGCTGCTACGAGACCTCAGTGACATCGGCGCCATCATCGGCACCAGTGATGTCATCACAGCTGTGAAACCACTTCAATTAGAAGTGCCAGATTTGATACACTCAGGCAGACATCAACATTAACTCTGGTCACAGCTAACACATCACATCTTCTGTCCAGACTGCTGAATGAGCAGAGGGAAAACCAAACATCAAATAATTCAGCATCACCAACAAGGCCCACAGATCCAGGGAGCGGCCGCAGCGGGACTCGAACACCATTTAAAGTGTCATGTCATTTAAAAACCCAGCAGCTTTTGGTCCTCCTTGTCTGCAGAAGTCTGAAGTCTGCATGCAGAGGGTGCTGAGGGTAGTGTTGTAGTCATGACCACACTAAGACCAACACCACAAATATCTTTGTGTGCAGGGGACGTTTTAACACCGGGAAGCTTGTGGTCGTAACCGGGGGATACAAATCAAACTACAAATGGAGTGATGTTATTTGTTGTTTTTTTTCTTCTAGTCCCAGACCGAGACCTTCAAGGAGTCTCAAGGAGCACATGAGGGTGTTCCAGGACTTCTGATTGGTCCTTATTAAAATAAACAACTGTTTTTGTTAACGATGCTGAGGTTACCAAACCAACAGATCACAAAAGTTCAAATGGACTCAGGAACAGAATGAATGTTGTTTGAATGATCACCTGTCTGCTTCTTTTAATCTGAAACATTTTCTCATTGGTCTTATATCTGTGAATCTGTAACTCTGGATTGATCAACAGGAAGTGCTCTGGATCTATCAACAGGAAGTGCTCTGGACTGATCAACAGGAAGTGCTCTGGATCTATCAACAGGAAGTGCTCTGGATCTATCAACAGGAAGTGCTCTGGACTGATCAACAGGAAGTGCTCTGGAGTGCAACAGGAAGTGCTCTGGAGTGCAACAGGAAATGCTCTGGAGTGCAACAGGAAATGCTCTGGATCTATCAACAGGAAGTGCTCTGGATCTATCAACAGGAAGTGCTCTGGAGTGCAACAGGAAGTGCTCTGGATTGATCAACAGGAAGTTGAGGGTTCTTTCTTTAATCTGCCCGCAGCAACAGCAATGTAAGTTCCTTTACTGTACTGAAGTTAAGGTTTAGCCTTAGCATGTAGCTTAGCATTAGCCTTGTTATAATTTGTTACGTATTGCATCTGATGTAGCATAGCATGTGGCTTAGCATTAACATGTGGCTTAGCATTAGCATATAGCTTAGCATTAGCCTTGTTATAATTTGTTACGTATTGCATCTGATGTAGCATAGCATGTGGCTTAGCATTAACATGTGGCTTAGCATTAGCATGTAGCTTAGCATTAGCATGTAGCTCTAGATAGTCGTCTACCTGCAGCTGTACTTTAATGCTTTGCACCTGGAGTATAATGAGTGTCACACTGCAGTAACTCTGTCTGGTGATGTTGGATTAGCACAGTTTAATAATCCAGTGACACTCACACACACACACACACACACACATATATATATACACACACACACACATATACACATATATACACACACACACACACACACACACACACACATATATATACACATATATATATATACACACACACACATATATATATACACATATATATATACACACACACAGGAAATACATGTTTTTATTTCTGAACACAAGGCATTAAACAGAAAGAAGACGATTGAAACAGCTTGAACAAACTTTTTATTTATTATTAAATTAATAAATAATATTTCTAATATTAATATTTATTTATAATATAAATAATAATTATTCTTTTTATTTTTTAAACAGTTTTTATTTTTAATTAATTCCCCAATTTAAAATGTAAATCAAACATTTTTAACATTCTCTCTCTACAGATAGATGATACCACACCTTTGCACCTCATTCCTACATACTCACCTGTGCATGCTTTGTCTTTGAATTGCAGGAGCTGCACCTGAAGGGAAGTCAGCCAATCAGTGACTCTTTTGATTTATTCACCAGATTGAAGGAGTGAAAACTACAAGACACAAGAACATTTAGTTTAGTCATTACTAAAGTTCTAGATCAATTCAAACAATAAACTAAGACAAGTTGTTGCTAATGCTACATGCTAAGCTACATGCTAAGCCACATGCTATGCTACATCAGATGCAATACATAACAAATTATAACAAGGCTAATGCTAAGCTACATGCTAAGCTAAACTTACATTGCTGTTGCTGCCTGCTGTGGGCAGCCTTGAAGATTAAAGAAAGAACCCTCAACTTCCTGTTTGCTTTATAACTTCCTGTTTGCTTTATAACTTCCTGTTTGCTTTATAACTTCCTGTTCCCTGAATGACCCAGAGAGAGGACAGGTGTTCTTGGTGTTCACATATCATGTAAACAGTGTCTCGAGTGACGTCACTGATGATCCATATTAAACTTTGAACCATATTATCCTCATATATGATTGACCATATGTTTATATGAGAAATAAAATCTGATGTCATGGTGGGAACAATGAACCATTAATGAATTTAGGTTAGTATGTCGTTTAAAAAAAAGAAATTAGTAAGTATATTGTACATTATAAGATTTGAACCCTCTATCACCAGACACAGTGGGATTCATACCCAGGCTCTCCACCTACAGAGATTGGAAACCTCAATCTCATCCACTACACTACTGATCCCTTCACACTATGTCATGAGCTCCGGGCGTATTTATCTTCATCATTTCAGATGTTAGACTTTAAAATTTGCCTCAATAAGATTTGAACCCGCAACCTCCAGAGTCCAAGTCCTCCTTCTATCTCCTGAGCCACAGAGACAGATACCTGAGTGTGTTTCTCAGATCTCTTGAGTCTTTCCTTTGGACCAACACCTTTAAGATAATGGTGTGTGTGTGTGACCGTCTTTGAGTCTTTCCTGTGTATCGATACTGGCAGGTGCTTCACTGTGTTCCTCTTGAGTCTTTCATTTAGGACCGACACCTTTAAAATTCACTGAGTCCTGATAAGATTCGAACCCACAACCCCCAGACTCCAAGTCCTCCTTCTATCTCCTGAGCCACAGAGACAGATGCAGAGTTTGTTTCTCCAGCTGGATCTGTGTGTTGTTTTGTTCAAGTCTCAGATTTGTTTTTTTAAATCTATATTAAATAAATGATTTATTGGGGGGTGACGTCCTGCATTTGTTTGGCTTCCTGGCTTGGCAGACAGTACGACCTCAAACTACCTCATGTTTACTTCAGCATCTTTGCACTATTATCCTATTATCCTTGTACATATTAGTCTTTACTTCTTTGTTTATTGTTGATATTTAATATAATACCTTTGAGCAAAGTTTACAAAAGTAAATTCCTCGTGTGTTTAAGAATACCTGACCAGTAAAGCTGATTCTGAAGGATTTCTGTGGCTTTGATAACTGTTGGAAATAAACTCCTCAAAGTTTGGAAACATATTTTGTCCATTATTTGTCCTCTTTAAAAAACTAATTGGTGTTGTATTTTATATCGGGAAGCCTGATGAGTCACCTTTACAACGAGGTATAACTTGTAAGGAGCAACACAGCAGTAGTTTTATTACAATCAAATATTGAACAGACATGATGACCTCTGTTTGTACATGTTACATCAGCACAATACAACAAGGTGTCACAGGTGAGGGGGGGGGGGGGGGGGTGTACATCCAGCCAGTCTCCAGCAGCCCCATTGGGTAGGAGCTCAAAGCTTTCTCCATGTTTTATTATGTTCCAGGTTTTAGGTCTATAGATGTTTAGACTCAGTTATTTAATCATTTGATCCTTTTTGGAGTGGAGGAACAATCAGGTGTTTAAAAATAAGGATTATAAAAATGTAGTATTTCATTAAACACCTGATGTTCCTCCACTATAAAAGGATGAAGTCAAATGATTAAAATAACTGAGTCTAAACATCTATAAGACCTAAAACCTGGAAAATAATAAAACAACATTAAGAAAGCTTTGAGTCTCCAACCTGAGCAGGAAGACGGACACGACGGGGATCCTCCTGGAAGACTCAACAGAGTTCCTGTTGGAGAAGAAAAAACTAATTTTAGTTCATCAATAAAACACAGAAAATGTTTTGATTATACAACATTGTGATGATTGGAATAAACCTGGGTTTTATCATTCACTGTATGATCTGTGTAACTTCACTTAGTTTTGGATGAGACCGAAGCAAACTTAAATTCAAAGTTTAAATAGAAATAAAATAGAAACATTGAGTATAAGGTCTAAGAAACATCTAAACAGATTTATCTTATATTATAACTTTACAATAATTCTACAAGTTTGTTACCTTTAACTTGTGTGAGCTTTATACATAATATGATATATATCAGAGTTGTAATTGATCTCTAATTAAAAAGTTATAGGTTGAAAATAAATGTATTTTATCGTTTATGAATCACTTTATATGGAGAGGGCGCCCTCTGGTGGTTAGTTTATAAAAATCAAAATAAATGTATTTTCGTTTATAAATCACTTTTATGGAGAGAGCGCCCTCTGGTGGTTAGTTATAAAAATCAAAATAAATGTATTTTATCGTTTATAATCACTTTATATGGAGAGAGCGCCCTCTGGTGGTTAGTTATAAAAATTAAAAATAAATGTATTTTATCGTTTATAAATCACTTTATATGGAGAGGGCGCCCTCTGGTGTTAGATAAATGTATTTTATCGTTTATAAATCACTTTATATGGAGAGGCGCCCTCTGGTGGTTAGTTATAAAATTAAAATAAATGTATTTTATCGTTTATAAATCACTTTATATGGAGAGGGCGCCCTCTGGTGGTTAGTTATAAAAATTAAAATAAATGCATTTTATCGTTTATAAATCACTTATACAGAGCGAGCGCCCTCTGGTGGTTAGTTGTTGGTTACTGCACTTAAATAATAAATGAATCAGACTGCTGTTTCTTTGATTAAATTAAACACAGAAGGCTGATGAAGAGCTTTTACTTTTAAATAAAATAAATGAAGTTTATTCATATAACTTTAGTAAGATGAACATTTAATCTGAGCTCTGTGAACAGTAATGTTTAGAAAATCATTTTACCTCTGAGCTGCAGCACAGAGCGAGAAACACCTGCACACACCTGTACAAACAAACAAGAAGAAAACCCTGCATTCTGAGTTCAACCAACAACTTTCAACTAAAACGACATATCCGATTTTAATGAGCCATAAGCATTATGTAATGTGACTAATGAGACTAAATATAAAGACACACGATGTTGCTATGGTTCAGTTAGCACTAACATTAGCAGACACCTGAGGAGCACACCTGAGCGTGATGTGCAGCAGCGGTCCAGCGGAAGTGACGTTGGTCGTGTCACTCCCAGGTAAAGGTCGTATCGATGTAGAGAACTCATTGTGAATTAGGAGACACAAGAACAACAACAAAATTAAGTAAAACACCGAAAATAAATAAAAACGTTAATTTTTAGATGTATAATCTGTAAATGTGGATAGATACTGTTGTTTAAATGATTTGTTTGTTAGTGAAATAATCCAAACACTCAAAAAACACTATATTATAATAATATAATATTATATTAATATAATAATATTTTACTGACATTACAAACACATCTTGTAGTAGTTATAGGTGTAGTCACTTTAATTACCAACCATTTAAAAAAATTCAATCTTTTCATTTAGTTTGTTTTAACATATTCTTAAATAAGTATAAACTTGCACTATTTATATTTTTCCACACATTTATGTGTTGGAAAAAAAGGTTAAAAAGAGGATACATTTCTGTTGTAGTGACTGTTGGGTGTAATTACAACCCATCGCCAGCAGAGGGCAGCAGTGCAATATGAATGCATGATGCAGCGGTTAATTAGACCTGACGAGGCTGTTAACCTCCAGGTGAGCTATGTTGTAATATTTACAGTCTGTGGTTGTAAAGTGTAGAAGTTACATTAAAGCCACAAAGAGTTAAAACCTTCAATATCATGTAGATCATTTGAAGAACAACAAAGCATTTAATTATTATAGAATATATACTTTAAAACAACATCTTTATAGTACATGCATGTATTACTTTTTTTTTACTGTTCGTATGTATCTTTTCTTCATATATATGACTTTAAAAAAAAAAAAATTATGAATGCATTCAGTGCAGCGGGATTCGAACACAGCATTTCCACAAAAGGAGACTTGAGTCTTATCCACCAAACCACTGATACCATTCACCCCGGGTGATTCTCTCCGGGCAGATTTATCTTTGTCATTTTGGATGTTGGCCTTCACCAGATAAAGTTTGAACACACGACCTCTGGACTCCATCTCCCTGAGCTACATGTTTTATTCCTTATTAGTGAGGAATGCAAATAAAACCGGGGACACAGGGAGCACTAAAATGTACTTCATAATGGTGCAACACAGTTAAAGATTTAATTTAAATAATTTAAAAGCAACAGAAACACACTCCTCCAGTTTATTTTTAGAACTTTTATTAAATGTCTGATCTGTGAATAAATATCTAAGCTGCCTGCGACACTCAGCAGCAGAAACATACATGAAGAAAGAGAACGACACCAAACACGTTACATTCAGAATACTTCAGCTGCACACAGAGATCACGTCATATCACAGACGACAGCAGAGAGAGCGGAGCTGCAGGGTCGGGATCAGAGTCGAATATTGCTGATTTTATGGTACAATCATAACAATTCTATTGCTAATTGTCTCTTCAAATATTGCAGCTTTTAGGTTCCTTTTTGTGCTTCTCTTTGATTACTTTTAAATCATGTAATTTAAAATGAATTTACCGATCCCAACCAGAGGGATACAAAGACTTCTAACTGCACTGATTTTAACTGTGGATTGTTTTTACAACAGACAGAATTGCCTGGTTCAGTTTGTCAATTAAAAACAACAACATCCAAACCTCAAACACACTACAAACACAAGAACCCTCTGGAAAACATTTACACAACTTTTCAAGTAAGACAGACATCCTCTGCATTTTAAAGCTCCTGCACTTAAGTCTTTAGTGTTTGAAAACCCGTTGTCCTGTCCGAGTGCTCTGCAGGAACACGTGTACAAAGCAACCATCAGAATTCATGTGAAACATTACAGAGTCAACACATTTCTGCTCTAAAAGCCATGATCTTCAGAAAAACATGATCAAAACTTTAATGTGATTTCAAGTGTGAAGAAAGGAGGAACTGCACTCAACAGAAAAAAAAATTGTTCATAAACTTAACGTAGAAATTTAGCTAAAAAGATTGATTTTTAGAGAACTACAAGTCCCATGATGCATTGCTGCAGACAACAACCAATCAGAGAGCCGGGGATTTAATCAGGTTTATAGATGTAAAGTTTTCTTTACATTATTCATCTTCGCAGCTTCAGTGAAGATTATCTTTGTCATAAAATGCAAAAAGTTTTTAGACTTCATTCACTCAGAGCAACAAAGATGACGGGACGAAACGACCAGAGAAAAATGTATTCTCTAAGTGATCAATCAGTCGCTGGTAATGTGAAGATTTGCTGCTTTTCTTTGTCATTTATGATCATGATAAATCTTTTAAGCTGTGGATGACAAAAGAAACCATTTATTTCGTTGAACTGAACAGAATATTCTGGGCGTCTTGTAGTTTCAACATATTGTCTTTCATGGCTTCCGTATCGTTGAAAATGTTGTGACCTCCAGTAGAAAATGTAAATAAAGATTTGAGAGTTTGAATGATTAGCTGCACAGTTCGGATGTGCAGCAACCAATTTTCTTTTGTTGAGTGCAGTTTCTTGTCTAAAAGATAAATCTGACAAACTAAATAAAAGTATGAAACAAACTTTCCTTGTATTCAAGCTGCTGTCAGTGTCACATCCGATATCTAAGAACTCCTTCGATCAGTCAGGAGGCGACAAACACGCCCAACTTTGGATGACTTTCTATTAAAAACACAAATTTCCAAAATACAAAATAATAAATATCAAATATTTCAGTGTAAAGGTGCAAAATAAAATCCAGTTTTAGGGGTAAAAACAAAAACAGCCATCATGTAGCTAACAGAACAAAAGCTTTTTACTCGTATTTAAATTTAAAGGCTGAACATCGAACAGATTTAAGAATTCAAAATAAAGTTTAAAAACAGAAAAATAGTTTGAGTGAAATCGACCTCACACACCTCGTGATCAAAATCCACCAGACTATAGAGCTACAACTATACACCTGTGCGTATTTACACCAATATATATCCTCACCTGAAGAATACACACACACACACACACTCGCACACACACACACACACACACACACACACACACACACACACACTACATGAATGTACAGTTTATCTTAAATAGATAAATAAATACCACACACGTACAAACACTCTGTGTGTTTGGGGGAAGATACATTCCACCATGTTGTGATGATGATGAAGCCAGGGAGGTTTTTTAACACCTGGACTCCAAATTACACCTGCTACTTCCTCTATCACCTTTTCAAAATAAAAACAGGTGAGTCCTTTAACTCACCAGCCGCAGCCAAATTTACCCAGCATTCTGCTGGCGGCTGGTCACTTCCTACAGAGCTACAAAGGTGATGACTGAACACAGGAGGAGAAATCAAACAGAAATACAATTTATCTTACAAAAACTTACTACATCTAACAACATGAGGAGGAGCTTTTACACTGGAGGGGTGTGTGTTTAACGGACTGTTATCTAAGTTGTTTCTAAAGATTCCTCTTTACAGTTTAATGTTCCTAACTGTTCCTACATGTGAGTGTTTGATAGATTCTCCTCTCAAACCTCCTGATTTAAGACGTTTCTCTCTGAGAACAAACCGTCCCGCTCGGCTTCACTGACTTCTTCTTCTCTCCCTCAGAGCAACCCGTCCAGGTTCTGCTCTGCGCTCTGCTTGTCGGTGGTCGTCTCCTGCGGGTTGTACTTCGTGTGATGATCTCGCAGGATGGTCACCACGTCGTGATGACCGAAGTGAACTGCTTCATCCTGTGGTGTGTTTCCCCACCTGCAGCACAGAGCGCAGCCACAAACATCACATTTAACACGACACATATAAACAGAAGAATCACAAAGAGCCCTACAGTTTATTTTTTATCATTTATGTAACTGTAAAGTTATCTTTTATTTTGACTGTTTATTCTGCATATTGTAGTCTAAAACATGTTCTGACCTTACAGAGCTGAACGAGACGTAGTCAATGTTAAAGTCAAAGTTTTGGCCTTTTTTTCCCCTTTACAGTATAAGATAGGACAGCTGGAGAGAGAGACAGGAAATCCTGGGAGGAGCAGTGGGACCCAAACCCACAGCTGCTGGGACAAGGACCACAGACTCCCTACATGGGGGCTCGCAAAAATAACTAAAGCTAAGTATGCTGCTGGACTGTTACCTGTCTTTAGGAACTGGGTTGACTTTGCAGGCCTCCAGCAGGAAGCGGACCACCTCAGCGTGTCCTAAAAAAAAAACCCCACACACACGCACACATTAGCTACCCACACTCAAACTGCTCAAAGAAAATGTGTCTTTCATCCTCGTCAGTAGTTTTTACCTTCAGCAGCTGCAACATGCAGAGCCGTCCTGGAGTCGTAGTCTCTCTGCTCCATGTCCATGGAGGACAACGCAAACCTGGAACACGACGCAGCGGATTCAAAATCTTCATCTTAATGTGAAAGAGAACTAACTGCTGCTTAAGGACACATGATGTGAACGAAACATGCTTTGACTTTTTCTTTAGTTTGCATGCAGCAGAAAAGATGAGAAACATTTGAAATCTGAATATTTAAAGACGGTTACCTCCTCAGGGCGGACACGTCTCCTGTGTAAGCTGCAAACAGCAGATTAATCACCGACTTCACCTGAAACACAACAACAAGCACATTTCACTGAAACCTGAAGAATAACAACTTGTTGTTTCTGTTGTCCAAAATCTATCAAGAAAATTATAACTATACATTTAAGATTTCTCCATTTATATCCTGTTTAAGTTTCAACACTGGGATCATTTCAGAAGGGTCCAGTGCAGGAATTTAACTTTTATGAGCTAGTGAGAGAAAAGTGGTTCAGTTATTCCGCCACCAGATGGCGCTGAGGATTAAAATGCTGGACACAGGGTCGCACAGCCTCCATCAGGCACATCATCCCTCACAGAGCCGGATTATGTGACGCATGAAAATGTTTCCTGTCAAAGAAAGACTAAAAGACTAAAATGAACCCTGATTAAAAATGCAAAATAACTTCAAGTTTAGCAGGTGATGTTTGTACACTTGTTTAGCAGGAGGAGGAGGAGGAGGAGGAGGAATGAAGCTGATGAAGGACCATGTTTGAGAGTCTCACCCTCTGGTCTCCTCCCTCCCTGCGAGGATCGAGCTTCTTGGCAAAGTGTCTCAGATTGTCGTAGTTGTGGAAGTTACAGAGAGAGACCAGGTCCTGCAGGAAGAGGAAGAACACCAGTTTAACTGCTGAATGAGCGAGTCATGCTGTTTTAAACACAGGTTTCAGAACACATGTATTCTCAGGTAACAACAAATGTACGATAGTTGTGTTCCACAATATTACAGCAAAAATAAAAAGTAGAGAAAACCAAATCCTATTTCTAGGAGCCAATAATTATATTTATTTTTCATGTTAAGGCCCAAAAGTCAAATACTTTCTTTTCTTCTGTGATAAACTGGACAAATTTGGAGCTTGGACTGCAACTCAGGCGAAACAAAAACCCTGAAGATACGACCCTGAGATTCTGGTTTACAGGAAAGTGTTGAAGTAAAAACGAACAGATAATAAGAGGAGTGTTACTCTTACCGTGCAGAACTGGATTCCTCTCACGCTGTTGCCCAGCTTGTCGAGTGGAGGAGACCAACACATGACGCCCATCACATTCGGAACGACCAGCAGGATCCCACCGGCGACGCCTGATTTCGCGGGCAGGCCGACCTGAAACAGGAAGAGGAAGAAGTGTTGACATGAAGTCTGGCGTGCTTCATATGGAGGAGGAGAAGTTAAATGTTTGAAGGAGTTACTGACGTGGAAAGCAAACTGTCCCGAGAAGTCGTACATGCCGCAGGAATGCATCAGACTCAGAGTGTTTCGCACGGCCTCTGGGGCCAGAACACGCTCGCCTGTGATTGGACAGAAGCCGCCGTTAGCCAGAGTGGCTGCCATGACACTGGCGCTCTCACAGGTCACCTCGATAGAGCACAGCTGAGGGACGAGAACACAGGTGTATCTTTTACACTGAGCAGAGTTGATTCATTCAGACGTTCATGAGAGCATCGGGCTGTTTCTGTTGTGATCATTCCTGTCACACTCATCAAATACATCTCATGATTTCATAACTATTGTTTGATAAAGAGTGTGTGTTTAAACTTCTTATTGCAGGTTTCTCGGAGAGTAATCATGAGCTCTCGTCGTGGACTTCATTTACCTGGAAGTAGAGGTCGAGGATGGAGGTCATGTCTGTCCCCTCAGGGAAACACTGAAACAACAACATCGTTAGCATCGCCTACAGAGACATGTGCTGCTCCTCTGAATAACGTCAAGTAACACAGCAACAACATCCAATCACTGAGTTATGATGAAACGACGCGTGAGTTAAAGCGCGACAAACTTCAAGTTGTATGAATAAATATATTTAAAACTCCTGGCCGTGCTAGGCTGCAGTAGATGACCTTTGACCTTACCTTCTTCTCCTTCAGGTAGTAGCCGATGGCAAAGTTTCTGTCTCCAGACTCTCGCTCCGACTGGAAACTGGGACACAAAGACGAGGTTTGTGACTCAGCTCAGGTTTCATAAAACTCAAACTGACGTGTTTAAAAAACATCTCTTGAATGGAATCATTCATGTTTTGTAACCTCAGCGTTTCAGTACATTTCTGTGCGGCGTGTCGTTGTACTCACGTGGCGTTGCTGAAGCCGACATACTCGTTTCCTGCGAGTTTGTTCATGAAGTTCATGACCTGAAAACAGATTCAGATTGTTTCTTAACAGATTTATTAACATCACATAGAGTTACTCATCCTCCAAAGGGTTATTCCCAATTTAAATAAATGTCTTTGAACACAACATTGATACTCACATAATCAAACTTCTCAGAGTTGCTCACTCCTTGCTGAAACACAAGCAGGACAAACGCAGTGTGACATTTTTGATCTCGTATTGTACACTGGACATTAAACAGTTACCCATGTCACGACTTTAGCACTACTTTAAACCATCCGTATCTCTATGATATCAAACTAGAAAGAAAGTGTACGTTTACAACACTACTGTTTTTAAATCAAAGGCTTCATGTAACCAATCAAACCAATCGATGAATTAAGATTAGAGGTGGGAGACTAGCTGGAGATGGAGGAGGTGAAACAAAAACAGTTAATACACTCAAGAGTCTCTGTTTTGTTTTTCAAAACGAAACTTATAATGAAAGTAAAGAAAAATGATCTGACCCTGTTTGAACTCAAAGAGTGAAGTTAGCTGTGGCTCATTGAACTGTTAACTGTTACTCTACAGGTGTGTTTGTTTTTAAAGCTGCATTCACACTGCAAGTCACATGAAACAAAACACATTAAAGAGACGCTCCTTCAACCTGAAGTGTCAAATGACTTTATATACATCTAGAAAAAAATCAGACTCATTGAAGTCTCCTCTAAATGTTTGAAAATCTCTCAGCTTGGTGTTGATTTATTTTATGCTGGCTACATTTTCATCCAAATGTTCACCCTGCTAGCATGGCTTCAAATCTTCACATTTATAAATCAAATATCGAGTAAACAAGCCGTCACAAACTATTAAAGCTGGGAGATACGATTGTAATTAATCTTTATTTTTCTGATAAATGGTTTATAGACGTGTCTGCACAGTTACACACACGCGCAGTGATTAAGGCAATAAGCAACACTTTGTTGTTTTGAATCTATTCTGAGTCCGCACACCAGAAGCTGCTTGGATTAAATGTAATCTGATGAAGGACGAGGGCCGAAACGTTACATGTGGTGATAATTCCCATTAAAATTTTAATTGGAGCAGCTTCTGGAGTGCGGACTCAGGCTTTCTGTCTTAGGATTCAGCACCCAGTGTTCAACTTCTCAGATGTATTTGTATTTTAATCTATTCTGTCTCTGAAGTTGATTAACTGCAAAACTGAAGTTTGGACATTCATCAGTCACCATGTGAATATTTGTATAACGTGCAGCTTTCAGTGTGAAGCTCATTTTGTTGTTTTAACATCTACTGTTTGTCCGTAGCTGAGGAGAATAAAGCTGTGAGATAAGAGGAGTAACTAGGATGTATGCGTCTTTACTGTCTGAGGCCCCGTGTACACCTAGTGTTCTTTCCGGGCAGAAAAGCGCTGGCTGTGCGCCCGGTAGCGCTTGCATGAAGCGTTTGTGCTCTGTGAAGAAAAGCGCAGTCCGTCTCCATGACAACAGTCAGACACGGAGCAAGGAGGATGTGGGTACAAGACACGATCTGTAGACGACAAAACTCCGGGGAATATCATACATCTGGAAAAGAGCGCCGGTGAAGTCAACAGCGCCTTTCTGAAAAAGTTAAAATACTTTCAACTTGAGCGCTCGGAGCGGCCGCAACAAAAGGCAGAGGGCTCGGACAAAACCCTCCGGGCGCTGCTGTGCTTTGTCTCCGGGCGGCCGCCTGCTGATGCAAACGCTCTCTACTCTTTGAGTCAATTAAAAAAAGGCGCTGACGCTCAGAAAGAAACGCTAGGTGGGACACGGGGCGTCAGACAGACTAAGTGATCTAAGAGTCTAGAATCAAAAGCTAGAGAAGAATGGAGTATGAAACCAGTGTTTGAGTTGAGTCACAGCTGTACTGTTTATAATCCGGACGTATAAACAGTTTGGGGGAGAATGCAGGTGAAAAGTATAAAAGCAACACTGAAACATTCATAAACAGCCATGTGAAGGCTAAAAGCTTCGCACAAATCCAGACAGAAGAGGGGAAAAATAATTAAAAAGGAAAAATTACCAACGTCATTGACCTGTTGCAGTGGTCATAATTTCCCAAAGATCCTAATGCTGTAAAATATGCAACAACACATAAAACCACACAACGAGCCTTGAAAAGGTACATTGCAATGAGGATATTTAAGATGTAGATTCAGAAGAAGGACAGAGGAGGGGAGGCGCATGCACACAGTCCCTGATTTATTTCTCCAATCAAACAATAGATTTAAACCTCATCTGAACAGTGATTGGTTGGATTCAAAGGGACAGAGGGATTGGCTGACAGTCATATCATGAAGGAATGATTGACAGAAGTCATTCAAACAAGAATCTACTTTATTTTCTTGTTGATAAATCTGATCTCCCTGCCATCATTCCCACATGATGTGATCATAACAAACAACACGGGGTGATTCTCCTGCTCATCCAAACACTTTATGCACATCCTGTGTTTTTTATTTTGAGGCATTTCATGTCTTTGGATGATTTACTGATAGTCTGAATTTGCTTAAAAATCGTTGTTGTTTTGCACGATCAGAACCTGAATCCTGCCATTTCAGCCATCCTTCACTGAGGTAAACAGTATCTGATGTCCCTCCTGAATCAATTCAAACTGAAGTACAGAGGAAAAAACTTCCTCTGGATTTTATCTGAGTAATTAAAATGTTCATCATCCTACAGGGAGACCCTCGTGATCCTTAGCGGCTGCTCAAGGACGGACCGAGTCAGAGTCACTGAAGGTTTCTATTTTTCTTTTGAGTCTAAACTCAGCAGGTGGTGCTCCTGTGTCCCTGTGTGTGTGTGTGTGTGTGTGTGTGTGTGTGTGTGTGTGTGTGTGTGTGAAGGTCAGAGGGGGATATTTAATGAAACATTGAGGTGGCAGAGCTGCTCTCCAACTCCCCGCGCTACAAACTGTACGTATGTGTGTGTTTTTGTGCAGGATGGCGGCTGAGCGATGGCTGCCTTCAACCAAATCCCCTTTTAGCGTGATTATCTACAACCTTAATCTGCCCCGGAAACACAGAGATTATAATTCTATTCATACACTTTCTCTTTGGATGCAACTTAGTCTGACTTTCTCGCTGCACAGAAATACAAATAAAAACAGAATCTGGAATGAACTTTTTACAGACTTTAAAATGTAACATATAAGAACTTTACAGACTTTTTTTTTTTTACAGCCAGAATTCAAGAAACTCAACATGAAATGACAAAATACAGTCATGAGGCCCCGTTTCTTGTTTTGTACTAGAGCAGTTTGGATAAATGTAAACATAATAATTGAAGGTGTCGTGTGTAAACACAGCTTACCTTAATGAGGGAGGTACAGACGATAGCTCCAGCATTAACCATGGGGTTGTGCGGTTTATCTGCAGGTGAAAAAAGAATCAAACATGAGGTGATTTTTAATGTTTACTGATGTGAGAAAGTGGAGAGAGGCAGACTCTACAACATAATCAGAACTACAAAGAGGATTCATCAGGAATATGTTATGATAGATGCATGAACATAACTATGCAAGATACTTCCGCATATAGTAACACAATGTTGAGTGGTACACAACTCCTCCTCTGGGTTTTAATCTGCTTATGCAACCGTCCAGACAGGAGGCATATTCAAATCAAATAAAAACATGTAAAAGTACACAGCTGGAATGAGTCTGCTGCATGCTCTGTTAGGTAACAAAGAGAGGAAACCAGGAGACCAGCAAAAAATAACGTATTTTACAGAGAGAAGCAAACAATTCATGCTGCTGTTTAGCCATGTCACACAGAGCACTGACAGACAGGCTGATGGGGAAAAACATTTTAATGTAAATGTTCAAACACAAATGTCTGGTTTTCATTGAGCCACGTGCCAGCAGCTCGTTGTATTTCAAGGTTACATGCGCTCTCTGTTACACACTAGCCGCTCTGTTTTATTCTGCAACCTTTCATTAACTATTCATCTCACTTCCATAGCAACCGGGCCTGGAGACGGATCCTCTTACAGTGAAAGTGTGAGCCCAGAGAGCCAATTCAACCACAGCTGGCTGAGTCACCATAGAAACACAGAGACACAGGTGTGTGTGTGTGTGTGTGTGTGTGTGTGTGTGTGTGTGTGTGTGTTTCCTCTCACCTTCCTCGTTCAGGAAGAGCTTGTTGAACCGTAGACCGCTGGGCTCTTTGCCGATGAAGCGGTGCACGTACTCAGTGCCGTGGTCGTGAACAGCGATGGCGTATTTCAACGGCTTCACGCACGACTGCAGACAGAAAGGAACCTTTGTGTCGCCGACGGTGTGCCTGACAAACAGACGGAGAAATGTACACTTCTGCTTTGTATTTAAGCTTTTGAAATGTGTTCTAGATGTGACACAGACAGAATATTTCTCTCTTTACTTTATCAGAGTCTGTTCTTAAAGGGTTAATGCATGACACAGAAACAATAGCTGCAGGTGATCCTATTCATACTCTACACACATGCAAAACATCAACAGCTGTCAAGCATGAATTATTCTTTGTGTTTTACCTCTGTCCGTCCACCGTGCACAGGGCGACGGCCCATATGTCGGGGCTGAATCGAGCCAGCTGCGGAATGTAGTCGGCCACCTAAAGCAGAACGAAACATACAAATATGAGGACACTGAGGTTTTAAACTGAGAAAGAAAAGTCCTTCTGTAGAACTGCTTTTTAGCGCTCTGCTGCCCTCGCTCACCTGCCCTCCAGGCATGGTTTTAGCCGTCCCGTAGAGTTCATCGATGTGGGCGCAGAAAGACTGAAAGTCTGGGATGACAAACTTCTTCCTGAAGGCCTGAGTGAGCAGAACGATGTTGCTCTGGACACACCTGAGACAGGAGACAAGAAAAACAGCTTATTGTGTTAACCTTACACTACAGCTGCTGCAGTTCTGTTTTTTCCTAGTTTGCGAAAGGCATGTGGGAAAAATATGCACAGATTGGTGCCATGTCAGGTCCATGTTAGTTTGAAAGAAACCTCCAGATTTAGTCCTGCTCCTTTTAATCTGAGTGATTTAGGAGCACAGATAGTAAACAAGTGAAGAAGTCTTGAGGTAGAAGCTGTGTCGCAGAGATTTGTGGCTCAGCTATCTCCCTGCATCAAACTCTTTGTAATCCCTGTAGCATGGGATCCCTGCAGAGCACACACGGCACACTCCAGCTCCCGCTCACGTGCTTCCCTCTGAGGCCGAGCTCTATAAATAAGCCTGGGGAGGTGATGTGATGGATTCCAGCCAAGAGCTGCAGCGCCGAGGTCTGTTCACCGAGGATTCAACTCCCTGGTGAGCTGTCATATGCCCTGACTCACCACGGCGCTGCTTCACAAGCTGTCACCCAGTTTGTCTCAGATTCCTCTGGGGGGGGGTTCAAACAGCAGCCGTGATACTGAACAAGAAGGGGGGGGCTAATAATACTTTATTCAATAGTCATCTTTGTTTTGACTCCAGTTGTGGTTTCACACCAGTTATTTTACCACATAAATGTTTTACTGCTGCTTCTCGTCTTGTTGTTATGAAAATATTCCATTAAAGCATCTTTTTTGTTTCATCAGGGAGGTCATACATAGTCCATTGTGGCTCACAACACCAATCATCTATCATTAAACATCATCTTAAGCAAACGTTAGAATCATTACCAGATGTTAAAATGATGCAGAAAGTTTAATTTATGTCCTCCACTTCTCTTCAGTTACGCCTCGTTGTTGTTTAGTTAGCTTGAATGATATTTTCTGTTTCCCTCTAAAGAGGGCAGTGTAGTGCTTTCATCACTTCAAGATACTTGAACTTTCATTAAAGATAAACTGATGATTCTTTTTGTGTCCTATTTCCCCGCAGTAGTGGTGCGTCTTGTTTGAATCCAGCTGGACGGAAACCTCAACACGATGTGGATGACGTCTGAACTGAGGAGTGATGAATCATTGATGACGTGCAGTGACGGAGAGAAGAGGACTCTGACCAGCATCAATAATTCTAAAACACGACTCTGATGAAAGATTCATGCTGATACAAAAAAGGTGGAGCAGGAAGCGGAGAGACAGCTGGCTCCACCCAAACAACTAGTGGTAAAATACAAAACATCATTTTAAGTTTTGATTTGTGAGAAAGTTTCTCAGGGTGTTTATACTTTTCATAACAATTTTAACATTCACTCATTTAACTCTCTGAAAGCTCTTCATTTAAAACTGCTATGAAGCTGCACATTTCATTGTTTTAAAAAGAGTTTATCTCAATAATTCTTTGACTGCATGATGAACTTTTCCCGTCATTTTAAATAAAATTCTCCATATAAAAAGTTATTTAAAAAATCTGCCAGTGCAGCAACTTCCAACTCAATAAAAGGAATATATCTAGTCACATGGATTCGATAAAAACCTACTTTTTGAAGAGGTGTCGGTCGAGAGTTCCGTCCGAGGTCGTCTTCAAGGTCACCTTCAGCATCTCCATACACTCCTTCAGCCTGGGGTCTCCTGTGCGAAGCCCGGTGGCTTTAAGAGCCTGCAGAGATGAAGGAGACATTTTGATTAAGGCTGCCTGAAAGCAAATCAATAAAGCTACAAGCCGTGAACCGAGGCTCCTGAAGAGGCTTACAAGAGGAGTCATCCTGCTCATAATTCAACCAGGGAGACAACTACAAAGAGGAGCTGATTCACTGCCTCCCTCTCTATCTGTAAATCTTACAGCTACCAGGACAGTTGATTTGAAACGAGTCTTTTCAAATATAAATGTTCTTGTTTCCTGTTGTGAGGACTCACTGTGGTGAATTTGTGTGCAGGGATTTTTTCCTGGCCCTCTGCGATGGTATAGAAGAGCAGGTCCTCCAGGCTGGGCAGGACGCCTGCCTTCCTTCTCCTGCAGGAGAGAAAAAGAAAGACACACACACACAGAAGGAAAAGTGAGAAAAATATCTGAACAGTGAGGCGCGCTGTGGTGGAAACATGGAGGGGAAACTGCAGCGGAGGGAGGAGAGAGAAGCTGTGAGTAATATGTGTCACACTGCTCTGAGAACATCACCGTACACTGACCTTATTTCAGAGTTTGAACCTGTGGAAAAGACTGGACATGTCCTTTTCCACAGGCTGACATGCTGACATAAGGTCACTGTAAAGTCAACTGTTTATTGGCTACTTTGCTAGAATACCAGCCATGTGTTTAAAAAGCTGATTAGCATGGAAGCTAACCAAAGGACTCACTGCGTAGTTTTTAGTTTAATCTCAAACCCTGTGATGTCGCATGAAGCTCAAGGAATTTGTGATTATGAATATGACCTATATTCACCCTGCTTTAGTTTGGGTAAGTCCTGGGGACAGCAGCAGCACAGAGGGAGCAGAAACAACAAATATTTCATGATGAATTAAGTGTTCTGAGAAAGAAGTGCTTGCAGCCTTACAGGCATCTTGGTCCTCACTGTATGAGAGGATGACGTGTCAGAGCAATTCAGCCGAATGAATCCACTATCTGTGAATTGTGCTGACTGGGTTTTAACCGCTGCAGCTGTGACGGGAAGCTTGCCAGAGCTCCCGCCTCATTAGTGCCGTGTTCACTGAGAATCGACCACCAGCCTCCAAATGAATGACTGTACAGTCTGCATGGTGGCTGTTAAATAACCTCAAATCAAGTCAAGGGTCAGAATATTTCTTGCTGCTGGACTCTTTTTGAAACATGCATTGTTGTGTCCTCTGCTTACAAGTCTCTTATTGTGCACCACGGACACTTTGCATCAGATTTTCATAACATATTCATATTTCTGTCCCACAGTGCCGCTGGCTGCAGACTTTCTCATAGCTCATAGTTAACCATTCTTTTCAAATATTTCCCACAGATCGTGTTTGTTATCTATGTTCTCTGTGCTTCTGTACTCCTGTAATTTGCAGCCGTTATGAAGTTGGAGGTCAGTATTTGCAGAGTGTTATTTTTTCCTTTCAGCCTGGCTGGTATTCTCAGCAGCGCCTCCACACGGAGTCGTCTCTAGGAGGAAAGTTAGTAGCGTGTCAGGAGGCAGACGGGGCGACCAGCTCACAGCAGGCTCTCTGCTATGATTTATATCAACACCAAACTGAAACTATGCAAAGCCCTCGGCGCCAAGGCACACTCGGTCCCATTATGCACCACGGGGCAGCGGCTTGTGTGCAGGGAGAAGATGTGTCAAGGTTGGCAGGAGGATCCTCGCAGCAGCCAACCAGATAAAAAGCTCAGTTTGCACCTTTACAGTCATGAGAGCAGAATCAGCACCAACAGGGTTTCCTCTGGATGTATTCAGCAGCAGGGAGAAATTGATGGGATTGAATCAATATCAACTTTTTTAATCATGAAATTTATCAACAACAAGATAAATACAGAATATCACCCTCCTTATCCCTCTGAAATCAATCAGTTTTAGACCCAACAACCTGCTTTACATCCATCATCTGCGTTTTTCTGTTGCAGAATAATATCACAGAGGAAACTCTGGACCCGTCTTTGACCCATAATTTAGACGCCATGACCTGCACAGTTCCACTCAGAGTCATCGGTCAAAAAATAGTGATTCAAGCTGCACAACAAAAATACATTCTTGTGATCCTGGAGTTAAATATAAACACATCCGCCCCTGTTGAGACTCTGATGTTTTGAGTACAATTTGGACTTTGATGGCTGTCAGACGAGCTTGAAATCTGAACACTTTCTGACTCGTGTGGAACATTACATGTTAAAAAATTCTCACGAGAACCGTTAAGCTTTTTCACTGCTGCAATCATAAACAAAGGTCGATGCCTGCTGGTGAGGAAGAATACACATCAGAGAGTGTGTGTGAGGAGGGAGGAGGAGGGGTGAGGGAGAGGGAGGGGGGGGATTCAAGCGCAGCCTCTTGGACAGTGAGGTCATTTCAAGGTAAAAGCGGTTTGTCGGCTTTCTGCAGAAAACCTCTACTTCTACTGGAAAACAGGTTAAAAAAAAGAGGAACTAGAACTAAAATAAAAAATAGAAACATACTTACAAATGCAAAGCAAGCAGATCAACAAGAGGGAGAGAGTGTGCAGAGGGAACAATACTGAATTAGTAACAGTAGTACAGTATGAGCACATCAGCTGAGCAATGTAACAGTACGACTCCATAACACTGCAAACATACCGATACTACTGTGACAACAAAAACAAAATAAATACAGCCATAATACTGATGAAGTGTCTGACAGGACGAGAAAAACACAAACACAGATAATGATGGAAAGCTTCAAAAGAGTTGGGAACATGAAATAAACCTGAAAAAAGAGGACATTAAGAAATCTGTGAGGATAAGAAACAACAGAATTTTAAGTAGTTGTGTCTCTAAATATAAACATAACATGAACCCCAACATCGTTTAATGAAGACTCTGAGCTGCATATGAAGAGAAAAGGATTGAATCTGTACACAGATATCTTCTTTCAGAGACAACCTTCTTGTTCTGGTTACGAGGCCTGAGAGAGAATCATGAGTGCAGGGTTAGAGGTGTCCCTGCAACATCTGGAGCAGCCTCTGGATCCACTCATTAATCTACCTCAGCCGCTCTCATTAGTGTTCGAGCTTCCCTCCCTGAACGCCTCTAAAGGTCAGCTGTTATTCAACACGCATAGTTTTCCCAGAAGGTGTACAACTCTCTCTCTCTACCTCATAACTGTTACAAGCTAATAAAGCTAGCTGTAGCACGCTTATGGATCAGTTAATCCAGAGTTCACAGTTTTTTTGTCTGCCTGGTTTGTTTGTCAGCTCTATAAATATGCACAATCTCATCCATGTTACTCTCTCAGCTTCACCATCGTACAGTCATCTGCCCTCCTGGCATCCCCCCCCCCCACACACACACACACACACACACACTACTCTGCTTCATTTTAAGATACCCAGTGAGGAGTGTTGTTGACGTGCGGTGTTTGTTGTCTCACTTTGCACACCTTGTGTTTTCTAAATGTGTAAAAACTGTTTGTTTTAGCTGCATTGTTCTTATCAATGAATCTGCTGTTTCTTTCTTTAACAGGTCAACAGTGCGGATGTTAATTCCCTGATGTTACTGGAGCTGACCCCAGTGTAGTAGACAGCTGCTCCTGAGGACGCTCACAGCTGATCTGAGGTCAGAATCGGCGCGTGAACTGACTGAACAAACAGTTTGTTGTTTAAAGTTTAAACAGTCAAACATGGTTCATGTTGAGCTGTTGGTGTCGACAGTTCGATGTCTGACCCGATCGATGGAGCGGGTTTCACCGCCACACAGATGTCCTGACAAGCGGGCGGTGAGGGGCGGAGGCAGCGGTGAGAGGCGGAGCTGCACAAATCAATCTGCGAGAAGTGACTCATCTGCTCCTGGAGGCCCTGACAACTGCCGGGCAGCACGCCAGCATCCCGGCTTTGGTGCAAAAAACGGAGGAAAAATGATGTGGGCGGGATAAGCTCCCCTGCATTACAAACATTTTTAACCCCTTATTAGCCAGAGCACCGCCTCAGGACCCTCATAGATGCTGTCGGGGCCCCGGGGACTCCAAACAGTCCGCTGTGGATTTTATAGTTGAACACTTTATTCATGTTGCGTTGGCCTGATTTCCAGACTTTTAACCCTGATGTTATTTCTGTGCCTGCTGGGTGTCATCTTGTGTTTGATGGTTGTATTATGGGTTAATTTGATTAGCTGATTTGCTGTTAAAGTTTTAATCATTGATCCATAAAATGTCAAAGTATCTGGATGTGCATTTAAAAGTCCAAATGGTCAAAATTAAACCATTTGTTCTGTCCATTTAAGAATCAAGAGTCCAGATAGTAAATAACAAACTATTATAGAGGATTACAGCACATGCCAATCTTCCTCATTTAAAGCAAAAGACCAGGAGCCAAAGCAGCGTCTCCTGATGTTGAACATTTTCTGTTTTGTTTGTTATTGTGACACAGCTGAAGTTCACACGAGCAGATGACTCAGAGCCTCACAGTCTGAATGAATAAAGTCAGTGTGTTCCTCACTGTGCCTCATCCTGCATGTGGCCTGTTGATCATTTTAATCCACACTGAGCATGTTTCAAGCCGAGGCCTCCCTCTCACTGAAATGAGCCTTCTGGGGAAACGAGATGTTGCTGACGAGGAGTGACTGCTAAACATGGCCGACAGCTTAAGCAAATTGTCCGTGAATGGAAGCAAATGGGACGACGTTGGCCTGCAGAGGCGATGAGGCATTTTACTGACGCTGGTGGTATCACAGCTGCTCTGAATGAAAAAGTGTAACACAGCCAGACACTTACATCTTTTGATTTTCTTCTTAAACAGTCTGCCCTCCAGGCTTTTACAGATTATACTAACACACCACAGAACGCAGAAAAAAAAAGATGTCCGGATTAATTCACTGCAGCGTGTTAAATATCTATCCTGAAGAAGATGAAGCACGATTCATCATCGTGCAGAAACCTGAGTAAACACTCGAGTGTGATCAGAGAAAAAGAGGAAGCACCGCGTCACATTCCTGACAGATTTACATCTCATTCAAATAAACACGCATCAGACTGGAGGCTGCTGGCATACCAGCCGTGACACTTCACATCTTCAATAATCTGAAAGTGACCTCTTGGATATTTGACAACATATATTGAGTTTTTAACCAGACGACTGATAAAATAATTTGTTTTATGTGGACGGTAGAGGTTCTGCTACTTCCCCTGAACTGGTCTGACGTGCATTTGTAAAATAACTTTCTGAGTCTGTCCAGAGGTTTAATCTAGGCTTCCTCTTCCTGTGGATCACAGATTTAAAAGGTGATGTGGCGTCCGCCGTCCAGAGATGTTTAATTATTCAAACAGAAAGTGGAGGCAGAAATACGTTCAGGCAATTTCCAGTGAGAGCATTTTATGTACGTCTCTTCAGAATCAACGTCCAGCACACAGAGTGGGAGAAGTCTGTCATAAAGATCAAACTTAATGAACTCTGTGAGGGGACGCAGCTGAACGGCAGTTTGGGATTTGTTTAATGGGAGTGAAAACCGTCTGGGAGAAGAACGTTACAAACATACGATGCCTCACTTTGCTGTGAAACGCGGCGTGCTGTACAAACATTACCAGAGCCAGAAAAAAAGTGGATCATTATCTTAATAGACGTCAGCGGGTTTTAAGTGGATCCAGCGAGGCCTTTGGGAACTGTGGTGGCGATGTTCCCTAAATGATTTTAACCTGCATCCAGTCTATCAGCAGGAGGACTCTCATCCTCACTCCTCGATCCACACGCTCTCTTTTAGCCTGTTGAACAATCACCCCTATCAGACTCTCTATTACAGCCCTATCTGCTCCACTAACATGCTGATAACTGATCATGCAATTATCTGCCAATAGACACTAATGACTCAGTAATGGAGTCTTTTAGTTTCAACATCTGGTTCATAAACAGACAGACTGTTTAGTGCTGAACGGTTGGACTGTTAACTGACCTTTCATTGTTATCTTGTTTACACATGATGACACCCTGACTGTGAATCTAATAGGGTTGTTTTGTCAGCGGAGGGGACTAGATAAATAAATCCTGACAAACGTGTGTCTTAATGGGGCACCGGTAGCGTCGTGGTTATTGCGTGAGCGCCATGTACGGAGGCTATGGTCCTCCGGGCGGGCGGCACAGACTAGAATCCGACCTTTCCCGCATGTCATTCCCGAAAAAATCTGAAAAAAATGTGGATTGCATTCCTAGATTCAAAGATTGACCTTCATTAGACTTTGAGTTATGCATGATCTGCCTGCAGAGTACATTATGTTACATGCAGATTTTGTTTGTTGCAGCATCAGCAGAACTAATAAAGTTATTTTTAAAAGAAGAAGGAGCTGGCCTGGTAGCAGCTTGATATCATGTAGTTTCACACTGAGGCTGCAGGATGCTGCAGGTCACCATACCTGCCTGCCTGCACACCACATGCTTCCATTTCCGGACACCTCCTTATTCCAGGAGCTCTTTCCTTCTTTCCCCTTCTGGAAATAAGTCTGATAACATGTCAAGAAGTGAATCACATCAACATGGGATTTTCAAACATATGCATGGTACATATTCACATCTGGAACAGCTATTTAAGCTAAGGTATCACGACCCGACATGGAGCTGTCCACCCGGTCATATTGCACTGACCCCCGGGGGGATGAGCGTGGTGTCACCGGTCGCTTCTGCCTGTTTGTCCTTTCCACTAAAAACCCTGACCAGGCTGGATAGCTTTAAAAACCGAACTCTAACCTGCTGGGAGACCTATTAGCATGCTTCATAGTTCGTCATCCCAATGGGGGAGCTGCGTTTGAGCTAGCTAGTGAAGAGCTAGTCCGTGCGTGATGCGGTTGAAGACGCTCAATGCCGAACTACGTTTAAAAAATCGACAACTTTAAAAAAAAACTTGATTGCATGTGATAAACATAAACACAACTTTAAACACATATTACTCATGTTATATTTAGAGTATTTCTTTAATTCGGCGTCTGTTCTTTGTGGAAAATTGCAATATTTTTGCAAGAAAAAGACTATATCACCATCTCCATCACCGATAATCGCTGCAGTAAATTGTCTTTTTTTCCCATTGGGTTCGGCGTAGACCGGGGTTACTCACTTCTCTGTTGCTGAGTCCTTGCCGGCTTCATTCGGTTCATCACCCTTGGAGCAAAAGCCTCTCAGTCCGTATCGCCTGGAGTAGTGCTGCGGCGGGGCTCTCCACCCGGGATACCCCCCCCTTCTGCCCGGTGACCTCCCATCCGACCCGACGGTGCTGAAGCAGGAGGCGGTCGCAGGTGCAGCTTTAATACCTGCCAACGGACGCTTTAGCTGGGTTTGAAATAACTCCTTGAGCGCTACCGTGGACCGAAAATGTAACATTTCAACCCCGTCGAGAAACAGTATTTAGATGGTGGAACTACAACGAGGCCGAGATCAGAAATCCGAGGAGTAAAAGTGCGCTGTTCCCGGTCGAGTAACGGTTTTCCCGGTGACTCAACAACTGAGAATTTTCCTCACTGGGATACAACCTACCCTTCACGCCGCGAGGGATTTGATTGGAGCATGATAACGCACATCGGTCCCTGATTGGCCAACAGAGCTGTCTATCATCAGAACTGCCAGTTAATCCGTGTAGGTCGTGTTCATTTATCTCCATCACTTTAATTCTTACCAAAGTTTACAGCCATTATGGTAATATACATCCTCTTTTATTGTTTTGAACTACTTTTACAAGCTTTGTAGCAGTTTATGCAAAACAATTAAGAATCAAATATTAGAGTTAAAAGAGGAATATTCATAAAAAGAAAGCCTTTACATAAAATCATAGTCAGTAGAGTTATATAAACTATACAGTGAAAATCCCCTTTAAATGCCATATAAGTCATATAATAGGCTATTTCAAAACACTTTTGTTCACTGATTATGTTTTCATCCACAGGAGTTTTTTTTTTTTTTTTTAATTAGAAACAAGAGTGTCATAAAGTCAGTGCAGATCACAATCTTGAATATTTACAGTCTGAGGTCACAGCAGCAGCAGCAGCACAGATGCCAGACACATACTGTAATGTCTTGTCTTTGTGTGACACCATTTGATTTATTTTGGTACTGCACATGTTGTGGCTGAGGTTTCCTCGGCAGATGGCGGCTTCTGTCCTGAACAGAACAGTTACAGCCCCATCTCCTGGCTGGATTTTTACTCTGGATTAGTTATTAGCAACAGCAATACTGACATGCCAATAACAGATAAGAAGGAGGAGAATCTCAGCCCAAAAAATTGGATGTTGGATGTTAATATAAAAAGTTGGACTTAATGTTCTCTATTCTTTGATGATTCTTTTTTTGCAGCGTTATATTTCTCTCTCTGGATACTTTTCTGCACACTGCAGAATCCTGAATTTATCTTTTTGGCATGCAACATTTGATGAAGTACACCCTCATTTTCCTCTAGAGAAATCTCTGTAGATATGTAATGTTCTTCAACCATCCTAAATGTGAATATGCATAAGACCTGAGTCAGGCAGAGCTGTAATGTCTGTTCTGACCTCTTTCACAGCCTGGGTGGGTGCAGTTTGACTCCCAGTATAAAACACTGACCTACAAACCAGATTACTCACTGGAAAGTTTTCGATAAATTAGTTGCTCCAGTTTGATTTTCTGTGGCTCCTAACTTTTAATCTGACTTTATCAGAATCTCTGTAAACTCCACCCACCAGGAGCTCCAAGTTAAACAAACAAAATCCATGCTGACTAATAATCCTTGACTGGGAACATGAAACATTCATGAATCTGGACTGAATCGGTGGAAGAAACCCAAAGTCTGTGGCTCACTTTCCCATGCAACAACGTCTACAATTAAAGGGGAATTCCAACTAACTATACCCATCAGATGTTATCTTACAGGAATCCGTTTTTATTCACACACAAAAATCCTGACCTCTGAGCCTGCGATGTTTCCTAACCTAGATTAATCAGCCCACTGGATTCTTCACTGTATAATCAGAAGTGTGTGGACAGAGCATGTAGTCTTAAATAAACATAAAGTTAGCCAGTGGGGTTTATTTTGTCCCTGAGCTTCATTCTCTCCAGTGTCCTCAGAGATCCTTCTTGTAATGTAACAGGAGAATTGCAGCTCTAAAAGTTTAATTCTGCATAAATCCCCCTGAGCCGCTGCATTTTCCCTGCATGCAGCAGTGAAGCAGAAAACAAAGGAAGGAAGGAAGGAGACAAACAAGGCGATCCCTAACGAAGCTGCAGGGAGGAGAGGCGATAATTCACTGACACCCACACCTTCTCAAAAGCAGTCAGCTTCCTGCTCCTTCAAAATGAGGGTGATGGGTGCGCTCGGCAGATCCCTCCCACGCTGCTTAGCGGCTGGCTTCCGCCCACCGCCCGTGGAGCCGCCCACATCCAGCCGTTGCCACAGCAACACATCATCATCAGTGACTTGCACTGGAGGAGGAGGGCAGGGAGGGGAGGGGCGAGCAGGCATCCAGCATGGGTGTTCATGAGCCGAGCTATTCTCCAGAGAAAATCTGTCTACATGTGTGAGAGAGAGTGTGTGAGAGAGTGTGTGTGTGTGTGTGTGTTTGAGACGAGGGCGAGAGAGGGAGAGAGAGAAGGAGGATGATGGGAGGTATGTGAAAAGGACCTGCGTCAGAGTGACTCATCAGCCAGTTTCACAATGTGTTGATGTGACGCTGATGCAAATGTCCTGCGCAGGGATTCATGAGTAAAAAAAGAGAAAACAGAGACGCTCCTTTAAAGGAAGCTCCACTGTTCTTTCATTGTCTTTGATTTTCTACATTTGTATCCCTTTACCACCTGCTTCTGTCCTTCAATAACTAATCACTTCTGCTCTCTTCCTGCATCTCCTGCTCTGCGTTCACTCACACACGTATGCTGCTTTAAGCCTGTGCTTCCCTGCCTTGCTCAAAAGCACCCTGACAGTTGTTTCTGGAGGATCAGGATCCGTTTATGAGTAAGACACTGAAACTCCTGCAGCTCCTCCCTGTCGAGGAAACTCATCTGTAATTAGCCAAAACATGTATCTCTACATTACAGTGTATTCCTCTAACCTGTCATCACAGCACTACAGCAACCTTTCTGCCCCATTAAACACTTTACTTTATCGTAAGCTCTGTCTGGAAAAACTCAAGTCTGAAGAAATCTGCAAAACAGTAAACAGTCTGTTTTCTTGTCATTTGCAGAATTTAACCTTCTGCTCATATCAAGCTGCATGACGTGTAACAGCAGTTGTGATTTTGCATCCAACATCCAAACATTAACCGGCTTTAGTGCACAAAAGTCTGCCACATTTAGGTGCAGTTTATGTAGACTTAAACAATTCTTAGCAGCCTTTAACTTAGCTGTTGCTGAAAGCTAGGAGCAGGAATTGTGTAAAACCAGTTAAAGCTGTTAGTACATTAATGTCTAGTAAATGTAAATGCTGGTTTATTGAAGTGGTTTATACATTTTTAATGAAATGTAATGAACTCTCATCCCTTCACACTGACTTAGAGGTCAGTCACTGGAATAGGAGCTACCAGGCTAAGCTAACATCCCAACCAGCCACGACATTGATCACAGAACGCACCTCACAATAGAGTTCAAAAAAATAAAGTTTAATGTTCATGTGCTGTATAACAAATAAAATATATTAGTGTTTAAAAAACAGGTGCATAACTAGGTGAAGCCTAATCTATCACTTTACAATAAACAGAGAGGAGAACAGTGATCAGTTTTCTCTGAAACATCGTACAACAGTCACGCTAACCGGGCCAGTGTTTCAGCCAATCAGGACGCAGACAGAAGATGAGTTCTGCCCCTGAGCATCCATGGCTTTATCCCCCAGAATGCACCAGCTAGTTTGGATTTAAACAACTCCAACCCACCACATGGACCTTTTTTTTTTTTTTTTTTTAACTCTTGAAATTTAAGAACACTGCCCTGCACACTCAAAGTGAGACGACACAAATACTTCTTTAGTTGTAGGTGAATTCCCAGCCTGAATCCATAAGAGACATACAGTTACTGAGCACAGAACAAAATGATGTATCCATATAGTATGCAAATAGACTTATTACTTACATAAATATTGCATTGGTCTGTCATTACGCTGAGTGACACTAAACTATCTGCAGGGAGAGGGGGAGAGGACCAAACAGACGTATTTACACATAAAAACACAGTGAACACTTATTTATGTATTTAAACAGCAAGAACACGTCTTTGAAATATGCACTGATGGCCATCACAGGTGGATTAAACACTGTTAAGAGCTAAGGCTAATCAACACTTTCATCATGTAAAGCATGTTTTTAAATACCAGACACTTTCACACGCTTGTATTTTTTCCTCAGTGACACTTAAGTTGTCTTTTTTTTCTTTTTGCTCTACGTACATAAACACTGTATTGACACCGAGAAATCTACAGCAGAGTTACACTTGACAAAGGAAAACCCTGGTTGAGAGATTAGGCTAGCACTATTTGTTATCACACAACTATTTACAGACCCCGGGCTGCTGCTCCGCCAGGAACAGCAAGAAACAGGAATGTAGCTTTTAGCTGCTGCTGCTGTAAAACCACGTCTGCAATCTTTAATATATTGAATCCTTTACTGAGTTAAGAACATATTTAGTGGATTTACGACCTGTGGGGTCTGCTGAAAGCCTGCTGGATCATTTCTTTATTCCTGAAATACTCCCCGTTTGCAGATGCGTGGTTTCACTTCAGCAGCAGTGTTTTGCTAAATTACAAAGTGAAATGAACCAATTAGCTCGGCCTCTGGCATGCCAGCCCAGCCATCCTGCCAAAGCCAATGAGAGAGGTCCCCCTGCTGTTCCTCCACAACAGCTCGAATCCATCCTCCTTTTTATATTACCTCCCATAAATATACACAAGACAAGAGCGAGGAAGGAGGGATTCATCCCACCTCTTCTGTTTCCACATTTGACTTGAATGATACAAAAAAAATAACTTATCAGGGGCTGAATCCTAACTCCTTCTCCCTACAGTACTTTTACACCTTTGTTTTGACTTACAGTACAAATGCAGACACACTTTAGTTCAATTTGGGAGAGTAACCAAGGCTCAGAAGACAGGAAATGACGGGGAAAGAAATGTCTGGATATCGCTGATATCTTTGAAGATCTTAGTGTAGAAGTGAATTTGATATCAGACTTCAGCAGCCAGATTAGGTAACACTGTATGTTTAAACCTTTTGATGTCCCTGGTTCAAACGTTAAAGAATCACAGAAATGTATAAGCCAATGAAGTCCATGGTTTCTGAGATAGTAGGTCTACTTGGTGGAGGTGCCCTTAAAAACAGAGAATTACATGTGATGAGCTCTGTGTATACAGGATGTTGATTTGTTCCACTTGTTAATAATTATAAAAGGTTCACTTGTGAGTGGCACCAAATCAAAAAAATCAAAGGATCACTTCAGTCTTCAGGACTCCTCTTCTTGTTTTTACCATTTTTTATCAACAATCCTTTAAATATTTATCTGAATATATCATCATGACCAGTGGATTTTTTTTCTTCTTCTTGTCTCTGAATCTAAGTTTGAGTTAGGATTCAGCCCGGGCATCACAGCCAGCGACCCGACTGTGCAAAGGAAGCAACAGAAAACCCACCCAGGCAGAGGTAAAGAGTACACACGTCTCTTAAATGACATGAACATACGATTGATCAACAGACAAAGACCTGCAGAGCGCTGAGGGGCTTCTCATCACGCTCTCTAGGTGCTTTGGCAAATAACTTTGAAACAAAAGACGAGATCAAAGAAAAATAAATGCTATTCATGAGGCAACATTGGTTGTTAAGGCTCTACTGTGGCTGTGCTTGCTTAGTATCTATTGATGGATAACTGCATACTGTCAAGTGTGAGTAAAATGAAGTGGGGGGGGCGGGTACTGGGGGGGGGGGGGGGGGCGTGGTGGTGTGAGGAGAGGAGAGGCGGGAGGCACTATGTGGAGTCTTCCGGCTCTGATTTGATGGTTTTCTTCTCTGCGTTGTTGGACGCTCGCTGCGATGTCCCGTTTTCTGGAGATGAAGAAGAAGCACAGAATCGTCAGCATGGAGGTTTAAAACGCTGCATGAAGCCTCGTACCTGTAGCACCAATCAAAAGCCGTAAATTCTCAGAAGTCTTGCCTGAAGTAACACCTCGAGAAAAGCTCCGGCTAGTCGTCGAACGTCACAAACCTGTTGCTGGTGTTTTGGTCTCGTCTGTGTGGTTGCTGTTGTTGCTGTGGTTGTGATGGCGCTTCAGTTCATTGGCTAGCTGCTTGCCCAATGGGAGGTCGCCTTCCTGCATGTTCTGACTAACAACCCGCAAGTTGATTGGTCTTTCGTCTGGAGGAGAGATGCAGAAGAAAAAACAGAATCATATCTCTGCGTACAGCACCGTGCAGATTTATCGATCAGTGATGTAAAATCTATCAGAATAAAGACATGAAGCATCCATCACACATGGAGGGACTCCAGATGGGTATATGCAAACATTCACCCAGATGTTGTTTTAACGCTGGCTGTGTTTAACATGTTCTTTATTCCCAGTGGTAACAAAGCCTGTGTTTGTGTGAGTTAAGCTTCTGATCCCTCATGTTTGCCTTTTATTCCCTCTGAGAGAACAGCCAGAGAAGGAGAAGAGAAAGAGAGAGAGAGAGAGAGAGAGAGAGAGAGAGAGGAGGGAGGATTAGGATGTATTTTCTACTTCTAGGCTTAATACTAGCATACAGATGTTTTTATTTCACAGTGGAAATGTGCAGAAGTTTCCTAGATTGGAGTCTTTTCCAGGTTTCAGCCACTTCTGTCTTCGCTACTTTACCTCAGCGGTGGATGATAAACCCACATTTTTTACCCATAATGCTTCATGAGGTTGAGGTATAAGGTTATCTTATCATTATGTCGTCTACAGTCAGGTTTCTGTCTCTTGGAGAGCAGAATATTTTTATTTTATTTATGGCTTCCAGGAGTTTTTTTGTGAAATGTCAGAAAACTGCAGAAAATCAATCCATACAGCTCAGGATGATGTTTTTAAAGATCTAAACTTATTTAACCTCGACTCTAAATCCCACAAATATTCACTTTACTGTCACATATAACAATAAAGCATGAAATCCTCACATCTTTTGAAGCTTGGATTCTTTGTGTAACGCTGCACAAAAGCATGCTGGGATACCTTTAGAAGAAGAAAAGGCTGGCGAGTTGTGATTCAAGATTTATCAGGCTGAACGCTGTTGATAGCAGAGACTTACAAAGTGAGTTTTTTGTCAGATTAAGACCGCTGTAGGTTTGACTATTCTGCTCCATTTGTGACTTAAAGGCATGGGTAATCGTCTAATTGTTGCAGCACCATGTGGATGCATTTGCTTAACATGTTAAGTAAGAAGACTTAAGGTTCTGTGTCAACCATTTATAGTCATTCTAAGAGAAATGTTCAAGCATGTTCTGGTAAGTTATAGTTGATACTTCAAAAAGAAGCTTTTGGGGGACATAAAGGACGACAATCATAAATGACTAAACCAAGAGAAATCAAAAGACATGTGGGCAGAGAGGGATGTTTATGCACAGACAGATGTGTAGAAATATAAACGTGTGTGATAAGAGGGAGTTAGGACATTTAGAGGACAAGAAGAAGAAGAAAGAACGTGACAAGTGACGGAGAGGAAGAAAGAAAAGGGACAGAGAAGACGTGGGGGAGGACAGAGAGAGAGAGAGAGAGAGAGAGAGAGAGAGAGAGACGCCCCCCTCCAGGCAACTGGCTGGAGGTAAACAGGCGTGGGCGTGATAATTACAGGTGCATTGTGGGATTTGTGGGAACAGCGATATAATGAGCTGTCGGGAGTGGGTGAGTGAGGAAAGGGATGAAAATGAGATGAGGCCCCGAGGAGAAGAAAGATCCTGAATAATGATGCCTCTCTTCTTCTTCTTCCTCCCTTCTGTGTTCGAGAAGTCGGAGATAATAAAGTTTAAAAAAAGTGACAGCTGCCACGGCCGGGAAATCTGCACCTATAGGTGTTGTTTCCATCCTGTGGCATTTCTGACATGAAGTTAATCCTCCAACGCACTCCAAGAAACATCAAGTCACATTAGGCTCAGATTCAGTCTCAGTTTGTTTCCATTCAGAAAACAACAATGGGCAAAACGTTGGCTGAAAGTGCAAACCACAGCTGGATGTTTTCTCTCCACTGGAAACCAGAGGCAGCAGCGAGATAATTACTTTTTGGCAAAGCAGCAAAAAAAGGCTCAAACTAAACGACAGATTGGAGCTTCATTCCAGGAGTTTCAGGTGCAGTTTGTCTTTAAAGGTCATATTTTAAAAAAGGAGTAATCTCAGAGGTTAAATAAAAGTTCTGCTCAGGCTCACCTTGGTTATCTCTACTCCCGTCTGCAGCCGCTCCGTTGGTGTTCTGGGCGTCGTTGAGGTACTTTAGAGCGGCAGGAGGGATCCTCCAGTCCAGAGCTTGGAGTCGCTCCTGGACGGCGGCGTCCTGCAGGATCTCCATCTGCCGTGCGAGCAGACGCTCAAGCTGCATCTGACGGACAAACGAGAGATTTACAATAAGAACAAAGAGAGCCAGAAAATCTCAGAAAACCAAATTAAGACTCCAGACGAAGGTGAGATTTATTTTGAGCACTCGAGGAAAACGGTGACCAGCTGACTTATTCTGCAGATTCAAAGTGCTTCTAAAGCTGTTTCCACTAAATTAATCTTTATACTTCATCTCCACGACTTCTCAGGGAGAAATAATAAAATACGGTCCACTCGCGAGCATCTCAGTTTCAGCCTGGAAAATTGTTGTTGCAGTTCAAAGGAAGTCATTGAGCATTCACACAGAGGACCAATGACTGACAGCTGACACGTAGCGTTCACAGAAATGTGCGGCAATAAAAACATTGTTGGTATCTGCTCATTGTCAGTCTGCACATCAGTGTCGGCTCAGATTATTATGGGATGCGCTTCACATCGTCACACAGTGAAACGTCTGATATGAGCAGCGGTTCAGAGGCCCCGCGGTGCAAAGCAGCCATGAAATCTTTTCTTCTGCTGAATGTGATTTCTGAAAAATCACATCAGGATGACAAGTGTATCTGCAGTCACACACACACACACACACACACACACACACACACACACACACACACACGAATGAACACGCACACACGCTCGTAGGACCAGACACATGTTGACACTTGAAGAAGTGAAGGAGCATGGGTTTTCCACACACACACACACACGTCACATGAACATGTTTCCTGGGTAATGGGTTATCATAAAGCTCTCCTCCTACACGCCGGCTCTAATTAGGAACAAGCTGCAGCCGAATCATTGGAAACCAATAAAGACCATTACTGGGATCAAACTGGATCCTGTGTTGAAAACATCTGCTCACATGGAAATGTGTCGCCGTGTCTGCTGGTGGGAATCCTCTCAATGTCCTGATTATCATATTTCCTCTTTCATATATAACCTTGTTTTCAACCATGTGCTGTGACTGGAAAGATCCATAAAGACTTGTAATGGGAGTATTCAAACCAGTACCTTCCACAGTCCTCTGGTGCATTTATTGGTGTACCATGCCTCATTCTCTCTTTCTCTCTTTGCCTACCTGCAGATTTCGCCCCACGGTTTCTTCTCCTTTGGACTTGGCGCAGGCCAGCTGCTCCCTCAGCATCTCCTGCCTCATGTGGATCGCCTGCAGCGCCTCCTGGATGTCGAAGAAGTTCTCCTGTAGGAGTAAAACAGACAAAGAAAGAGACGCCATTATTCTCAACACTTTTGAAAACAATGTGAATGGGAAACTCTGATAAACCCTTTAAAAAGAGAGCAGAATGAAAGTTTGTAGGTCAGATTTGAGGGTTCATCGTGGACATCGATGTCCTCTGATTGTTTCTGGACATTAATGAGGGTTAGATGACATCAGGAGCAGTTTACCTACAACAGTGTGAGACCTCATTTTCCATTAAGACCCCCTTTTTAAAAACAATTTGAACGATTTGCTTTGACTTAAAATATTTTTCTTATATTATTCTTTATATTATTTTAACCTTTTTTTTAATTCTTTTCACTTTGAAATTTTATTACAACGAAACAAAAGCTTCATATAAATCATCTTTGGACCTCCCTGACTACAGATCATAAACTATAGATATAGGCAGCAACAACGTCAGACCTGTGAGTCTAAATCCAAACATGTATCATGGACGGTTTGAACAACTGAGCAAACAAAGAGGAATAGTCAGGAGTTCTTCTGTTTCTGCTGAACTGTAAACTCGGCAGGAACTCCCCTCTTTTGTTTATCAAGGCGCTCAGAGTAGTTTTTATTGAGCAGGTGTCAGTTCATCCGCAGCTCTTCTTCTTGGTTTTAATCCCTGCAGAGTTTGCAGCCGGCACATGTTTCTGGATCTGAAACTGAGAAGCCTTTCAGAGCTCCAACACTGAGCCAAGTGTGTCAGGAGAGAAACACTGAGGGATCACTCTGTGTTCTGTTCAAGGATGTTACTGCTCCATCCGTTCTCTTTATGAAGGCTGCACAGGCTTCACATCAAAGGCATCTCTAAGACTATTTACACAAACATTATCGAGTCCATCCTCAACACAGGGAGTGAAGAGTTTACAGGTCAGCCACGAAGAAGAAGAAGAAGAAGAAGAAGAAGAAGAAGAAGAGCTGTGTTGGGAGCATGAGCAGGGAAACGCACCATCACTGACATCATAGAAATAAAGAGAAAGTAAGAAACACCATCATCCCTCCTGCTCTGTTTGATAAAAAGGTTCAGGGCTGCAGACATGAACAATATCAGAATAAATGATGAACTCACCTCTGTTTTAATCCTTTTTGGTGACGGCTCGTCTCTGTCTCCACAGCGAGACCTGCAGACAAACATCAGAAAAAAACTTTTCAGGACTAAAGTTGTTGTTGGAAACATAACTTAATCTTCTTCAAATATGGACACTAAGAAATATAGCATCAGCTGTTTTCTGGTTTCAAGATTTATTATTAAAGGGTTTTTTTAAGTAAATAACAAAAAAAACAGAAACACCCAGACAGATGGCTCATCTTCATTTTGAAGAACCTCTAAGTTCATCTAGTCTCCAAGAGGACATGAATCAGTCTGATTTCAATTCTCAGAGAGCTGATTGAGGGAAAACTTTGACTCTTGTTTGTGTTTGAAGAAGGAAATATTTTAGTAAAAAGTGTTCAAAGTCAAATACAACAGGTTAAGATGAAACAGAGACAGTCTCAGTGGAAGCTCTTACTTGCTGGTGCGGTAGGTGTATTTGTAGGTGACCTCTCTGGAGATCTGGCGGGCGAGTCCGAAGAGCTCGTCTCGACGTGTCAGCAGCGCCATGTCCCTCATACAGAGCTGAGCCGCCGCCTCGTTCACCGTCAGCTGCACATCACAGACAAAAGTCACTCATTTAGAAAGAACACAGGAGTATACCTAAAATAATCCCTGAACAGGAAGTCTGTTATTTGAATGATGTGATTATAAACCTCATGCAGCGTCAGGTGTTTCCCGTCCCTCCTCTTGGAGTCAAAGCGTCCATAGATGGCGCTGTATTTACGGATCTCCTCCTCCCTGCGTGGATCATCGTCACTCATTTCAAAGATGTGTCCGATCATCTTTGCCAGTTTCTTGTTGTTCTTCAGCTGCTCTTTGACCTCAGCCACGTCTGTTTTAGGAAGTCCTGGCACCATCCTGTCCACACACTCCAGGACTGACTGGACGGCGGCGGCGTCCAGAGCCTCTAATGCGTCTCTGGGTGACGACGGCGAGCCGAGGTCTGAGGGCGACAGGCTGTGCTCGCTGTCGTTGCTGTGTCCCGACCAGAAGCGAGCCTCGCTGCTGCCCTGTAGAGGTGACCCAGCTGACACTTTGTCTCTCGCCACATCCAGCTTCCCCGGGTCGGAGCAGGCGGCGGCGATAGCTTTGGGCATCTTGACGCTGGCCGTGTTGGCTCTGTCTTGACCACTGAGCAGTGTTGGCGAGCCTTCAGGGAGTTTGTAGACGGGGATGCTGCAGACAGGCAGCGATGTGAGCGGCTGGTTGAATATGGACGGGTTGGTGACCCAGTCCCGCAGAGCCTTCTGTAGGCGCCGCACGTGCAGCGGCTTGCTGGCCATGCCGACAAGCGCCATGATCTCCAGGAACTCCTCCTCCCCGGCCTCGCACAGCTGCTGCACATCGTCGCCGCCCTGCTGGATGAAAGCCTCGTAGTAGTAGAGCAGGTTGGCCCGCTGCAGGATCCTGTAGAGCTGCAGCTCACCCAGGGTTCTCGGCAACACGGCCGCCATACCTGAGGGAGGAGCACAAGAGGTTAACACAGACGGACGAGGGGATTCTGACTTATGCTAAGCTAGGCTGTCTGACAAACGGCTCCAGTTTTATATTCACCCTGCAGACATGAAAATGGTTCTGATGTTCTCGTTTGACTTGCAGGCCAGACAGAAAATAAGTGTGTTTTCAAAAATGTCAAACTGCTCCTTTTATACTGAATAACTTTAAGTCAAGTCCTTCAAACATTTCAGACGCAGAAATGTCAGAGAAGCCATTCGCTGACTGCAGAGCCTAAAAACCTCCCGCTGAGCACCAACTGGCGAGAAAACCTAATCGCCCTTTATTTTTTTTAAAGTAAAGAGAGAGAAATCCACAGATGACACTGAGTCTGAGATGATCATATTCGCCTTTTGCTGTCACACTGTGCTCAATAAAGTAGTCGGGTTCTTTCTGCCTGGATGCCAAACTATTAACAGTTTATGACTTTGCCACAAAAAACAATCTTGACACAATTTTCCACTTTAAGTTTCTAAGAGAAGCCAGAAAAAATGAAATTTTGGGGGTTAAAAACATTCATACAACAGATTCTACACCAGAATTAGCATAACTACCACAACTTATATTTGGACTGCTCACATGACTCCCGGCAGGTGCATGCTCACAGTTTATCAGGCCTCAGCAGGTGTGTGAAAGGTAACATTTGGCAGCTGAATGGAAGACTTCTCCGTGAAGTATGCCACGATGAGAGCCTCACATCTTTAGAGTGAATGGCACAGGTGGGATTTTCTTTAACCCTGTTTAGTAATCAGCATGTTTTCAGGTGTAAACATTCCTGTTTCATGTGTGGGATAAGGACAAAAGCATGCTTTCAAGACCACAAAGATGCCTTTTACAGAGCTAATTTTGTGTTTATCATGCATGTAGAGCATTGAACTAGTTTTTGCATTAGTAATGCCGTTTTCAGCTTGAAAGCAAAACACTGAAAACATGTTTTTACTATTTTAGCCCCACATGCATCAGAGCAGATTCCACTTGTGAAAAAGACTTCTCTGGATGAAAGGCTGTTTGCTGCCCAGTCACACTGTCATTCACTCTGCCACCAATATCTCACAAAGCAAGGACACACTCAGATCTGGGCCAAGAAAGTGTCACATGCCACCTCAAAGTGGAGGTCTGAGAGAGGCTTGTTTTCCACTCTTCCTATGTGCATGAGAGGCCCTGCGGAGGCCGAGCTAACAGAGGAGTGGCAGTCAGCAGGCCCGGGTTGCTGGGAGGACCACATGCCTCTCTCCACCCCTGCAGGATGTGTAGGTGGTGGGCTCGCCTCACCCAGAATAGGCCAAGACAGCCTCAGCGCAGGGAGCCAGGCAAGCCTCGACTCACCCTGACTGAGCCGGGGAAAAGCGACAAAGAAAAGCGCTGCCTCAGAGAAGACGGTGACGGAAAAGATCACATTTATGTAGAGGTAAACCTAAAAGCACAAATACTACTACCACTACCAATGTACAGTCACTGACCTACGAATCAACCAATCAGAGCACAGCATGAGAAAACACAGATGCAATAATGATAACCGCAGGTTTAAATCTATTCTGAACACATTCATTGGTTGTAGAAGAATGCACTCAAGAGTTACTGTAAGTGAAACTGAGTCATTGAAATTGTTGATTGAACAAAAGTACACCAGAAGTATTATTAATGTGTATGAAAGGTCAAAGTTCACGTACTGCTGAAATGAAGTTGGATATACTTAGTAATAACCCCGGTGAGTTTAAATCTGAGATAACACGAGCTATCTGTGATCGTGTTTGTACGGAAACATTCAGTCCGAGAGGTCGTTCAGAGAGCATCGCCTGATTCTGTTACTGATAAAGTTTTTATGTTCTGAACGATTCAGAGTTCAGAGTGTGAATGTGGGGTTGTGTTTGCAGAAGTTACAGAAGTTAAAATCGTGGAAGGAATAAAACACGGCATGATCACACCTCCGCATGTTGCTCTGAACAAAGTTTTTACAAACTGGAGTCTAAATTTGGTGCGAGAGGTTGTAAGTGACGCTCTTAGATTAAGCAGGTGTGAATCTTATATCCCTTATAACTGATCTTTAATTGACTTTAAATAATTCAGTCCACTGTGTGAACCTGCAGCGTGTTACTCCAAACATTGTCTGTGCATGTTACAAGAAATAAGGACTACAAATATCTACCATGCTTTTCTCTGATGAATGTTTTTTTTGTGGTTGAACTTCAAAAATGTCACTTCACATTTTCTCGCCATTCAAACACAAATCAGTGAAAGTAGTTGGAGCCATAAATACAAAAACTCCGGGAGGCAGTGTGATCATCGAAGTGTTTTCTGCTGTTCTTTTACAACATGTGTGAGCTGCTTTCTTCAGCTGCAGAGTGACTCCTGCGTGAACGAGCAAGCAGGTAAATTGTCCATCAGCCGTCACAAACGTGCGTCTGGAGCGTAACATGCTGATGGAAGCTGCTGCTATAAACGCTCCACGCCGTGTTTCTACAAATAGACACACACACACACACACTGGAAAAAAAAAAGATTCAATAATGCTGATTGTGAGTTCAACAGCCGGCTGCACTCACACTCTGATATCTAACAGACTGCCATCTTTCTCCACTTTACCACAGCAGACGAGTGTGTGTGTGTGTGTGTGTGTGTGTGTGTGTGTGTGTGTGTGTGTGTGTGTGTGTGTGTGTCAGGCTTCTGTGAATGGCAGGCTCTAATTGATGCCTGCTTCACAAAAGCGAGTTTAGCGAGTTCGACTTTTCACCTGGAGAGGTGAGGCGTGCACTAGCACAATGGCACGCACACACACACACACACACACACACACACACACACACACACACACACAGGATACAGATGTGTAGTTTTCCAGGTGAAGTGCCACGCAGCAGACCAACCCCTCAGATAAGTGAGGAGTGCTTTGATTTCACTGTGAATCAGGAGCAATTTCCCAACGTGGAAAAATAAAGGTTGAAGTCATCAGTTTGACTTTGGAACAATGTGTTCAAATGTGTATGTGTGTGTGTGAGAGAGATGTGTCCTTCATCCATTAATACATCTTACTTTGAACAATCTTAAACATTATTTCTTTAAAAACAGCATAAATAAGGAAATGAGCACATGTATAATACCAGAAAAATGTTAAAATACTGCACAGAAATTAAACTTCATGTTGTAACTTCTCTATTGTTCTGAGGAGCGAGTTGACAATGACAATGTCACCTTTCATGTCACTATGAATCTCACAATGTGTTCATAATTTACATCTATTGTCCACAGGAGAATCTCCAAGTTTGATGTAAAGCCTTTTATATTAATAGAGCACAGTATGGAGTTTAAATTGAGCCGTTAATGACTGAAACTAAATATTTGTATCTTCCTTATCGTGCACAAAATGTGAGTTTTTATCACGAATATTCAGAGTTTAAAGCCAGCATGATATCAGAAAGAATTTCCTATCATTTTTCCTGCATCACCTGGAGGATTTGCGGTGCTGCCGGCTTCCTATCTGTGCAAAAATAAGAACTGAATAACGACCAAAAGCAGCGACAGAAGCAGGTAACATGCAGGATTATATCCAATTAATTATGCCTACCTGGTGAGTTTTTGTCCCCCTTTGGTCCTCCCTGGTCCAGGTTTTCTTCGTTTTCCTCCTTCTTCTGTATCAACACAAAGCCTGAGTGACGGTGTGTGCAATAAAAAAAGAAAAAGCCCGCAGAGAAGGGATCCCCGACGAGAGGCAACGTGCGTAAAAATCACAAATCAAAAATAAATTAAGTGCAGAAATTGAATAATAATTTCCAAATAGCGTTTGCGTTTCTGTGCGTGCTCAACCCGAGCGACACTCTGCTCCTCTTCCTCTCTTTCTGGAAACTTTTTCTGTCTCCAGCCGTTGAGAGAGAAAGAAAAAAAAGCGCAGAATCGGAGTAAAACGCCGCTGACCTTCGTGCGTCTTTCGTTGCGTCGTTTAACTCCAAGTGTGTGTTGTGTGTGTTCGCGAGTATGACGAGTGTGTGTGAGTGTGTGTGTGTGAGTGAGTGTTTGAGTCCTCTCCCAGCGTCTCTCCACTCCCCTGCACTGTACACAATCATCAAACCCACTACACACACACAGGCACTCACTTCCGGCCGGAGTACAAAATAAAAGCATCGATGATGACCTGGATTATATTCATGTAATTACATCCTCAAAATAAAATGAAGTTTACAGTTATTGAAAATACGTTCAATTAAGTATATTAATGTCGTTTTATCGCTGTAAAATTTTTGAATCCCCACAAACTAGGATGGATGGATTAAAAGATAAGTGCAATAAATACTAGAGCTGCATCTTACAGTCAGGTGATCTGACTTCATTTTTCGTGATTATTCCGTAATATTTAAATTTCTTCTGCTTTTTAACAGACATCAGAAAACATTCACTTTGAAAAACGTGCCATCAAAGAGTTTAACGAAGACTGAAACTGATTTACGGACCATCAAAACACTCTGCAATTTAATTTAAAGTTGAGGACTTATACATTTGTATTTGCAGCTTTGCGATGACTGCAGTGAGACAATGCTGAATTCAAAATATAAAGCAAGCATTTTACACTAAACCACAACATTTATTTGTTTTATCTTACTGATATCATTTGAAAAGACTGCAACAGTTTGAGTCTTCATCAGTATGTTTGAACTTATCTTCTATTTTCAGTGTGTGCTGTTTTTATTTTATCTACTTGTCTTATTTTCAGAATCAGAAACAATCAGAATCGGAAAATCGGAAATTTGGGCATTAGGTGCTCAATTAGCATAAATATAAAAGATGTAAGCATCTATGTAAAAACCTTCTTTGCAGTTCATCATAATTAAAGATGCTTTTATTTTGTCAACACTTCCTGTCTTGTCAGCGTCTAACCACGTGTAGCTTTACGCACGCAGCAGCATAAAGTGGGATATTCCGCGCGGTTGCCACAGAGCGTCTCTCTCTCTCTCTCTCTCTCTCTCTCTCTCTCTCTCTCTCTCTCTCTCTCTCTCTCGCCCACGCTGCTCCCTGCGTGACGCAAATCCGCGCGTGGGCGGACACACGGGGCGTGGGAGGCTTTCTGCACGGAATACCAAACACAGGCAGGTTCAACACCCACAGAGACACAGAGAGACGCAGCAGTTTGAACGCTTCATGTTCCAAACTCGATTATTACGGTGGAGATTATTTCATTATTTGATCCTCAACTGTAAATATTGTCAAAACCAAAAACTCAATAAAAAAACAAAAAAACGGATTTCATATTTGTGCAGTGTGACGAGCTGCAGGCAGCCGCTTTAAAACTGCTGATCATTTCATTTCAAGTTTACATTTTCCACATGTAGATCGTGTCTACACTTAAATTAACTTTATATCACACGTTCACTTGCTTTACATTTTTCATTCCTTGTGGATTCTAAAATCCAACATTTGACATTCTGACAGAAACACAGAGAATAAATAGACAAACACAGATGAGGGCAATGAGGGAAACACAGAGGAAGGAATAAATACAGGACTAGAGAAACAAGAATAAGAAATAAAACAATACATCCAGAAACACTAAAGACACAGAGAAATTACAAAAAAAAACAGGAAACACTAAAGACTTATCTAGGGAACACACAAGGAAACTAACGAAATAATAAAAAACTAAAACAAGAAACGAATCTGAAAACTATGCAATATTAAATGATGACACATAGAAACAGATAAATGACATGACGTGATGTTTAGTTGTGACTGTACTTAATAACACACACAAACGTGTGTATTAAAATCCCTGACTGATATTGATAAGGTCGCGTGAAGTGAAGTTACACAGATGTGCGTCAGTGAAAACCCGCCTGTATGCAAATAATCAATTCAGTTTTCACAATTTAACAATCAGTGGTGATGTGACGGGGCATGCAAATGGTTTCCTGCACAGATGAGTGTGCAGCAGGAACCCCCTGCACTGTGTGTGTGTGTGTGTGTGTGTGTGTGTGTGTGTGTGTGTGTAGATCAGCTGGGTAAAGTTTTTCCTGTAATCACCTTTAACAGACGACAGAAAGAGTTTTGGTTGTTTCTGTAAAATTGCTTTAAACGTTTATTTTGGGTCTTTTTACACCTTTTATTTAGAGACAGGACAGTGGATAGAGTCAGAGATCAGGGACAGAGTGATATGCGGGAAGGACCGTCTCGATGAACACATCCTCTGCACTTCAGGCGCGCGCCCTAACCACTAAGCCACCGGCGCCCCAGCGATAAACACTTTAACAACTAAAAACAAGCTCTTAAAACTAAACGAGGCTCCTTTGAATACTACAAAACTCTCTGTAACGAAACTACTGAAGCAGTATAACATCTGCTACAGATATTTAGCATCACTTTGATAATATTAAGATAGCAGCTGCAGCTTTATTTCTAAATAAGCCCTCAATGTTGTGCTTTGCCTCTGGTCACTTCCTGTCAGCACCTGTGTGTCCAATCGGACTCAAAGCTGATCGTTTCCACTTACTGACATTGTTCCCTTTTTTTCTAAATCATCACTTGTGCTGCATTTACTCTCTGATGTACGTCGCTTTGGATAAAAGCGTCTGCGAAGTGTAGAAATAAACTTCAATATGTTTCCTGTTTTGAAACCACTGCAACAAAAATACAAATCCCAGACACCCACTATTGGGTAATTTCTTGTTTTTGATTAAGAAACAAATGCAGGCAAACTTCTGCACACATCGTCTAAATTGCAGAAATTTGTGGGAAATGTATTTGTGTAACTTTGCCAGCGCTCTCTTGTAGATTTTGGTTTAAACGACTGAAGAGCTGAAACTTTTTAAGAGCTTTGGTAATCAACCGTTCAACTCAGATTGTATCGTTTTAGCATGCAAGGCATCGAAGGGTTTCCAACTATGGAAAGTTTTGTCACTTCTCCAAGCTACCACTACTGTGACCTCAATAACCCGATCAACATGCTGTGACTACTTCAAACTGTGACTCATTGAACCTGACGAACACGGCTGCTATCCTCAACAGATGTTTCTTCTTCAGCTTTTAGCACTTATTTTGTTTGTCTAATAAAGGACAATAAGTAGTATGAAGTCACTGCTCAGAGGTCACAGCCAGCGTGCAAACATCTGCACAGGAACTTCCTAGTGAGACGTGAATGTTTTTTATAAAGATGGAGCGCAGAGAAGTGAGCAGACAGCTGTTAGACGTCTCTCTCCCGACGCCCTCAGCGCTCCAATCAAATCTCAACGTGATCGCTTCCACGCCGTCTGATTCCCCATCAATGAGCTATTTTGGGGAATTAGGCCAGCCGCCACCAGTTTAACTCCCTGAGGACCAAACCAGAACGGCTTTTATCGAACCTACCCCACCTCCCAAACCTCTCCCCCCCCCTCATGCCCTCCCACTTCCACCACCACCATCACACCCTGAACAGCGGCTGAGGCGTGAAAGAAGAACAACTAAGACTCAACGCTGCAGCTCATGTCGTCTCAAAAACACAAATAAAGAGAAAACTAGTATTTGCAGAGAGTGAGTGTGTGTGTGTGTTTATGAGTGTGTGTGTGTGTCAGTGTGGGGGTGGATGGGGTGGGACGGCTTGCTTTTCAGATCCTCTAATTAATTTCAGAAGGAAAGTAAAACAAATATCAAAGCAGAACTGCAGATTATGCTGGAATACTAAATCCTGCAGGAATATAAAGATGAAACTGAAAGGTAAAGTTCTTTGCTAAGCTAGGCTAACAAGATGCTGGATGTAATATCGTATTTACCAAAAAGTCGTTTAAGGAGCTGCTTAAGGAGCTTCTAATACGATACATTCATGTTATTATTATTATTATCACCAAACTCATATTTTAGATCCATGGAAAGGATTTGAAATATGATTTGATGAGACCTAATATATTTAAATTTAAAGTTTGAAAACGTCTCAGTATAAAACTGATAAGTGAGGTCTTCTGTGTGACGTCATGTCTGGGATTCTTTTAGGTGTTCATTGTCACGTCATGTTTGACTGAAAACTCCAAAGATGATAAAATAAAATGTTGTTTCTGTCAGGAATAAACTTTTAGTGAAATACTAACAATGTGTTTTCCAAATGCACACATGGAGCAGGTAGTCAGGTAGGATTCCTGACCGCCCACCTTCAGCCTCTAAATCCATGTCTGGCTGCTGTGTGTGTGTGTGTGTGTGTGTGTGTGTGTGTGTGTGTGTGTGTGTGTGTGTGTGTGTGTGTGTGTGTGTGTCTGTAGATATGCAGATATGACCTTCTTATGGCGCTCCCATGGATCAGCCTCCGAGCAGATGGAGATCAAATCAAATTCTGAAAAAAAAATGACAGAAGAAGGAATATCAGTTCAGTATTTCTCTCTTTTGACCTCCATCCTCACCCACATATGTCCCCCCCCCACACCTACACACACACACACACACACACACACACACACACACACATACTGCACTCAATATCTAACAAGAACCAAACTAGAACAAATTAAAAAGAGAGCGCCAGCAGGAAATAGGATGTCCACCCACACTGTGAGGTAGGTCGACACCCAGGCTGCCTGTTCCCACAAGTCCCAGTTCCCCAGTTTAGAAAACTGTACGCTACACTCTTGTTTTTTTTAAAGCTCCAGTCGCCTCCTTTCTGCATGGAGAGTTTATTTACATGATTGTCTTTACAGAAGACACCTCAAGTTTATGAGCCAAAAGATTTACATAAAAGCCGCCTCTGCTCCCGTAAAGGAGAAGCTCAACGATTTGGGAAACGCATTAGTCGGCTTTATGACTAAAAGTGATATTAAAGGTCGACACCTCGCTCAAATCTGTGCAGCTGAAAGAACAAGACATTCCTGTTCCCCTCAGGATGAATCTATTTAACTTTCTAATGCACAGCTTTTCTATTCAGCGCCACCATCAGGTCCAACACAGCTGCTTATTATCAAACGCTGGTCTGCAAACTAGTTAGCATTTAGTCCAAAGTGTTGTGTTTCTTCCACTCTCACTGTCACTTATAAACCAGTGAAGAATGGAAGCGTGCATTCATTTATATTTTGATAAAATGTGCACTAAATTTATAAAGAAACCTTGGAAGCGTCAAGAAATCCTATTCCACACGCAGGTGTAGTTATCACCAACAATAAGCGACTTGAAGAGAAATTTAGTGAACAATGCCGAACTCCAAACTATAAGACAGAACTTTACGGTGGGATGAAACCATCTTCTTTGTTGATGCACAACTTTGCACAACACGTTACCTATACCCCCTCCATGTGAATCTGTAAATACATTCAGATGTTTCTCTGCAGAAGCTGAATCCAGATTTGTTCTTGTTTTGTATTCAAGTGATCAGGTTCCCCCCCCAATCCCCCCCCCCCCACCATCCTTCAATTTAGACCTAAAAATATTAAAAACCGCCAGGAGCAAGAGTTACAAGGTTTTCACACGACAGCAGCAATCTGCTTTCATGTCGTCCTGTCAATCATTCCCGAAGAGTAGGCGTCACTTTGTGTGTGTGTGTGTGTGTGTGTGTGTGTGTGTGTGTGTCCTCCCCTCCCCGCTGAAACCTCCGAACAGTGGATGTATCTCATTTGGCAAGGAGCCTCTTCATATTTCACTTTTCAGGAGACGCCTGTTCGTTTAATTTCTGCAGCGGCGTGCCTCTCTCTCTTTTTCTTCTTCTTCTCCTTTTCTTTTCTTTTTCCCTGCAACTTCTTCTTCTTCCCCCCCCGGAGTAGAAACACATTTCAATGACACGCCCACGCCTGGGCCTGTCAGCCCCTCGCCCTGTCAGAACGCCCACGCTGCTCTGCTCCCCTTCTCCCTCCCCTCTGTCTCCTCCCTCCCCTCGCCTCTCCTCCCCTTCCCACCAACCCACATCCTCAACACTTTGCGCTCTAAAAAAGCAGCTCTTTTCATCCAAGTTCCTCTTTTGCAAGGAGAGAAGAAAAAAAAGAAAAAAGGAGGAACAACAGAGCGGCATGATTCAGTCTCCAGGCGGTGGTAGTGCTTGTCATGGAGTGTCCCTTTTCATTTGGAGGGAATATGGGTTACAGGATGACTGTGATGCCGAAAAGCAGCAGATAAAAAATGTGTTTGGTGCCTCCTATTGTCGTCTCCACCCGGTGCTGTGATGCCATTTTTGGGTGGCAGACACATTTTAGACGGGCGTGGATGTGACTTCACAGGCCGGGAAAAAAAAAAATGTTGTGAAATCTAAAAAATCTGTCCAGAAAGAAGTCACAGCAGCCGAGCAGGTTTTCCTTTCTATTAAAGCACATTTTGTTTTGTGATGCCGTATGAGGCCACGGCTCGTGTGAATTGAGAGAATGTGTGTGTGCGTGTGAATATGCAGGCTGAAGCCGGTGTGTTTGCACAGGCTCCCTGGTTAGCAGAGTCTTACTTTGTGTCTGTTGAGAAAGTGTGGGATGGTATGAGCGGCTTATGTCTGACTGAACACGTGTGTGCCTGCGTGGGCGGGGAGTGTGTATAGGGGCGATGTGTGTGTGTGTGTGTGTGTGTCTTTGCACACAGATTACACTTGTGTGGGTGTTTTGGGCAAGGATGTGTGTGGGCGTAGTGAGCGTAGGCGGAGGTTATGTGACATACAGATAGAGACTGCAGTGTTCCTGCAGTGTGTTTATGTGTGTGAAACTTTACTGCAGAGTGTGGACGGCACAAACAGCTATAGGGGCCCTGCTGCCTCCAAATGTGCCAGCGTGGAAATCTGCTGCCTTCACACTCGTCTACTACTACTTAAGTCGAAATCCCCTGCATGAAGATACAGTCTGGAAATGTGTCACGTTCAAGAGCTGAAAAGGACACATCACACATGAGCCCAAGAAAGTCACTGTATGTTCAGTGAAGTTTAAGTAAAACTGTAAAAATGTTTAACACTTTAAACTACAATCTGAGTTACTTTTATGTCCGAAAGTATCAAAATACTGAAGCTTATATTTTTACCAAAAGGTGCTGCGAGTGAGGCAGTGCACTGTCTCATCTGCATAAATATTTTGCCAATGCACGGTAATTAAGACAAAGTCCTGCTCTCAAATTGAGTCAGGTTTTAATGAGAGCTGTGCAAAGTTCAACATTTTCTCCCAAAGTGCGGTGGAGCAGAAGAATAAATGAGCATAGAATTAAAAAATTCTACCAAGTTGAATCAATGCAGCTGTTTTCTTAGGGCTGTTAATCTGACTATTTTTGACTTTTTGATCGATCTGTTGATTTGGAATCAAAATAATGATGACTAATGAATTATTTATACAAACTACAGCTCCCATGAGCCATAGCTTTTTCTGTTCTGCTGGTAAACTTATAGGTGTAGTAGCTGGGGAAGATAACAGTAGCGATGGTGAAAAAGATGATGCAGTGATATTGGTTTATTTTTGTTTCCAAGGTGAGGAGTTTAAACATCACCTGTCCTCATTAATAATCAAACATTTACACAAAAAGAAGCTCACATTAATAAAATCACTAACATAGACTCATAATACAAATCAGACTTGACATATGACCTCGCTGCCAGCATGTAAATCTGCACCTTTCACGCTCACAAAGCTTTATGAAACTTGTAAACGATGGTGTTGAATGGCTAAATCCTCGTACTATCACAGTCGTGACACATGTTGACTCATCCTCCTCTACAGCGGGCTCAACCTGCGACACAGCGGCCTTGTGGTTTCAAAGAATGCCCTGTTGCTGAAATGTATTTTGGTAAAATGGTTCAAAAGGGAAACGTGTCACACAACATTTACAGTTTTGTGATGCATCTTTGCATAAAGTCTGGATCACACAAGTGAAGTCAGCGTCTGAGTTACAATATTCAGCAAAGACGACGTTGTTTGTTTATCTCGTTTTTAACTGCGTTGAGTAGCATTTCATCTTTACGAGTCGCCCATTTTCACTTTTTACGGCCTTGATGAGTAATATTTTCACCTTCATGGGAAACAAAACAGAGAAATGAAAGCTAGCGTCTGTAAGCGCTCTGAGACATGCACACTATGTGAGCCACTAAAGCTAACATGAAAAATCAAACCGTAGTTTCTTCAACCTGTTCTGAAAGCAATTAATTTTTCCTCAAACTTTGGGGACTGCTACAGTTCATGTAACAACACTACGCAGCTACTACACATCGGCTAAAAACTTCTTTTAGCGAGTCAGTCATCAGGAGTCCAGCTACATAATCCACTTAAGGTGTTCCTAACATTTTGGACCTCAATGAAATGTTTTCATCTTTAAGATGAAGACAAGAAGAAACGTTTACACTTTACAATCAGACACTAGTGGCCGTTAAAAAACGGGCTCAAATACTTTTTAACTTTTTAAACTAAACATCTTAAAAGATAAAACTTTTTTTGGCAAATAAAGAGAGAAATAACTGGATGAGGTGAAGACTGAACCAGACATGTCAAAGTCTGCTGTGAGATCAAAACAAGGAATGTTTTAATCTGCAGTGTAACGTGTAACTTCACAAAGTGCACGTCACACAAAAGAAAAGGAAATGTTTGAATCTTCAGAGGCTTGGTGTCTTCACTCCTTCACACATAAAAAGGTCACTTTAAGTACAAATTGTTTTGCTGCATGATGAAAGGAGTGGGTTCAGACATAAAAAGGGCTGGGCGTTTTTTATGCGGTGGAGTTTTTACTGCTCTTTAAAGTCTATGTGCTGCACCTTTAAAGCTTCAGTGGGAAGCGCTGTAGGTCCCAGCTGACACGTCGTGGGCTGATGTGGAGGGGATTTGCCCATTTTGGCCACGTTTGGGCCTCAGCGACCCTCGCCGCCCACGGCATCCTCACACTGAGAGCGCTGCTGACGTCTGACATGTCTGCTATCTGCAGGCGGAGGCTGATGCTCACTCCGCCACGACCACACACTGCAGTCAGAGAGAAACTGAAGGCCTCAGCATGGTCTGTGAGACAGAAACACCTCAACTTTGAGCTGATGTGAAGGTGTGATTAATCTGTTAAGTGTATTAATTCTGTGCTGCCTCCTAAAGGTCAGAGCTGCCTATCAGATTGCCTTCAAACCTCACTGATATGTGACAAAAGAACACTAATGGGGGAAAAATCCCTCGCAGGAGAGGAGAAGCAGAACTGTTCGAAAAATGATGAAACAATGCGAGCTAAGGGTGTGAGCAAAGTTGAGGCAGGCTTTGAAGTGAAGCCACACATTTTGCATGATTATTGCTGTTAAGTTTTTGATCTTGAGCCAGCAGGCACGAAAAACAACAGCAGCTTGGGATTAGTCTCCCCCCCACTCACACGCCTACCTTTGCCAGCATAAGTCCCTGACTCAATTAGAAAAAAACCTCTGCAACTTAGGGCTCCTCACGCACAAGTACCCACATCGCCCTGCCCACGTCCCTGCAGCACATCACTACCAGCATCACTTTAATCACACGGCACAGTGAATGCACAGGGATTTATCTTGGTGACATTAATGCAAAGACTTGTCACCAATAATGTACACACTGATATGACAGCACAGAGACGACAGGGCCAAACACACAGAGGAAAAGAAGATTTATCTGTCATTAATTAAATATCAAATATCATCCAGGGAGGGTACTCTCTGCATAGAGCTTCAGAAAAGTGACTAAAATGTAATGTTGATTGTTTTTGCACAAATTATTGGAAGATTACATTTTTCAGTTTTAGTTTCTCTGAATGTTGTTCCAAAGTCTCTTCAAACTCACAAAATACAGACTATTATTGCAAAAGATAATCATAGTCTTCTTTGCTGCAAACGCCTGACAAGAAGGATGCTGGAAGCAGAATCTGCACACATTCTTTTTTTTTTTTTTGCAACGTCTGTACATGAGAACAGCAGCCATGACAGAATAATAATGGCTTCTGAGATAGGAAATGGTTTGAGTTCAGCAACTAAAAACATTTGTTACCATGAAGTAAAGGTCAGGGTTTTTAATGATTAAAAAGAACCTGAGCTGCAGGTCTGTAACCGTCCATCTTTACTTCACATCAGCACTGGTCCCAAAGTCTGAGATGCTGAATTGAAGCTTAAATTGCTGATGCATGGAATAAGATCACAGGTGAACCAATACTGCATCAAGAATCATAAAACGTCAATTCTTCTGCAGATTTCCTGAGTAACATTAAGACCTGGGATTTGTAGTTTTTTGTTCTTTGTTTTGTTTTTTGGGGGTCTCCCTCCTCAGATCTGCTCACTGCTTCCTGGTCATGTCAGCAGTGGAGGTGTAGACTCTAACTAAAGTCCCTTCAGGTAAAACAGCTCCAGCTGAGTGAACATTATTTTAAAATGTAAATGTCCAGACTGTGGGCGATCACTGAGTTTAATCTGATCTCTGCCCCGGAAAACAGCCGTGGATAAATGTAAATGTGTTGAGTGTTTGTGTGAAACATTGTGGGTGATTCAGGTATCAAAGCCCACTTTAAGGTTGTTTTTATAACTCTGGATCAGAGGGTCGGCTTCAAACAAACACTTAAATTACAAATCCTCCTTTTTCTGTGGCGTAGTGTTGTTGGACATCTGGAGACTTTTAAGTGTAATCATTTTTAAAGCAGGTAATTCTTAATCCACCACAGAAACCGAGGTGGCGTAGTGTAACTCCATCATCAGTTAGTGTACTTGCTCTTACCTGTGCTGTTTCCATAGCAACAGATGCAGACAGGTTAATGACGCCCCGAACACATCGTGACCCTGCAGATAATGAGAATGGACAATCAGACTCTAATGACAGAACAAACACAATCTACAGTCTTACTGATGTTCACCTCTTTGTTTATTTCGAGTCGCCCTGAAAAAGATCATCAGCAGCAGGTAACCATCCAAACCGGCGGTCCTTCGCTGCACGGCCTTCAGTCACGTTTTGCTCTTTTTGTGTCAGCCTAAAGGGATTCTCTCTGTGATTCGGTCCTGTGTGCTGATTTGTGGGATTACCGTCTGAGAAAATACAGAAAATATAAGCGCGGACAGCGAAAGAGACAGACAGAGAGACAGGAAATGTTGGGAGTAGAGAGAGTGGGAGGACATGCAGTTAAGGTCAGAGGTCAGATTTGAACCTAAGGCCGCTGAGGACTATTGCCTCTTGCATATGGAGTACCTAAACTAACCTCTAGACCACCAGCGCCCCTCTTTTGTTTATTTTCAAAGGATTCTGCCGCTTACTTTGGATGAAAATGGACATATTTGAAAGCCTCTAATTTGAACTTTGGTGTAAAGACATGATTTTGTTTTCTGACAACATCAGTGAAACTTAATTGACAATCTCACCCTCTCGACAATCCAATCAGCTTCCTTTCTGACACTGCGATCCCATTGGCCGTGAGTGATCAGGAAGTAGTTCACAATAATGAAGCTCTGCTCTCTCCTTTGGTGACTTTAGAGATGTCAGCTGAAAGCTTTCATATGTAAAGTTCAGCTCTCCGGTCCTTCCTGCCCTGCTTGCTGCGGGGGCCGGAGGAGGCCCTGAGCCGGGGCGGGGCTGGACTGGGGCCGGCCTGCAGGGCTGCTGGGCTCCCAGCCGCCCACAGAGAGGCCTGGCTGGGTGGGCGTCATCTATGGAGCGATTGATCCCAGCAGAGACAAAAAGTCTCCCTGTTGTCCTGCTTGACTGGAAACAGCACAAAGCAAAAGCTCAGACTCACTGCTATGAATAAACTACACGGCTGCTACACCACTATGCATCTACCAACATAAACAGTTTCCAATAATAAGCAGCTATGCATGAGACAACGGTGGAAAATGTGAAGTGAAATAACAACGCAACGCTGAAGTTAAAGTTTGTGTAGAGCGCCGTAGTACGACTCTGGTATCACGCCAATCTTTCTCCTTTGAAGTCCAGGCAGCCGTGCTGGGGAGGCGGCTGCTGCTGTGGGTTCGGTGTGGAGGTGTTTGCCTAGAGAGGGGGAAAGGTCAAAGAGAGAGAGAGAGAGCACACATCTTTTACACTTTATGATACACATCACATCAGGGCTGAGCTGTTTATCAGCTGCTGAGGGGAGACAAGAGAACCTGGAGTTTTTGGTGGCGTAGGTTTTTATGTTTGGAGGGAGTTTTGGAAACTTTTGGGCCTGGAAACTTAAATAACAAAGAAAAAAAACACGATATTGTAAGTTTTTTATCACCAGAAATAAAACACAATATTTTCTCATGTTTGTGTTCATTATGTGATGTTTTCAATCCAGCTGAAAGATCTCATCTGCAGATTCAAGACAACAAAACAAGAAGTGATCATGATTACTTCACTACTCAAAGTTTTGAAGTTTATCTGCAGGTTCTTTACTTATAATGGACATTTGAGGATTTCTTTACACTCTTGAATTAGTGTTTTACTTGAGTAGAGGATCTGAAAAACTCAACCACCTATCTGCTACATACAAGCAGCGAATTATAAATATCAGCGGTGGAGGATTAAATAAACATTTATTTTTGATACTTTGATTGTTTTACATTTTAACAGATGCAGTCCGTACTCTGTGCTTGACAGCAGCATCTGTCGACGGCTCCTGATGTCGATGCATCTGGGAAAAAAGGAATTTGCTGTAATTAGTCCGGTTAGTGACACTTCACTTTGTAGAGCTTTATCCACTGTTGTCTCATCTCATGGTAATTATCGTCATAATCCATCATTAAGCACATCATAGACCTACACTGCAGCTCAGAGTCAGTGTGCTCTCATTGATTTTTAATGATTAATAATGCATGTCCATTATAAGCCCTCTGTCTGCGCTCTCTCATCTACATTATGACGGGGTTTATACAGATAGAAGCTATGCACTGATTAATGACTAAACATGAATGTCATGAAAAGGATGCTGTCTTTTTTTTTTTTGTTGATCTGTATGTAATACTCACTATCTCATATCAACTTATCTCTAATCCTTCCTCCAGATCAGTTGGCTGCAATCGATAAAAGTAAAACTACATGGTGTGAAATCCTAATCTGTGCAGTAGCCAGCCTGCAGCTATGCACTGGTATAAGACGAGTAACCCCCCATTCTGCTCAGAATCTTACTGCTTTTTTCAAATCACATTTGGCTGCTGAGACACTGAGACGCTCTGGCAAATATTTGGAAGGCACAAAGCATTGTGGCCGGTGGATGAAAATGTTAATTTCCTCCTTTGATAATGATGCATGTCGTTATCCAAATGTGATTACACAAACAGAATGGTGCGTAACACGCCTGTAACGTGCTTAAGATGTTTTAAAACACATTTTCATGCCTTCACACTGGGAAATGTAAAAGACCCCAAAGAAACCTTTAAGGTTTTATGATTAAAAAAACAAAACACAGGGGGACCCAGGATGGTTCCCTGAGGAATCCCAGGATTAAGGATTTATAGTGACATGAAGTTAATATGTGGTGTTTGTGAGATATAAAAGCTTGCCTCGTTCTTTTTCCTGGTGACTAAAAAATAATAAATAATAAATAAAACTCCCTTCATGTTCACTGGTAATGGTAAAGAAGTTAAATATTTCCACTGGTTGGGAAAAAAATTAATATATACATTTAAAAAAAAAAAAAAAAAACTAACAAAAAAGCTTTTCGGGTTTTTTAAACCCAAAGTTTATTTCCAGGGGAATTTTTTTTTTTGTGTGAATGTTGCTGGTTTTTCTATTTATTGCTTGACGTCATTGTAAATGAGGGCTATGCTCTCAATGATTTTCAGGTTTAAATAAATACATAATAAATACATTTTACATTAACTTCAATATTTCAGGAACGATTTTTTCAGATTGAGAATCTAGTTTGCATTACCGTACTTTTTCAATACTTAATGTTATCATGTCATAAATTGTCTAATCCCTGAATTGCTTGGTCAATTTTAGGTGGGATTAATTACCTGAACAACACCTCTACAGTGTGTTTGTGCCAAAACACTTACCCTCCATTTGTCCCAGTGGAACGACATGGAGATGATGAGCGCTTGAGTCCTAAAGTATGGCCGTCTTCTTAACCCCGCCCTGCCTTGTAACAGATATCAAAATATCAATTAAGTCATTTGATGTAGGTCAAGCAGACGTGTGTTGTTAGCTAGCAGGTAGCACTACAGCTTCCTCACGTTCCTGTGTAAACAGACGCAGGCTGTATGAATGCATCCAGTGGGGTGATGGCAGACCGACCATGACAGCTGTCTGCTCCTATATGTCTTAGTTGGCTGCACCCGCTTCACACGGCAGGGCTTCGCTCTGCACACTGAAACTGTTAACGCTACTGTAACACCAAAAAGAAAGACACAAATCATTTCTAGCAGCATCCTTATCATGGACTGTAATCATGAATTGGTTGAAAAAGGAGAATCAAACTCTCCACAAGCTTGAAACAGAATTGTAGTTTTGAAAGATGTTGTATGATGTTCTGTAAGGAGCTACTTATTACATTTCTAACCATCATAAATCAAAAAGATCATTAAATGTTCTTTTTATTTTAAAATGGTACTAAGTTTCGTTTCCTGCATCCTGTGCCGAGTCTTTCTCATCAGCATTTCTGTGTTAAAATGATTCCTCAATCCAAAAAAGAGAGCAAGAGGCAAGGAGCCATTCAGTGTGAAACATCCTGCCAATAACATGACTTGCCGTGGTCTTTACTCTGACTCAGACTTGACTCAGGGGGTCCTGATTGCTGCAGTGCAGGAGGTCTAAGTGAGGTTGTCTGGGGGGGTTTTTTGAGACCGAGTCAGGCTCATCTTTAACCCGTGACCCATTCTGCTGCTGCTGCGTTACACTTCACAGTTTAGTCAGTTAGCTCGGTGGTCTCCTGCAGTTCTGCTCGCGGGGCAAAGAGTCTGCAGGTTTCTGTTTCAACTGAAGCTGCTTCTACCTTGAAAAACACAAACGCCCTGACAGTCAAAACAAAACATAACAGGATGGAAGTCTGGGGCTCTGACAAAGGAAAAGAAACAAAAAACAAAGTGATAAAAAAAAAAAAAAGTTTTAACATTTAACATTTAACATTTGGATTCTACCTTTTACATTGAACATCATTAGCTCATTAGCAAGTCTGTAGGGACTTGGGTTGGATCCCTGATGGTCGTCGGTTCAGAAAGGACCAAGCATGGAAATTGGTTTGGTAGCTGGAGAGATGCCAGTTTACTTCCTCAGCACTGCCGAGGTGCCCTTGAGCAACGCACTGAAATATTGTTAGTATTCAAAGCAACAAGATCAGCTGATTTTAGTTCCTATACTTAGAACAAACTCCTGTAATCACCAAAGGGTTTGACACCAGGAGTATCCAGCTCTGCAGCTAAGAAAACCAAACATAGTTATTGTAATTGACAAAGTAGCCCAATGAATCATCCCAGAAACACGTTTTCCATTTCACAGGAAAGGTTTAAAATGAAAAGAAAGCGCTTCTGATGTTCTAAACAAAGTTTGTTCTTTGAAGTCAGAGACACTTGAGTCATTTCAAAAAATGCACGAAGCAACGTCCAACCACAAAATCAATCAAGGAGAACATGTCAAACACGAAACTGGAAATGTTCAGGATTTTTTACAGTATTGGAAACCTATAACTGAACGCTTGCTCTACTGTGCTCCCCTGGGTGTTTCAGGTTAATGTGAACACCTTGTATTGGTTCATAAAGGTCCAGATCCAGATCTCTCCAGAGCTTCAGGGAGGACACGAGGAGCCGTCATCACCTTGACTCAACAGATCCTGCCAAGTCGCCTCCTCAGGGCGTCTGGCTCGGCTCGCCGTCACGGCACAGTGAGGAGAAAAGAAGCTAAAAATAGCTGCAGGTTGTTTCTGGGCAGCAGTCGGCCGGGAGCGACTGATTAGCTTTACATTTGAGCTTTTTTATGTTGATGTTAACTGGTGGTGTTGACTAAATGAGCTCTGGATGAGGATACTGTTTTTGATTATGTTATTTAGACAATTATAAGACATCAGATTTGAATCCTTTTGACGCTCAGGTGTGAGACACGATTGTCACGATATCAAGTTTTTCAACTTTGACACGGTAAAAATCTAATATTGATATCTCTTTCAATATCAGGGAAACAAAAACAGAAGTCCAAGGCATCCAATACTGGATGATTTCTCGATTTGAACTCCTGCACACAGTCTGAATGATACAGACTGCGCTCTGTCTCTTTTGCTCACAGCAATATGACTGAAGATCATTAAACAAACAAAATAGTATCTTTTTTTAAACACATGGTGTTGAAAAAGCAGCGAAGTATCGACATATTTTAAAACCTTAATGAGGAGGACATCGCTATTGGTTGATCTTGGCAAAAGAAAAAATAACTTCAAGATAAAAAAATAAGCAAAATTAGAGAATAAAAAGGGATACTAAGAAGCCTGGATGGAGCAAATTAACTTTAAATGACTTATTAAGCATACAGAAACACTGCAAACTATGTAAAAATCTTCTGATTTTGTTCATAATAAAACAGAAACTAACATTATTAGTATTTCATCATCGTAAACACACTGTCCAATGGAAGAAAAGTATAAAAGTAAAGTATAAGACAATCAACTGGCCGTCTGTGCATCCTGCTAAAGTGCCCACAAGCAACTCACAGAAATTATTATCATGTCGAACTGAATTGGAAGCATCTGTAGGTCAGACGCCGCTGCACTCATTTCCTGCGACGTGTCAGTGAATAAGGCGCTCCGTCTCACCTCGACCCTCTGTGTAATTTAAATCTAAAGGTGTAGCATTGTTCTGCAGCTCATGAAAACATTATTATACCGCTCATTATTAACGAACCACGCAGGACAAAACAACAACAAGGGGCTGGTGAGATTTCTCCACGCATATCAGACAGGCTGAGTGAGCCAAGACGCTTTTGAGTTTATTTTTTTATTTTTTTTTACGACAGCACTAGTCTAGTTTTTGAGGAAGCCTATTACTGTCCTCCCACACACACCCATCAGTAGCAGGCGCACCACGACCTCAATAACCCTCCACACACACTCACACACACAGGACGCTTCAGTCCATTTAAGACTCCAGAAAACTGACCCCACACTCAGAGCGCTACTGCCATCAAGTGGCTGATTTTACACACGACACCCGCCTGTCAAACATCCTGCAGAGCACATGCAGAGTTTAAACGCTGTGCTTTAATTAACTTAAAACAATGAGGTACATTCAACTATAACTCCAAAAGAAACTTTCTCACAAACAGCATTTTAAATAACAACGCCCCCTTTAAAAATTACAGTTTATATTCAACAGTGATGGAAGAAGATTTCAGAACTGCCCTGAAGTGTAAGAAGCAAAACCACATAAAATCTTTAAAAGTACAAGTTTGTGTTGTAGTCAAGACCACACTAACCGAGACCAGAGTGCCCCGAGACCGAGACAAGACCAAGACATTTAGGGATCGAGACATTATGTGTGTCTACCTCTGAGGGTTTTTTGTGGATGCTGTGGCTTTGTGGGAGGAATTTGTGGGTGGAGGGGTGGTTGAGAGCCTTTATGTGTGAACGTTGTGCGTGTTGGACCGCCTCGAAAACAAGATGCTTCATCTCAAGGGGCTATCCATCAATACAAATAATTTAAACAGTAGACCAAGACCATACACATCACTTAAAAATCATCTTGTGTTTAGGGGGCGTGACACACATTTAGACCGTAACACCGGGAAGGTTGCGGCCGTAACCGGGGGGATAAAAAAATCAAATTATGAATTCATTTAAGTTATTTGTTTTTGTGTTCCTTCTGATCACAGTAATGTCATGTGGTCAGTGGTGGTCTTGATTTAAAATCCGGAGTCCGTCCAGTCTGAGGCCGAGACAAGACTGAGTAAAAATGCTTTTGATTCAGAGATGAGACCGTTTTAGAGTACTCCAACTGTAGTCCAGGTTAAGGTGAAGAAGAATAAACAGTACAATTAACTTTTTTTGCAGCCGATCAGTCACTTTATTAACATATCTACAAGGATTCAGATATTCAAATGTAAATATTTTGAGTGAAAAGCCCCCCACCACCCCACCCCCCCATTATTTGTGAGATGAACCTTTAACCATATCTTTAAGATTGAACACACTGATTCTGTTTTAAAGGGGATGATATTGGCGTTACAGAGGAAAGAAAAACAGGCTGGGGAACGAGAGGCGTTTCATTTTTTGTTTACACTTTTCCTGATTTAATTTCCTGTAAACAGAATTTCTTCATCTATTTCTATTTCCGAGGGTTTTTTCCGGACCAGAGGACACAAATAAAAACACTGAATACTGGGAATTGTTTGGCATGAAGAGATGAGAGTAAATATAGCGAGAGGATTATTGGCAGCTTCAATACAAAAATATTGGAATCAGGCTTTAAAAGGAGCCTCAGTTCGCTGTGTGGAGTGTTTTAATGTAGGAGGAAAGAAATCAAGTCAGAAGCTTCAAGGTTTGACAAAACATTTCAAAGAGGCACTTCTTCATCAGCGTGCTCAGAGGTTTAGACGCACAAATCACGAGTTTTATTGTACAAGTGACGAAACCTGAAACAAAAAGGAAAAGGTCAAACCTCCATGTTTTAAACACGTTAATACTCCATATACAAGAATATCTCAACGCAACATTTCTTAACCAACAGGGATCGATGGTGTCGAGAGCGAGGACTCGTACAATGTAAATCACAGTATGGCGGGACCCACAGCGCCCCACACAGGAGCGGCACTTCTTTACAACGGAGATAATCCATGTCAGGATTTTTCTGAGTCGATATTGATTAGAGGAAACAAAATTATTGCAATGCACTGATGAATGGATTATTTACTCAATGTTATTAACAAGCTGCTTCTAGAGTTTCAAACCACAGACGAAGAGAAACTCGCTTCCTTCTTCGCGGCCCGTTGAGACGTTTAAAGCACAGCTTTTCACGGGTTTTGGACGTTGAAATTAGAAACAGTTTGAGGACAGTTTTGTCAGTCGATGCATTTTAATTTAGATAAATTTAAGAATTCCTTTAAAACCAAAGATTCCAGTTTAGGACA